AGAGAGAGAGGGAAGGGGCGTAGCCCCGGGAAGGAGGGGGGGGGGAAGGAGGAGGGGAACGTGGATAAGGTTCCCCGCGAGGGGCCCGCAGGGATGAAGCTGGTGGGAGCCTCATTCATGGGGATTGGGGAGTGGGGGGGGGGGAAAGGCTCTCGAGTGCCGAGATAACGCAACGCAGTCAGAGGGTAGTAAGTGGCAAATTGGAGTTCGCATGCATTGCGTTTCATGCTAGTCGACTAACGAGGGGGGGGCTTGATCTCGGGTTGATTGAGGTGGGCTGGGTAACGTTATGTGTAGTGTATGCTGGCCATTTGCATTCTCTGTGTGCCCTAGGGGCCTATCAATAGAAGTGGGTTATGTATCGCTATGGTCGCAGCTCACACACCGCGCGGCTGCTGGGCGCTGGCACCGTCGCAGCACCATCAGGCTTGGTCCCTGCATTTCTCCCTTCTTTTGTCTTTGTTCCCTCACACTGTAGTATCGGCTGATATCTCCGCGTAGCATGGGCAGTGGTGCTCCCAGCCCAATGTGTGTGTGTGAGTGAGACAAAACAAAGTGGATATATAGCTTATGCAATGAGAAGGAAAGAAGAAAAGGAAACGCAGTGACCAGTATGAAGAAGAAGAAAAAAAGTAGATCTGGAAAAAAGAAAAATAAAGAAACTATGTCTGCCGTTGGGAGAGGAACAGAGAGAAGATCAAACAAGCAATGTTGTGTAGCAATCAACTCTGGGTTGGGTATCAAGAGTGCGCAGCAGCAAGGGAAGGGCTGGCCTTGGACAAGAGTAATTACAATCGAAACGGTATGAGACATGGTGTGCGCGTGGGCGCGAGGGCTTCTAGCCTTGTAGTTTTACCGACTCCCTAGTTTGGATCTGAGCAGAAAGAAGAGTAGAAATGAAATAGCTACAAATGAAGTGACGGTAAGAGAGGGATTTCAGCAGAGGTAATGTGCTGAGATGACGTCGAGTCGTATGAATGTGAAGACAAGTCCTGGTAGCAAAAGAGAAGTGACGAGACACTAGCGAAAAGGAGAAGAGTAGTCTAGATGATAGACAACAAAGCAAGGCGGCGAGAACAAATCAACCGTTAAGCATGCCCGTCACACGTGAGCGAATCATAAGCGCAGGTGAGTTCTTTTAGAAGCTGCGGAAGGGATCGTTACCGAGATCAAAGTCGAAAAGGCCAGCGCCACGGCTAGGTTGCTCGCGCGTGCTGGTACTCCATTGGCTACTTCCACGGCGACGGCGGTGCTGCATGTACTGTGCCCGTGGGCCGTAGCTGCTACCCGACTGCTTTGGTTCACCGAGGGCGTTGTCGATGAAAGCTTCCATTCGCACGGTCCCCATGGTATCGAAAAAGTGTTGCCGAGTCGAGTTGCTTGCCTCTGAAGTTCGCGAGCTCATGGCACCACCATTGGGGTTGTATTCTGTCGAGGGCACTGACGGTGGAACGCCGGCGCTGTACATGTCGGATGAGCCGTTGGAGTAGATTGACGGTACGTGTTGGTGAGAGAAAGTTCGAAATGGAACGTTTGGAGGGGGCGCACTTGGTCCGGTCGAGCTCCTCTTCCTGCCGTGTTGCGGACCGCGTCGGATGACGGGCGGACTGGCGGATTCTTCTTGCACTGGCTCCTCGAGGCCAATGAATGGAGGTAGGCTAGGCACCGGCTCGTCATGTAACGCATAGCGTGCCATTACCGGGTTTACCCGGCCCTTTGCAAGACGCACAGAGTCTTGCACACGGCTACGGCGGAGGGTTGCGCCCTGTCGACGGTATTCAGGTTCCTCAATTGGTGGTGGGATAGGTGGTAGAGATCCAACATCCGGCATGGGAGTGGTCGAGCGGGCAAGGAAAGACAGCGCCGTCAGCCACAGGTAATGGCGTTCACGCGACACTGCAGTGAACTTGAGTGCGCGAGCAGGGGTAAGGATAAGGATGGAGCGGTTGAAGAGTGTCTCGTTCCTTGGAGGAGGGCAGTTGTCGGCGACATCGAGAACAGATTGAATCACGACTAGCGATGTGTTAGTAACACGTGGTTCCAGGACGAAAATGACTTACGCTTGCGACCACTCTTGCCCATCAATGCAGACCCAGACGTGGGCTGCTTGCTGCTCCAGAGAATGGCCCTCTCATACGGCGAGATCCAAACCCAGCGCCTGTGCCTCACACCATGATTGGTCAAAGAAGCCTCCTCTGCCTCGCGATTGACGTCTGTTTCGGGGCCGCCAAAGGGCTTCCTCTTGCGGACGTACTTCCACATGAACTCTCCAATCATCGACGCAGCAATTGCGTCAACGACGCTGGTCTGGCTGACGGAGCTGTAGGTTGAGCCGTTGGCTGTGTGACCCGTTGCTGCCGTGGCATTCGAAGGCTGATGGCGGTGACGGAAGCCGCTAGCGCTGGCAATGTCGCTTGGAAGTGGTGGAATGGAATAGCTATCAGCGTTGCTTGGAGTAGCTGGAAGCGTTGGGGACCTGCTGCGAGAGCGACTACCCTTTGCCACCGGAGCAGCAGATCGCACCTTTCTTATACTATCCTTTCGTTGATGCTTCACGCCATAGGGACGGCGCCCACCATGCGAACCGCTGTTCCGGCGCGTCGGGCTTTGGGAACCCTCGCTCTTGCTCATCGGCTTGTTGCGCGAACTAGACCGGGTAGGCACCGGGAAAGGCGGCTTGGGCAAGTAATTGCCTGATCCCAGGCTGCCAATACTTGGGCTTCGAGAGCGAGCATGTGCTGCAGTGCTGCTTTGGATCATCGCAGATCGCCGAATGCTGGGTTGGCGGCTAATCGAGTTGCGGTGAGCCTTGCCAATTCTGGCAGGCCTTTCCATGGACCCACGCTTCGAGTGCATTGATACGCTGTTAATGGAATCTTCAGACGGCCTGGGGTTTGGTGTAGTCTCCTTGTCTTCTGGCACAGGTGTCGGGGGGTTTACCGGGCGTCCACTCTTGGCATTCCGCGACGAGAGCATCGGGGTCGAGTACTGGAGACCGCCACGCTCGTCATCACTCCATTCGACTTCTTCATCTTCTTCATCAGACGACGGGCCGTCAAATCCAGCAAAAAGGCTGCTTGTGCGGAAGGGTCGACTGAGGAGGTCCTTGGGGTGCTGGCTGGACAATGGACCGTTATCATTGTTTCCAGGGTACCGATTCTCAATTTCCTTGTTTGCAGCAGCCTCCTCAAGTCGGCTTGCAAGATTCTGGCGCGCATTCGTCTTCGACGCGGACTGTTGGGTGTCATCCGGGACAAATTGATGGGAATCCTTCGTAGCGACTCCGCTGTTGTCTGGTGTTCCGGGCTTGGATGTAATGGCAGATGGAAGGAGATGCGGTGGAAGCTTGACAGGCCTTTGGTCAATCCTGATGGGCTCAGTCTGCATGCCTGTTGATTGCATTGAGACCACCAGCTCTCCGCTCGTCTGTGTCGACATGTTCTTCGTGCCTGGGGGCAGGATAGGCGCTCTAGGGGACGAAGGCGCCGATGTTGGGGCGTGTATAGCAATTGACGGGATTGGAATGGGAGCTGGTGGAGTAGCTCGCTTGGGTATCTCAGGTGCGACATTTAGCTCGACGGGAGAATCTGTCTGAGTTGCAATGGATACGGATACAACCTCAGGTGGGCAACTTTGTTGCAAGAGTTTTTCATCCGAGGGCGCTGGAATGGTGGGAGTCGGCGGGGGGCTTAAAGGCTCAATAGTCTGGACTGAAGTCGATGTCATTATGCATGTTTCAGGGCGGACATGGGGTGGCGAGCTAGAAGTCAGGGCCACAGAAACCCTCTTGCGACTCTGATTTGCCTCGATTTCGGCAGCGGTAGATGCGGTCTCAATGGGCTTGGTGTGAACAATTGGCTCATTGGTCTGTGATGCCGCTTCAACCATGGCAGGCTTCGTTGGGGAGGGCGGAGGAGATGGCTGGACGCCAGTGCTGACATAGATAGGCCGTGTTGGTGGGAAACCCAACATTAGCTCGCGAGGCGTGGCTGTTATCGAGGACTTTTCGGTCTCGTAAGACGTCTTTCTCGGCTCGGTATCCTCGGACGGTGCGACAGGGCTATCCCGGATACCCTGGTGAGGCTCATTGCTCAAGCCTAGTATGCGCTTTGCTTTTTCGTCCGGCAGCATCGACTGCCGCGTCTCCAGGGCCTTGCGTGCTTTGATTTCGTGCTCGGAGAAATCATCCGCCGAGTCGAGCTCCAATTCATCCAGTTCCTCTTCCTCGTCAAAAATAAGCTCATCTGCAAGACTGATACCGTTGCCGCGGTTGAGCCCGTCAGCACTCATCAAAGACATGCGGTAGTTCCGGCCTAGGCTCTTCCAGCTACTGTTGCTTCGGGTCCTCGAATGACGTCCAACGCGAGTGGATGGTCTCCGTTGCGGCGATGAACGTATGCTGCCTGCGTCGCTCTCCGGCACACCAGCATCCTGGGCCAACTCTTCGGCTTCGTTTTCGAGACGAGCCTCTTCGTTGGCCTCTTCTTGCATGGCAATCTCTTCCAGAAGCATCTTCAGCCGGGTCTCGGATACGTGAACCCGTCGCTCCAGCAATCGCTTTTCTCCGGACCACTCCTCCTTTTCACGCGCCCACATGTCGTGCACTCTGGTCGAATCATCATCCTGGTTCCGCGTCTTCTTCTCAGCGGCAGCAAGCTTCTGGCGCAAATCAGCATTGGCCTCCTTCATCTTGTCCCTCTCCCCGGCAATCTCTTCCAGGGCAGCGAGGGTTTCGTTCTCAAAGTGCTGGAGCTGTTTCTTTGCAGACTTGCTCTCTTTGGTGGAAGCGGCCAGCTGCTTGGTGAGTGACTCATTGTCGGCTCGGGTTGCCTCGAGATTGGCCTCGAGGTCATCGATGAATCGATGTTTGGAATCGAGCTCGCGGCGGAGATTGAGAATCTCCGACACCAAATTGGCATGCAGGGTTGGGGTGAAGCGGCGAGGGTCGAGTATTGAAATGTTCTCGTCGTTGGCGGCATCGTCTGAACAGAATTCTCGGTCCGGCGGAACGGGAGGCGGCGAGCTGGTGATGTCACTGCCGGGTGTTTCATGCCTGGAATTCCGCCGTGAAAGCGAATCGTATGGAGTGCCGGTGGGGGTAGGTAAGGAATGATTGGCAGCAAAGGCCTCGTTATCCGAATAGTAATCGGACATGTTGGGGGGGGGGCGATATGTATATATCAAGTGAGGGGATAATTAGGCAATAGAAATATCAGAACCACAACACAGTGGTGCTGGGGGTTATGTGCCGTTCACCACATACCTGGAGGGCAGTCAGACGGCATTGGCGGGCAGGCGTGGCATGTATGGACGTACCGGTTGAACGCGCTATAACAAGGTCGGGAACTGGATGCCCGGGGACATGCAACAAGGACAAGCAGGTGGTAGGCGTGGCAGGCGACGCGGGCAAGTATGACGTTGGATGGGTGGTGGCGGGGACGGGCAGTGGGAAGGAGACAGGAAAGAGATGATGACGTTGAGCAAAAGGCGATTGGGAGTAAGAAGAAAAGGATTGTCGGTGGCAGGCGGGCACCGGCACGAACAACGAGGGCGAATCGAGGTGTCGGTGGCACGGGGCGTCAGGAGGAGGCGGCGGAGAAGAAGAAGGACGACGAGGGTGAGGAGGGTGAGGAGGGCGACGAGGGTGAGGAGAGGTGCGAGGGGCCGGGCACAACTTGAGCACACGGAGTGCACGAGTCGGCCATGCAGGCGGCAGGCTTGCGCGAGCAGGCACAAGTCCGCACAGTCCTCTGGGGGAGACGGGACTGGGAGCACGAGGGCGAATGGCGATCAGAGAAGGGCTTGCAACCCCATCTGTGCCTGGCCAATTTGTTTCGACGTCTGCTCGTCTCGTCTGCTCGTCGCTCGTCCTGTCGACGCCCGCGGGCTTATGCAGGCCCTCCTCGCACTAGCGCGCGCACGGGCGTCCCTGCATGCAGGCCGTAAGCCGAGGCATCCCTGCTGTACGAGGCGTCCCGCGCTGCGGCGTCTGGCGGCCGCTGATTGGCTGCCCGCCTAGGCCCAACGTTCCGAGGCATGCGTCCCGCGACCACAGGCGCGAGGGAAATGATGATCTGACAACCCATCCTCCTCGAGCGCCCTCTCTTTCTCCGCCGCACCCAGCACCCAGCACGCCCACGCACGCACACAGCCAGCAACGGCCAGGCCGAGCCACCAGTCACGGTGCGCGCCGCCGCTGCTGATGCTGCTGCACCAGCCCCGCCGCCGCCCAAGATGGCGCCCGTACATATCGACATGGCTGGCACATGTACGTACCGACAGCGACGTGACAGCAGCCATGCCATGCCACCCGCCCCGTCGGCTGCCAAGAGCCCATACGACCAGTCCTTCGGGAGCAGCGCGCGCCCTGCCATATCATGACGAAATGTGATTGAGTTTCAGCCGCTGGCCGGTGCCAGACTATGTGGCTCCAAGCCGAGCCACAGGCGCGTGCAGTGCGCGGTCCGAGCATGCCACGCCCACCACACTGCCCGACTACCCCCGACTACCACCCGCCGCGATGCCGTTAAGTTTCAGCCCGCCAGCAGAGCTACAGTCTAGAGACGACGACCGAATCTTGTCTCCACACCACAGCGGCGGCGGCGACGGCGGGGCGGAGGGGGGTTCGCTTGTCGGAAAAAGGAGGCATGTATACGGCGGTGCGAATGCGCAAAGCAGCGGCATGGGTGCTCAGCCTCATCCTGTGCCTGTGCCTGTACCCTCGAGCACACGCCTGCACCTGCAGGTCAAGCTGCAAAGGAGTGCCAGTCTTCTGCTTTGAGACGAAAGGGATGGCCGTGCACGCCTAGCGCTGCAAAGGAGCCGAGCCTGAGTCCAGATCGACGACATAAATCTCCCAGTTGAAACTGCCGCGACAGAGTTGCTTTGAGAAGTGCATTCGCAAGTTCCTGGTCGCAATGCTATAGCCCGCCCTAGCCTTGGCCGCGAGCAAGTGCAAGTGCAAGCAGTCTGTTGGGGGGGCCGGCGCATGCATTGCAGCCATGTACATGGTAGAAGATGTTCAACAATGGCTGCCGACGCGATCCATGGCCATCATGACTCGGCGGCCCGGTCGGCCACGACGAGCTGCCAGGCGCCACGCAGTCCCCCGGTTAGTCAGAGGCCGTCAGCGTACATGTACAGGACAGGACAGGACAGGACAGGACAGGACAGGACAGGACAGGACAGGACAGGACGACTGACACGAGAAACGCCCAAGGCCTGCGGCAGCCATCAGCCTTGCAGAGCGGTGGAGATGGCAGCCCGCCGATCCAGATTCGTGGGTCCTCTCGCGTCGCGTACCCATGGAGCCTCCAATATCGCCATAGTTTAAATGCGCATGTGCATGTGCATGTGCTTTGGGGCCACCTGCAGGCACCGAGAGTGGATCCGATGTGCGGACGGCTGCAGAACAGGTACAGGGTATCTATGTATATTGTGTGATGGCCTGATCCCGACGCGTCGCGAGATATGGGCAGAGGCGGTCCTGGGACGCTGGAAATTAGGCGACGGCCATGTAATATGCTGCTGGTGTTTCTGTCTCCGCTGGGGGCTCGGCGACGGCGGGAGCTCTCGAGCTAGCCAGGCCAAATAGGAGGTTGGCGTCGTAATCGGCTGGGGGGCCATCGCAGCCGGCCTTGCCCAGATGCTCCGAGGGGAATGGCAGGAGGCGCGGAAGGGATAGTGCTGGGCTTGTCGAGGGTCGAGCGATGAGCATCGAGCGTGTCCAGCGTCCAGCACGTCCAGCACGCCCAGCACGCTCCTCTGGTTGTTCCTCGCCGTCTCTCCTGGCCGTTGCTGCCTGCGACAGGGATGGCCATGCACGCACGGGGCCACGCTCGCGGGACCCCCACCACCACCACCATGGCGTGACTAAGCGACCATGCCGCCGAAAATTCCAGCTCCGTCATTGCCACGCCCGCCAGCTCGACCGTACCTGAGACAGACACCGAAGCCAAAAAAAAACGGTCCTGCGATCATTAGGCACACCATGTCGCAGAAGGCACAGGCGCTGGCACCGGCACCGGCACCCCAGCCCTCCGCCGACATGCCGCCCGCCATGGCCGAGGTCAAGTCGCAGACCGTCGACGAGCTGCTCAAGGAGATGAACCGCATGCCGCTGTTCATGACGAGTCTGGACGAGACGGATGGCGAGGGCGGCGAGAACATGGCCCTCGAGGCCATCAAGGCCATGGCCTACGAGGGCACCCGTGCTGAGATTGCAGACAACTTCCGCCAGCAGGGCAACGAGTGCGCAAGGGCAAAGCAGTGGTCAGACGCAAGGGAATTTTATACCAAGGCCATCGCAGCCCTCAAGGGCCCGCAGACCAGCCGCGATCCAGACGCACAAGGACCCGACGTCATCGAGGTCGAGCTGGACGAGCAAGAGGAAGCCAGCAAGGAGACGGCCATTGCAGAAGCCGTCTACGTCAACCGGGCCTTGTGCAACTTGGAGAAGCGTAAGTTTATGCCACATGGCACGGACGCCTTTGCCCAAGATATGCACTAACACTGCTCAGAAAACTACCGTTCGTGCATCCAGGACTGTGTGGCAGCACTGCAAATCAACCCGTCAAATGTCAAGGCCTTTTACAGGTCAGCCACTGCCGGCCTGGAGCTGAACAAGCTGGATGAAGCTGCGTGGGCCTGCGACCGGGGTCTGGCCCTAGATGCCTCCAATGCGCCCCTCCAGGCGCTAAAGACCAAGATCGAGACCCGGAAAAAGTACATAGAGTCTGTCGACAAGGCACGCCGGGAGCGCGAGGCAAAGGCCGCGTCAGAGCGTGCGACACTGCAGCTTGCCCTCAAGAGCAGAAATATGCTAACACGGAGCACGGAGAAGCCGCCAGATCTAGAAGACGCCACCCTCAAGCTGGAAAACAGCATGGATCCCTCTTCCACACTGACATTCCCCGTCATCCTGCTCTACCCCATCGACTCCCAATCCGACTTTATCAAGGCCTTTTCTGAGCGGGAAAAGCTAGACCAACACCTCGACTACATCTTCCCACTGCCCTGGGACCACAAGCACGAGTACACCCTGGACAACGTCGAAGCCTACATGGAGACGAAGGTAGGCGGGCTAATCAAGGTAGGCAAGAAGATGAGCCTGGGCAAGGTGCTCGGAAGTGGCAAACCCGAGATTGTCGATGGCCTAGTAACCATCAGCGTGGTACCCAAGGATAAGGCTGCCGGGTGGATAGACGAGTTCAAGAAGCGAAAGGGGAAATCCGCATAAACAGCTTACTCTTCTGCCATGTACTATGTATGCAATGTCATGTCATGCCATGCACATAGAGTAGGTTCATCGACGGGCACACGTGCATCTCCAGGGCAGATCGATCTTCCTAGTCCCCTTTCTGGCCCTTTCTTCTCCTTAAACTTGCCATACGATCACCGCCAACGGGCCGAACAAGGAACGCAAGACACAAGTAAACCCTCCCAACCCCTCCCAACCCCCTCTTTCTCTTCGGACACATTACTATTACCAATCGCACGTGGCCCTCTCTAACGCAATCACAAACACGAAGTAGTAATCAAAATCTCCCTGTGTTCCCCACTCTCCCTATGAATACAAACATACTTACATCCACACAGCACCATGTAGTAATACCCCACCCCTCCTCCTCCTTTTTTTTCCCCTTGAAAGTCTGCCTTGTTGCCCCGCCACTGCCCGTACATGAACTAATAAAAGAAAAACCGATATGGGTATGTGTGTGTGTGCGTGTGTGTGTGTATGTGCCCCCCCCCCCTTCTCGGTCCGCAACTTTCAGCTGGACGGAACGACGCACGTCACGAGCTTACCTCACTTCTCACGTGCTTGATCCTGTGAGAAGAAAGAAAAAAACCACGCATACATGTACATAAAATGGGGCAATTCAAGCGGGTAAGAGAGAGAGAGAGAGAGAGCGCGCGCGAGAGGGAGCACAGCATGGGGGGGGGGGTAAGCGCGCACAGCCCCGTATTCCTCGTATGTATGTTTGGTGTACTGTAGTGGCTGTTCCTCGTGTCTTTTCTTCCCTCATTGCCGCGTCATGCCGGTCACACACTGCTTTTCTTTGCTGCTGCTGTTTCTTGGCTGTGGTCGCCAAACACATTTGCGCAAGCAATACCCTATCCCCGTGCTTTGATTTTTTTTTGGTGATGAATGAAATCTGGTGCAAGTGGGAAATACGGAATATACATATGTCCTGGAGTATTGAGATGAAGAAACAAAAGAGAGAGAGAGAGAGGAAGTATTCTGAAGCGCGGATAATGATATATCACGTCATTCCTGACTCCTTATTTTTTTTTCCAGTTCTCCTTTGGATAACACACATGCTTTTAACATGTACGTTGCATGTACCACTCTTGTTATTCACGTTTCCTGGCCTTGTATCTAACAATGCTGCTTCCAGGAAGACCAACAAACGCCAAAGACGGAAGAGATGAGAGCTGACTTGGACGCAGAACGTATACCATACAATCTTCCGCATTGTACAACCACCAACTCACCCACTCCCTCACCCAACAGCCACAGCCCAACAGCCCAACCATCCAACAAACCCACCAACCCAATAAACCCAAACTCATCTCCAATCCCTCCCCCGTCCCCCACCCCCCATCCGGCCATTATAACCGCCTCGGCCTATAGCCCTATATGCACCCCGCTATATACCTCGTATTTCAAAAAAAAAGAGAGAGAAAAAAAAGCCACTCGCATCCGAACGCCTGGGAGCCCCGGTCCCCCCGAGTCCCGGTCCTTGGTCATCCTATTCATATCCCTACGTATATCCCGATGTACATGTAAGACGTATGTTTATACAGACAGACAGGCAGGCAGACGGGTACTGGTGGAGAGGCAGATGGGTACATGCTGGCTGCTGCTGCTGCTGTAACAGCGGGACGGGAGCGCGCAGGAACAAGGGAAAGCCGGGGCTGTCGCTTTGTTTACCTACTGCGGCTGTAGCTGTGGCGGGAATAAGTATGTGAGTGGGTGTGGGTGTGGATGTGGATGTGGATGTGGATGGGCGGGTAAAGTGAACGGATGGGTCGTGTCTTTTGCATTTGCATTTGCATTGCATTGCATTGCAGCGCATTGCGCTTGCATGGGGGGGGGGGAAGGCAGCGGGCGGGATGCATGTGACAGCATGCAGGTACCTTTCTGTATTTCACATTCGGCCGTGTAACCACCACGCATGCAGAACTCACTCGGCAAGATAAGGCAGGGTAAGTAAGTAGCCACTAACCACGCCCATCTACACAACCACCGTACCACCTTCCATAAACCCGCAAAACAGCCAACCTAGCCACGACGGGGCGGGGGGGGGGGCGGTGTATTGATATTATTTCTACATGCACACACACACACTCTTATCGCGGGCATTGGAATTGCTACCCGATAACATGCTTATATCACCAATTCCATGTCGTATATGTCGATCTGCTATGTATTATAATTCTGCCTGGAATCTTTTGCCTCACGCTCGTACCACGTATGCACGCACGCACGCACGCACGCACACTACTAAGAGACAATTATTATTAGCAAGCTGTTATTATACAATGTGTACGTATGTATGTATGTAAGTATATATGTATGTAAGGATATATAGGCGGTTTTACTATATATATTATAAAGCATTACTAATTCCGCAAAAATTGAAAAAGAAAAACTGGTTGTGGATCAACCTCGAAAATAAGGTTTTTTTTTTATATTTTTTTGTAAAGATTTTTTCTTTCTTTATTTCTTTCTTTCTTTCTTTACTTTTCTTTGGGTATTCGGAATAACGATGAGAGGATATGGAATCATGATACTTGCAATGTACTTAGAGAAAACCAGGAATATTTCTCCCCCTGCTGCGTTATTTTATCTTAACCTTACCTTTACCTTCCCTTTCAACTCGATCTTGCTTATCCTCAGCATCCACATTCATCAACACAACATAAATTAATCCTTGATTTTGCTAGTTGTGTTCAACCTAGTAACCCAGTAGCCCAATTAATTTCCTTCCCTTCCCCCCCTTCCCCCCCCCCATGTCTCTGCGCCACACCACTACCCACCCCGGCGGTACCTCCGCAGTTTCCCTTCCCGTCCCACGTCCACGTCTGCCGTCCGTGTCCAAAGCAGGCATTCAGCCCGCGGTGCTGGTTTTTTTTTCTTTTCTTTTGCTTATCTACGTACATACTTCGCTTATGCAGGGGGGGGGGTCGCCGCAGACACGAGCGGGTGGGTACAAGAGACAGCAGCGGGAGTTAAAGTAAGTTGATCATTTTGTAGCTATGTAAGCCAGAAATCTTGTGGTTATTTTAGAAAACAAGGTTTCGGGGCTTGGCTTTGGTCTTTGCTTTCCGTGTGCAACGCGTTTATCCAGGCGGCGTTTCCGCGCGTGATGAGGCTAGGTGAGGCGAGGCGAGGTGAGGCGATGGGGAAGAGAGGGAGACCGCTTTCTGGTACCTCCCGACCCTTACTTAGCGGGTGGGTAATCTGTGGACGCGCGTGCGGGTGAAGAGGGTGGCCCGAAAACCGCGGAAGAGAAGCGAAAAGAAAATAGTGCGTGTGGAAAACGGTTTGTCGAGACGAGGTTGGTTGTTTGGGAGTTGGTTTTGTAGATTTAGCCGTTGAGAAGGATTAGTTGGGACGGCAAACAGGGTGTTCGGTCTACACCCAAAGGAGAAAAGAGGCAGAAAGGAATGCAGCAAGGAGCAAGCCAAAAACGCCATTCTCCGGGGTTATCTGCACCAATCACGATAACAAAAAAGGTATCCATGGTGGTATTGTGTAATGGTATTCATATTCTATGTATGGTGGGAAAATACATGGGAACACCAGAGTGCCGCAAATGAAAAGAAAAAGGTCTGTCTTGAAAAACGCCTCCTGAGCAAGCACAATTGCATCATGCAGCCTGCAAGCTGGAGTTTGCAGTCAAGACCCGCAAGAACATGGTAGTAGCCGGTTGATGGCAGGAGTTCCGGTACCCTGCAAAGACGGCCGAACAATTTTGTGCCATGGCACAAGAGGAAAGTCGTGAATCCAGCAAAAAGCAAAGGAATGAAAAAGTGTCCGAGCTAACGCTCGTATAATCAGTCAGCCTTGTGGCATGCGTAAAGGTCGCGCACCGTGTGCTTCAGTTATCCTTGTCGTAAAGCTTCTTCTTGCGCGTCATAGCTTCCTCAAGCTCAACCCACGCCAGCGGATGCATCTTGTCACGGTATGCGTAGTATTTGTCAGGCGTCTGGACCACCTCGTCGGCCTTGACCTGTTCCAGATAGCTCAGAAACCTGACGTCAGACCGCTGCAGTTGTCGGCGGCCAGCAAAGAAGAGGGAAATCTTTCGAAGTTTGGCGCCACGAAGAATACGCAGGCAGTTGAGCAGATAATCGTCATTGAGGTAACGGCGGCTCTCGTTGGACGTATAGTAAGGCGTGTCGCGAGGGTGCGCGTCGTCAAAGACCCACTTGATATCGCGGAGATATTGCAGGTTCTCTGGCCCAATCATCTTGAGGAAGTGCAGCACATCCTGATAGCCAATCTCCTTGGGCACAGCCTCCCAGAACGGACCACGTGTGGCGTAATGGCGGTGGAATGAGAATGTGTTCTCACCGTACAGAATCGAGCAGCCTTCGCTATGGACCAGTTTACAGGTTCGGAGAAACTGGCCAGACTTTGAAAGAGACGAGGCAGAGCTGTGTCGGCTCACTGGGATCCTAAGCCTCTGGTCCTTGTCTTTCCGAGCAAACAGATAGCGATAGATGGTGTTGCGCAGCTCTGGCGGCAAGTCTGTAAATCCCTTTGGTTGCACGGTAGCTTTTCCTTTGGACTTTGATTCCGGAGAAGCAGTGCACATCTTCTTGGACTTGCTTGGCTTCATCTCATGCAGTGTGCCTTGCTCGCTGGTTTCGATCAGAGCGCGGTCGAGCTTGACAAAGAGAGGGCCATGGAAGCCTAGCGGGACGTTGAACTGCAGTGTCATTGGCGAAGGTTTCTTGATGTTGCGAACAAAGACACCGCCCTCCTCCACGTCGGTCAATTCGTCAAGCTCTTGGTCGAGGATGACAGGGTCTAGATGAGGCGACGGGGGCGAGGGACTGCGTTTGCGCTTCTTTGCACGTCCTTTCTTCTTCTTGTTTGCACGGCCGTGTGGCTCCATGTCTTCGTCGTCTTGTTCATCGCTCTCCTCGGCGGTTAGTGGGCCTAGATCCTCGTCTTGGATGTCGACGTAGCCGTCTACTCTTTTGATTTTGCCGGCGCTCTTCCGGATGGGGCGGCCTGTGTGTTTGTTGTAGGCTGTTGTCTTTGACGGACTTCCGAGCTCGGGGCTGCTGTCTCCGTGGCAGAGCTTGACTGGCTGTCGGCTCGGCGTCTTGACTTGGGGAGCCATGACGAAGCGCCTGCGGGCAGCCGAGCCACTAGTCGAGAGACGGTAGTGGTATAGGGCTGGCGGGGGTGGAGGTTGATGTTGAGGTTGTGGTAGAGGTTGCGGTCAAGGTGAGTCGGTGGCGGCGGAGTAGCGTGGGCGCGATAAACAGGTCGGTCGCGCGTGGAAGTGACAGCCATGGTGACCGCGTGCTTTCCGAGATGGTATTGCTAGCAGCCTTGGCGAGCTATTTACTAGCAGTGAGAGGGCGTTGTAGCACCTGAGGGGGGTGATGGCAACAGGCAAGGAATGCAGAACTGCATCGTCGCGCATGCTTCAGTACCGCGTGTGTGAATTGCTGAGCTTTGTTAACAAGCTAACGCGTTGTACAGGCTATCAAGGGTCGTTAATCGTAGGAAGAGATGGTCCACCGGCATGTAAGAGGGGGTTAGAAGGGACCGGCGATGGCGACATTGTTACTTGACATGGCAGACAAACGCTGAAAAGCATCCAGGACGCAGTCTCTCAGCCACCCAAGCCGGTACGCCCTTCTCTTCCTACTGTCCTGCACCACGAGATGTCTCCTCAACACAGTCCCCTCACATGTCGCGGTACGTGGTCCGTCCACGCTCGAGCAATAGACGGAGCTTATCCAACAAACGCGCCGTTATCAAAGCTACCAAACAGCAGGAGAATTTCAACGCGCAGCAAGGTGCTCGCACCATGGAATATATTGAGATGCTACATACAACTAGACATTTGGCAGCGCAAACACACTGCATGGCAGCTCGGTGGTGCGTGACACCAGCAGCCAGCATCAACAGACGCATTACGCAACGTAGCCGATCATAGAGATTTTCGTCCCCCTAGGTGGTGGGTGCCGGGGCGTGTCAGCAGCTCCCACGTCGACCAGCGAGCGCCGGCCGAGTGAGGATGCAGCTGTTTCTGAGCGGTCATATCATCTCGGGTTTAGTTACGTGAAGAGCGAGGAGAGCAAGCGACGGAGGCGAGGATATTTTCCGCCGGAGAAACGTTTTTCGGCGCCGATACGCGACCCCGGCGGCAAGGCGGTGGGCTGCTCTGTGCTGGGGTTTCCGTGATTAAGCGGAGCCCATCGTTTGGTTGCCGCATCGAGACTACGAGTCCGGCTCACGATCAACATCGCCCCGTTTATAAAGTCGCGCGCCACGCTCCAGCTCTGCGCACACGATTGACCAGCCATGGCCACCCTCAGAGCTGCCTGCAGAGCGCCCTTGCGCCATCTGACTCCCCGCTCGCCTGCCTCAATTGCCTCGAGAGCGCCTCCCACAGTACTGCAGCGCCAATGGCGGGGCTACGCGACCAGCATGGATGCCCAGCAAAAGGTGCGCAACACCGAGAAGTGAAAGCGTCCAGCCGGCTAACAAGCGCCAGATCCTCTCCCAGGACCTTGAACAGGCCGATCCTACCGTCTACGAAATCATCAGCAGGGTTCGTCATCTCCAGCAGCCCGAGCCAGGACGCTCAAACTCACCACTTTGCGACTACAGGAGAAGCACCGCCAGAAGCACTTTATAAACCTCATTCCCTCGGAGAACTTCACTTCGCAAGCCGTTCTCGATGCTCTTGGCAGTGTCATGCAGAGTAAGTGGTGCGCCGCTATTGCACCGCCCCAAGCTCATGCCGCGCAACAGATAAATACTCCGAAGGATACCCAGGCGCGCGATACTACGGAGGAAATGAGCACATTGATGCGGCAGAGCGTCTGTGCCAGGAACGAGCGCTCAAGGCCTTTGGCCTCAACCCTGCAGAGTGGGGTGTCAACGTACAGGGTGAGTCAGGCGCAATAGTAGTGGGAATATCTCTAACACCGCTATGCAGCCCTTTCGGGATCTCCCGCAAACCTCTACGCTTACTCCGCCGTCCTCAATGCCCACGACCGAATCCTCAGTCTTGACCTGCCCCACGGCGGCCACTTGTCGCATGGCTACCAAACCCCGACCAAGAAAATCTCGGCTGTTTCCAAGTACTTTGAAACTCTCCCATACCGACTCAATGAAAAAACCGGCATCATCGACTACGACAAGATGGAGGAACTGGCACACCTGTACAGGCCCAAGGTTATTGTTGCAGGCACATCAGCCTACAGCCGATTGATTGAGTATGAGCGCATGCGAAAGCTGGCAAACGACGTTGGCGCCTACCTGCTTTCTGATATGGCACACATTTCCGGACTTGTTGCCGCCGGTGTCATTCCCTCTCCATTCCCTCACTCCGATATTGTCACCACCACAACCCACAAGTCTCTGCGTGGCCCGCGAGGTGCTATGATCTTCTACCGCAAGGGCGTAAGAAAGGTCGACAAGAAGGGCAAGGAGGAGATGTACGATCTCGAGGGCCCCATCAACGCATCCGTGTTCCCCGGCCACCAGGGAGGACCTCACAACCACACCATCACTGCTCTAGCTGTAGCCCTGCAACAGGCCTCGACCCAGGAATTTAAAGACTACCAGAAGCAGGTACTCGAAAACGCAAAGGCCCTTGCACAGCGTCTTGGCGACTCAAAAGAAAACGGCGGTCTCGGTTATAACATTGTTTCTGGTGGCACTGACAACCACCTTGTCCTTGTCGACCTCAAGGATCGCGGCGTTGACGGCGCACGAGTCGAACGCATCTTGGAACTTGTTGGTGTCGCCTCCAACAAGAACACTGTTCCCGGCGACAAATCAGCAATGAAGCCTGGCGGTCTGCGCCTCGGCACACCAGCCATGACCACCCGTGGCTTCCAGGCCTCCGACTTCCAGCGTGTGGCTGACGTTGTGCACCGCGCCGTCGGCATCACACAGAAGCTGGACAAGGATGCCAAGAAGAAGGCCGAAGAGAATGGACGCAAGAACCCTACTAGCGTCGCTGCCTTTAAGGAATACGTTGGTGAAGGTGAAGACATTACCGAGATTATCGAACTCAAAAAGGAGGTTGAGGATTGGGTATCTACATTTGCGCTACCATGGGACAAGGCTCAATGACGAGCTACGATATGACGAAAAATATACGCCCTGCAACTGGTTCTTTTGGCGTTTTTGAGGTGAAGGCAAGGGCTTTTTGATTGTATGTATGAGAGGCTTTCTTTTTCACGGACGGCCAGAACAATGGTTCGTTTTCCGTCTTCACCAAGCCCGCCTTGTTCAAATTCAACATTTATTGAGCGACGATCTTTGTATTGTCTGCTCCACGCACTGCATCTTCTCTTATGATGTGGCCTTTTCCTTGAAAAAAAAACAGTCTTGATTCTCGTCACTTTATCTGTTTGCTTTTCCGTGCGTTTACTTACCCACCGCCACAGGACATCCTGCGCATTCTCAAATACTCGTTGTCGAACAAGCACAAGCCGGTGACGCAGACAACACAACACCATGGTTTCCACACTCCTTGCACTCTGCCTCTTCGCCTGCCACGCCATTGCATTGGTGTCTGCGCACAACACGACCGTGACATCTACATCTATGCTTACAATCCCCATCTTCACTCTCGTCGTCGTCAACCCGAGTTCGCCCCCTCTCTCACCGCCACCACCACCAACAAACACAACCACATCTCTCTTACCACCCAGCCATGATCTGCAGCCCTCTGCAAGCGAGACATCCGTTTCTACAACCCCACGCTCTCTCACTCGCACTCCTAGCCTGGTCACACTCGCATCACCCGTTCATGCAACACTACCTCACACTCCCCTTCCCCCTCCAAATTCCATGACTACAACGACAACGACAACGACAACGACAACGACAACGACAACGACAACGACAACGACAACGACAACGACACCCAGCACCAACTTCGCAGCCCAAATCTCATCTACCCCCTGGATCGTCCCCGTGACCGCCACACTACTCTGCTACGACTTTCTGCTCGCGCTAGCGCTAGCCTGGTGCTGGGCCATGGGCTGGTTTTGGTGGTGGAGAAATCCCAGCCACAGGAATAGTACTAGGCGGGAAAGAAGAGCCGTACTTGCATGGGATGAAGATGAGGAGATGGGGGATGGGGGTGTTGAGTGGGAGGATCAAGAGGAGGCTAGAAGGAGGAGGAGGAGGAGGAGGAGAAGACATGTTGCGCTCACGAGGGTTATGCTGGTGGATGGTGGGATTGAGGGCGAGATGCGGAGGTTGGGTATGCTGTGATGTGATGTGATGTGGTATGGTTTGGACGATGTGGGGGGGGGAGGGGATATGGGGATATGGAAATGATGGAGTGAGGAGAAGAGAAAAAAAAAAAGAGGGGGGGGGGTTAGTGTCTGATCTTCGCGACTGGGAGAAGTGTATATACATGTATATATATATGCTGCAGCGTGACGGAAATGCGAATTCATATTCAAAAAACGAGAATAGGAAGGAAGGACCAAAAAAAACGTTGCGGATATCATTACACTAGCACAAAAGTCCAAAAAACCCCAACTCGCTGGGCAACACCCAGGATGCGCATCAGAATATACAAAAACTCACAACTCTCAACTCACCCATGCATCGTCTGCCCACCGGGCCCACGCTCCCAAAACTCCAACGTGAGCGCACTCAAGAAACACGGAATCTCCTTGCGACCCTCGACCCAATACACAATCTGATCGCGAATCTCATTGGCAAACAGGCTGTGCTCGCCGCCGCTGACTTTCATGGTTCCGTTTTCGCCATCAAACACGATGCTGTTTTCGGCGTCGTCGTCGGCGGGCTTGAACATGCTGGTGACTTTTACGCGGCCGTTGGGCATAAAGTCGAGTTTCCAGCCGAGAATCGAGGCGACGGCCTCGCGGAACTCGAGGGATTTGGCTGTCCAGATTTGCTTGAGGCGCACGATTTTCTTGGACGACGAGGCGAGTTGGGCTTTGAGTTCTTCGAGCTCGTCGCGCGCGGCATCGAGCGTAGCTAGAGGCACGCTGGAGGGTGCTTGCTTGCCGTTTTCGAGTTGGTCGAGGAGCTGGGCATTTGCTTCGCGCAGGGTGCGGACGGTGCTGAGTTTGAGGGCTTCGGCGTCGGCCGTGGGGTTGGATTTCAGCTCTAGGACTCGTGTGCGAGAGGATTCTTTGAGCTTCTTGAGCTGCGAGTGCTGGGCTGTGTACTCGGATTCGACGAGCTTCATCTTCTTTTGGAGTGCGTGGAGGTCGTCTTGGAGCTGTCGGTTCTTGCGTCGTAGCTCGCCTACACGTTCTTCGTTCTCGTCGGTCTCGAGGGGCCGCTTCTGTCCTGCTACGGCGGTAGTAGGCTTTTCAAGACCGTTGAACTCCTTTTGCAAAGTATCGACTTCTTTGCGGTATTGATCTACGAGGTCCTCGAGCTCTTTGATCCGCTCGGACTTTGCTGCATCGTACATGTCAGGCTGCATCTCGCGTTCTTCGTCATCAAAGGCCTTGACTTGGGCGCGTAGGAACTCGACCTCTTTAGTTGCCAGCGTCTTCTGCCGCTCTAGACGCGCTCGTGCCTTTGCATCAGCGCTGTTAGCTGCACTCGTGCTTCCCACAGTCTTGAGCTGCTGGATCTCTGCCTGCAGCTGGACCTTCTCTTCCTCGAGCGCTTGTATGGTCGCCTCTTTGACTGTGAGTTCTGGTTTGATCTCACCCAACCTGTTGAGAAGATCGGTCCTTTCTATACGCTCTTGGATGAAAGCCCGCGCGAGGTCTTGAGGTGTTTCGAACATTACCTGTCCGTGGGTTTCGGCTTCAGCTTCCAGGTACGATGTCCAAGAGTCTCGCTCTTCCTCAAGAACCTGTCTCCGCAGCTCTGCCTCACCAAGCTGCCGTTGCAGATCGTCCATCATGCGCAGCTTAGTCTGCAGCGACCTCTTCTCCTCTTCCACAACCTCGATGGCCTTGTGTTGTTTCCGGTATTGCTTGAGCTCGGCATTCTGCTCCCGGGTCAAAGTCTCCAGCTTCTTGATATGTGCCACCTGGTCAGACAGCTCCCTCTTAATCACCGCAAGCGTCTCTGCATCCCCTGTGATGGCCTTGAGACGCAACACTTCAGCCTCCTTTTGTCCAGCCTCTTCCTCCTTTTCTGCAAGCGCCCGCTGTGTAGCCTGCAGCGCATTGACTTTAGCCTGTAGATCTGCTTGCATCTCCTCCATGCTCTCCTTGAGTTTCCGGTGCTCCGTCTGCAGGGTGTTGTATCTGTGTTCATTCTGCCGTTGCGATGTTGACAACTCCTCCTTGACCTCATCGTACTCTTCCTGTATCGATTGCGCCTTTTCCTGGCTCTCCCGTAGCCGCCTCTCTAACGCGAGTCGCTCATTGGCAGTCCGTGTCTGCAGCTCAGACATCTCCCTTGACAAGGACTCATATTTCTTCGCGATATTACTACTCGAAGCCTCGACTTGCTGAGCTTTGCGGAAATCGGTATCGGCGCGGTTCTGGGCATCCCGGAGTTCTTGCGCATGCTCCAATTTCATCATCTCCTTTTCTTGTTTGGCTGTTTCGAGCTCATACCGCAGCGTGTTAAGCTGCGCGCGGAGGTCTTCATTGATAGGATCCGAGGGCACAACCGTGTGCGGCGCATTCTGCGAGGCTCGCAATGTGGTCCGAGATGTTTCGCGCAGAGGTTCTCTTTTCGCAGGTGCTGGCGCAGGCGCGGGTTCCTCTTCGCCGGTGAGGAAGTTGAATGATGGTTGCGTTGTGTTGCGCACAGCCATGGTAGCGGCTTTGTCCTTTGTTTATTGTGTCGGGGATAAAGCTAGGTTAGTAAGGATGTAGAATTGGAGAGCGCGGCTAGACCATGACATGGATCCAGACGCAGTCTCTCTTTTGCAGAGCCAGCACAGGTTGGGGGTAAGTGGGTGATGTGCTTGTTGTCGCAATTGTCGGGGTCGAGGGCCCAAAAGCGCCGCTGCGACGGGCGGGCTTACTTAGCGCGTGAGGTGTCTCTGTCGCGCAGGCACGTGCTTTCTGCTGTACAATCCTCACATGACGAGCTTGCAAACATAGCGCAGTGACTTGCAGCCTCATTATCAGACTCGGTATCACTAATAATACAAAATCAAAGCAACCACTATTTCTCCTTAAAGTCTTCCCAGGCCTTGGAAAAGACATCGCCTTCTCCGTCTCTCCAGCCCCATGCGACGCAGTAATGCTTAAGCAACATATCAAGCTCTTCTAGCTCGTCGAGAAACTCGAGACCAGCAATGCGCTCCTTTTCCCCATCACTGATCCATCTTTGCCAAATCGTGTGTGTGTCGGCTGCCTTCGCCCCAGCCCCCAGCCCGTAACTCTGGAGGCGTGCGCGCTGGTCGTCGAGTCCGGGATACGCAGTCAGTGTGTGGAGATGGATGTTGCGCGTCCGGAGATTCGCAATCATGGTCTGGCCAAAAGCATCTTGCGGTAGGATCGGTTCGTAGAGTATAAGGGACGCAGGCGTTGTCGGTCGCAGATAGTGTGTCAATAGCGATGAGACTACCGACTGCACTGTCGAAGGCTGTAGATAGACCAGACACATTTCGGACAGGATCAAGGTCGGTACGTTTGAGTCTAGGTTCGGTATCTGAGGTAGAGGCGCCTTGTCCGAAGGGTCGGCCAAACAGCGTAGATCGAGCGCATGAACATTATAATCGTCTGAGTGGTATGAGGCCGAGTCCGAGGGCGTTTGCAGCAGCTTCCGATGGAGCAATGGCTGCCGTTGTATGGCGGCTATCTTCGCAGAGGTATTTGTAGGGAAGTCGATCTCGTGATATATGAGTCGTGTCTCGGGATACTGGTCGAGGAGGCGGAAGAAGCGCGTGTCGGTGCCAGCACCGAGCGAGATGATCTGCTTTGGCGCAGAGGGGTAGGTGACGAGGAATTTAGCGACGAGAAGGTCGATGGCCGACGTGCGCACGTAGGTCCCCCTGTTCAGCAACGGGAGCTTCCTTGTCGTCGGCTGTGTTGCGAATAGCCTTGCATATGGGTCGTGAAGATAGCCCAGCTCTACGCAGCTCACCCTGCTCCCCGCAGCATCTTGATCGGTACCCTTGACGGCATTGTCCAGCGCCTGTGCCCGTTCTTCGCTAGACCGTCCCAATCCTCCTCTCCCGGCTCCTCTTCCTCTTGGCGGTCCCCCGCGACGTTGGCCAAGAAGTGTCTTGAGGTTGGGGATTTCGTTTGACGCGGCCATGCTTTCGAGCTCGAGATGCTTGGACTTGGTGGGGTTAGCTCCAGAGCGGCGCTAGGGCTGCTAGCGCAACTGCACGCCAAGGCTGGACCTGAGGAACTTCTGGAGATTTCTTTGACGCGACACAACTTCACTCACCCTCGCGCCGACGCTCCCCACAAAACCGCACGCCTATCCGTCTCCCGGCCCCCGCGATCGCAAATATGGACGGCGAAAAGTACAGCCCAAGCTTGATTCGCCTCTGGAGGGTCTGGCGCACCGCAAAGGAGATGATGAACGACCGGGTAGGTTGCGCCGCGAGCAATACCCAAGTGCACGCTGACTCTATCAAAAGGGCTACATGGTGGTGGAGGATGATATGACAATGTCGCTTGATGAGTTCTCGCGGCGCTATGCGCGCGAAGACGGAGAGCCTGAGTATGCATCGCCGCATTCTCACCTCTAGGCAGTACTGACCACGTCCAGCCGCTCGCGCCTCAACTTTTCCTGCCAACCCTCTGAAGAAATGCTCGCAAAGTACACGGATGCCCCGACAAAGAAGAACCCCAACCCCCTCCCCAGCATCGGCACCATCTGGGTCGAGTTCAACGCCGACGAGAACGTTGGTATGAAGCAACTGCGCGAGTACATGGCACATCTTGTCAACGGCTCCTTCCACTCCGGAATCATGGTCACCGTAAAGCCCATGACGGGCATGGCTATTCGGCTGCTCCGCGGTGCCACGAGCATCACCGACGGACCAAAGGGTGGCGTAGAGGTCTTTGTCGAGCAGGATCTGTTGGTCAACATTACAAAGCACGAGCTGGTACCCAAGCACGTGCTGCTGAGCGACGAAGAGAAGCAACAGCTGCTACAGCGATACCGATTGAAGCAGACACAATTGCCCAGAATCCAATCCACGGACCCGGTCGCAAAGTACCTGGGCTTGAGGAGAGGCGCTGTTGTCAAGATTATCCGAAAATCTGAGACAGCAGGTCGATATGCCAGTTACCGATGGGTCATATAGAAAGAAAAAGGGTCATGAAGGCGCGAGCAATCGACACGAGGTGCTGCATTCGGCGAGGCGTTTGGCGAAACAGACTGGGTTTGCTTTTTTATCTCTCTCTTCCCACATCATCTGCGAAAGACGAAAAGTCCAATGAAAGTAATTCTCTTTCCGCAACTCCTACGCGTGTGTCATGGAGGAAAATCCAAAGGAAAAAAAAACTAATTTTACACTTTAAGCACTTGTCATACCTCATCCGCACGTCATCGCACCAAGCATCCGCATCCGTCCATCCATCCATTCCATCACACCGCTTGCGTGTGCATACACCCCTTCCAATCCCCCCCTCCTTCCGTCCCTCAACCTTCCCATCCAAGTAACTCTCGTCAAAAACCATCAATTCCTGCGCTTGACTACTGTCTTGATCGGTGAGCCCGTGAATGCATGAACCAGGCACACATACACGCACCCCCCCACCCCCCACTCCACCTCTCACTCTCTCTCACACACCCCCAAACTACTAAACAACCATATCCGTCACTCCAACTGCCTCACCGGCCATGCAGCATAATCCCCTTCTGGCTACCTGCTAAGCCCGACGCGGTAAGCAGCGCGCTGGCCTGGCCCACAGCGACATGGGTTGCTTGACCGTTTGGTCCGGGTACAAGAGCCGTGGATTTTATGCGCATGCGCGACGCGCTGTTCCCGGAAACCTGTGTGTGGGGAGGGGGGTTTTTTCAAGTTTTTGACCTGCGAGTGGGAGCAGAAAGCGTGGCATCGAGGGATGGAAGCGCTGTTAGTGGTGCTGGATTGGGGAAAAGCAAGGGGGGTTGCATTGCATGTGTGTTGTGAGGTGCTGGTGCTGCTTACTTACAGCTTACTTACTTTATCCAAGTTACTTACTTACCGCTTATGCTGCTGATCTGCCGCGGAACCGGACGAACCATGATTACTTGTCTTGCGATGCTTTTCTCCTTCTTCATGTTGTGATTACTTGGTGGATGTTTTTCCGGATTGGGAAATTGGTCGTTGGATATTTTTTGTGGGGGTTCATGCTGACGGGGTGCGTGAACTTTATTGTGCCTTTGGCCCCCCCTGCGCGCTTGGTGGCTACCTGGTGAGTTTATGGGGATATTGCTTGCTGAGAACAAATTAGGTAAATGGTCATGATTGGTTAGTTTGGGAAGGTAGGTAGAATTTTAATTCGGGTATCATGCTTAGCTATTGAGACGGCTTCTTATATAAACAGGTGTAGGCGTGTGAACGAAAGTAACTTGACATGACAGAAGCTTCAAGATTCATTGCAGATCATTTTACGAACTAGCGAAAGGTCCTTGATACATGCTTACGTCTATGCCCATACTTACTGCCCCTATCACTCGTCTTCATCATAATCTCGCTCAAAGGTCTCGGAGAAGCTGATTAGAGAAGTAAACTTCTCAGGCGTTTCCCCAATATCCAAGGCTTTCCGCTTAGAGACATCAACCAACCAGGACCGTGGCACCAGCATCATCTCGCCCTTTCTATTTCTTACTAGCCTTGTCCTCTCCTTTTTTGAAGAAGAGGAGCCTGCCATCTGGGTCGTTGCGTTCATAGTAGTGATGGCATCGCTACGTCTTTGGTGATGCTCGAGAATGTCCACATCAATTGTGCGTTGAGCAATGACATGATAGATGTAGACTTTCTTCTCTTGGCCGTATCGGCGGCTCCGTGCAATGGCCTGCGCCATAGTAGAGTCGTACTCGCATTGTGATCTTGCAAGGAGGGGCGACACAAAGATGATGTGGTTAGCGTTTGTGAGATTTCTGTAACGAGGCGGTTAGAGTAAGTTGTGCATGAACAAAGAGAAGACTTACGCGCCAGCTGCAAATTCGCTGCCAAGATTCAGAACCAACAACTTCTTCTTCATCTTTGTGTTGTTGGATTTGAACTCTTCTATAACCTGTGCAGATCGCTTGTTGCGGCTGGGCAAGAGGTAGGGTATGTTGGCGTGTTTGAAAACCTGCTCGAGGATGCTGATAATCTCTTCATTCGGTGCGAATACAATGGCTTGGTCGGATTTTGGCATGTTATTTATAATGCTGATGACCGCATCGAGCTTCCTCCCAGAGCTTTGCCCAGTGGTCTGACCTTCATCGGAGCCTAGGTCTGCCATGCGGATCAGGTTCGTATCGGTCGCATAAGCAGCACACCCCGGATGTACGCAACGTTCATCATCAAGCCTGGATTCCAGACAGACCATGCAAGCAGTATGCCCGCAATAGGGTATCAAGTACAGTTGGCTTTGCTCCACAGTACCAGCACAACTGGGTGAACTGCATTGAGAGTGATTTCCTTGGCTAGGCATTTGGGTTTGCAGATATTTCCGGATTGACTGGACAAATCGTTGCGATCTCATTCTTTGAGCGAACTCGAGCGACACCTCTCGTAGCTGAGAAAGTCGCTGCTTGCTTAGTCTTGATCGCTGTTCCTTCTTCGCTGTAACCAGCTCTGGAAAACCTAACGCAGGTGATGCATTTGCCTTGGCGAGCATGTTCCGAACCACAGTGCTGGCCTCTTCATCACCAAGCCAGTTGAACATACTGATATCTTTCTTGAAGTGATTGTAAAGATCAGTAATCCTTTGTTCGGCACTTGGTTTGCTGTTGGTCTCATCAAGTCGCCTCTTCTCGCCTTGCATCAAGTGGTCAAGGCCTGATAATAGTTGAACCAGCTCAGACTCTGTATTCTGCAACTGCTGAGATCTCTTGTTCATCAGAAGTTCGAGACCTGATTCGTCATCTCCAGTCTCGAAAAGCAGGGCTGACTTTAAGAGAGCGTCTTCAGCACTTGCGGAATTGTCTAGGCTCTCATTAAGCCTGCTCGCCCTATCAGCGTTGTTTTTCTTGGTTTTCTTTATTTGCATTCGTTGAGAAATTAAATGCTGAGAGAGCTCTACATAGACGGCATAGTGCGCAGCGTCTAGGCTTACTGGTGCAAGGTTTTCAACACAAGGAATGTGCTGAAGCTCGGCTTCGTTTTGTCGCACAAAGTCGTCAAGAAACCGCTGGGCTCGCATGTGGCGCGCCTCGTGCCACTGTCTAGACATAACTTCTGTCTGGGAAATGAAGCTTTCGAGATCGGTCTGATCTATGTTTGCGGATCTCTCGGTGGATCCAGTCACTGCGCTGCCGCCAGGACAATATCGACCTAGGCTGATACCAAGGAAGCTTGCGATTTGGTTGACATCGGAGAAGTTTGCCAATGCTGGCGTTCCAGAAAGAAGCCAACGTTTGTATGCAGCGATATGCTTGATTGAAGTCGCAATGATGCTCATCTCAGTCTTCTTTGTATCGCTGAGGTAGTGGTACTCGTCCACGACAATTCTGTTGAACTGGAAAAGATGAAGCAAAGGGAGCAAGCGCGAATCAGACCTAGTTTTTTCTTTCAGCAGCTCTGGGGCTTTTGGGATGCACTCAGTCGACTGTATAGTGCTGAATGACTGGTAAGCGCTACCGTGCCGAACCTTCAATGGTAGCGTAGCCATGAACTCGGGCTGCTGAAGGCGCTCATTCATGAGTTCCTTTGTGACTCTTTGAAGTTCCAGGTAGCCATGACTCTTGTATACGCTTAGTTGACTTGGAATCTCCTTTGAGGCTCGCTTCATCCACGCCTCAACGCCGCGCCGGCTAGCCATACTGGGCTCGGGCAAAGCGACGACATGCGCTAGTTCTGATAGATATTCTTCTTGTGCAAATAGCGTCCAGGAGACCACGACGACTCTACTTGCCAAAAGCTCCTCGATACTGAGCTCTCCAATATCGGCATGATTCTCTATTACCAGAACGTTGTACGATTTGAATTGATCTGCAGGCAAGAACTTTTCCAATTGAGAACGCCATTGCTGAGCGATATGTGGCGGGCACACAACTAGCGTTGCAACCGAGTCGAGAAGACCGGGAATTCTCGTCGCTTTTGAAGATTGGTTGCTTTGAAGGATAGCCTCGGTTGTCTTAGTATCAAATTCGTTTTGGATGAGTCCTATCGTGGCGACAGTCTTGCCAAATGACGGTTGATCGGCGAGCACACCTCCGCGAACCAACCGCTCCGTCTCTGCCTGGGCTTCGACTCTCCAACCTAACCCTTCATGGATCGCTTCTTCTGTTTCTATGAGGGCTACTTTTCTTCCCACTTCCTGTTCAGTCATCCATTGCAGAGACCTAAGCTGGACGCCGCGCAAGTAGGTTGGAGCAACACCATTGGTTTTGCTAGCGTCGTTTGCATTACTCTGCAATTTGAACTTTGCAAAGGTTTGGCAAGGTGAGTTACTGTGGTTTGTGACTAACCTCCAAGATGTTTTCACAGCTTGTTCCATGCCAGAAAGTCTTCTCCGAGCACGATGTACCAGAGACATTACGTTCAGTGCGACTTGGAGGCGTGTACCCGATGCACTGCTTGAAGTTTCTAGGTGGAATACTGGCGGACGTTGTTTGATCGCACGCTCAAATGTAGCTGCAGCTCGACGGTCCTCATGAGCCGTAGCGACACCTTTTGCGTTCACACTCCAGTTCAACTTTGGATAAGGAGGTGCGCAGGGGCATTCGCCAGTATCTTTTGAATCAATTAGCTGCCAGGAAAAGCATGCTGGTAATGACCTGGGTCGCTCTAAAATCCAAGAAGCCTTCTGGACAGCCACTGAAGGGTGTACAACAACATCCAAGAATATAAGTGCATGTGAGCATTCTGGAATACAGCTGTCTCCCAAAGATTGTTCGTCAAGAAAACCCACGTCCAAAGAGACACGGGCTGGTCGCAGCTCTAGCGTAGCAGGAAGCCAAATGTCAGCAATCGATGCATTGACAGTGTGAGATCCTTGGCCAATGTGCCAGGGCCTCCAGGAAGGATTTAAAGAAGCAGGAGTGATCCGGCTGTCATTGAAGTGCTTTTTGCTGTGATCTCGACTGAATACGAAGCTATCATGGTCCGCGGTTCCTATCGGGTCTGGATCGAGAAACAAGAACATGCAATCATCTGCCAATTTCTTGTACAAGCTGCTGGAAGCTGTTCCGCAATGTGGCAGATGCTCATATTTTCCCGTAATAGCGCTTGGTTCAAGAGCGCTGCTCTGGACTTCAAGGAAAGCTGGCACTGTTTCTTCTTTGTAGTCTTGTAGACCAAGTCTATTCCTCCATGAAGGCAGTCTCTCGTTCGAGCCACTTATTCGTAGTTCAACCTCTTTCGAGCAGGGGAAGCGTGCCTTCCAGTCTACATCAAACAGCGATCTGCTGACAATGCCGTGTGCTATCGGGGACTTGAGGAAGCTGCGCAAAGGGCTGTCTCCAGGAAGATCGGGAGGGCATCTGAGAAAAACAAACCATTCGAGTTTTCGACCAACTCTCAGTTCCACTGAAGCAAGAGGAGCAGCATATGTAATCCTCCAATACTGGTGCTCCCGAATGAAATTCTTGATGCAAAAATGCCGTGACAAATTCTGAGCCTCGCACAACAGCTGAAGATAAGAGCTCAGGATGGGATCCGAAGCTGGCACTTCGCAGGCAAGACGATGAATTGGATAAAGCTCAAATCGAAGCCGCTCAGGCAATTCAGGCCGCCAACGGTTAATGAAATCATGCGGCGATCGTTTTCGAGAGTCACTCAGCACAGTCTCTTCATAGACATGCTTAGGGTTACCGGCACATGATGTGCAAGCAGAGTGTCCACATTCTGAGCATATACGAATCCCGGATCGAGTTGTGAGATGCTTTCCTTCGCAAATGCACATTTGCTCACTGAGTTTGGCATCTCGCCTGAGTTCTTTCAGATCCAGTTGGTATCTTCGCGGCTTTAATCTCGTTTTCCGCATAGACTTGGGCTGCATAACCACCGGGACTTGTGTAACGGCAGTCTCGCCCACAGACGCTTCATGTTGAATCATCAAAGACCCCGGCCGAAAAGCTTTAGAGCCACTGATTAGTGCTGAAATCAATGAAGCTCCAATGACAGTGGTCGACATGGCATTTCCGGCTAGATTTTGAAGGTCTCTCTGAGTCTCATTGGCGAGTATGAGGTTGGAAAGAGGCATGCCCTGGAGAACTAGAAGCTCGCTACCGTTTAACGTGCGTTGGCGATTGCTTGCGAAGTCCTGCCCGCTAGGCGTCAAGCAAGGGGCAATGCCCAGTTCTGCTCTGAATCGGTCGACGTTTTGACTCACGTCCCAGAGCGACATTTTGTACAATGAATCATAGCCCTTTTGTGCATTTTCAAGATGAGCAATATCGATGGCATCATGAACTCTAGATGATTGAGAATTGTAGAACTTTCGATCGGCGAAATCTGGTGGCCTAAAGCTATAGTTAGTGAATGCTTTATGACCACAAGTCTGCTGATGACTTACATGACTGTTCCATTCGGATTCCGTCGGCTCACAGGACTCAAAATACCGAGCCTTTTTTCCGAGCGGATGTGGTCATTTCTGAGCTTGCAGAGCGCCCAGTCAACTTCAGACTTGGGTGCACTGTACCCACTGGCTTCCGTTAAGGATTGTGGAAGGAATTCTTCGTATGGGCTGCTGCACTGTCTCTGCAACTTCTGCAATATATCCTTCCAGTGACCCACGGCATGATCGACGCCCTCGCCAAAGAGACTGCGCTCTATAGCCACCATATACATACGCTCTCTCGTTTGAGGTAGGTAGTAGTTTTTCGTGTCGCAGAACACCCAAGCAGCTTCGTAGCCGATTTCACCGAATCTTAAGACGACATCGTCCCATGTCGCCTTTTCTGACTTGACGTTTTCAAGTAGAACGAGACTTGGGCGGAAGCGCTTCACATATGTGTACACAGCCATCCACGTGTCGCCCGACTCGCCACCTTCTTCTAGTGTCTTTCCTTGATTGTTCAGTCTTGAGAGGTCTTTGCACACGAAACCAGCAATGAGTATATCTATTAATGTCGGTATGTCTACTTCCGCGCCATATGCCGTCGTAGCTGTGGTTGCACAATCGCGCAGAAAGTCTCTCACATCCCTGAATAGAATCTTGGGGTGGAAGTTGCGTTCGATAAAAGCCTGCTTAATGACTTCGATCTCGGCAGAAAATTCTTGCTGGAATTTTATCGGAGGGTGACCTTTCTTCTCGAGGGCTAAAAGGTATGTCAGCTAGAGCAATGATTAGGAAAGTGACCCGCTAACCTTTAGATATCAAATCAAGGGCTAACAGAGGTGCTTCTGTGCCAGAGCACATAGTAGCTATCCTAATTGGTCTTCCTTTGAGATGGTCGATTGACGCGAGGAGACCCAATTCTACAGCTTTTTCAGCCATATGAGATATGCATGCTTCGATGCTTGAGAGTGGTGGGAGAGTCAAGTCCACGCCTCTTTTAGCACGTGTCGATTCTCCAGTCTTTTTCAATTTGCCGGACCCACACGCGGGAGCGTTGGCTCGTGTGGCTAGAGATTCTCTACGCAGCACTGAACTATCATTCCGACACTCCTTCTGGTGATCTCTGATGCAACGCATGCACCGATCCTCGCCTACTTTCGTGAAGCATACGTAAACGGCATTGCCTCCAACAGTAAGGCAATACGAGCAGCATCCTGTGGACGTTGCTCGATTAGACTCTTCATTCGTTGATCGAGAGCTTACTGCTATGCTATCTTGGGAAAGACCTGTAGCATCTGTGAGGCTATTAGCATCTATATGATATACAAGAGTCATGCTGTGTCGGTAGACAACATACCATTGATATCTAGGGCCGTCTGTGTCTGACGAGCTCCACTGCTATCAGTGCGAGTTCCAGCTGATTCAGGATGCTCAACTGGCGGTGTGCTGGCGTTCGGGCAATATGGAGTTACTGCAATAGTATCACCATCCCAACCAGGAATAGGACAATCGTCGGTCACGCGTCTCCGCTTGCGTGTGTTGGTGGATGCCATGAAGATAAGGTAGATCGGGTGTCGGCAAAGAGAGAGGCACTCTCAGGCATGAACCGAGACGACTATAAGTAAAGTTTTTTTGTGCTTGTAAAACATTATGTGAAGGCGCGGTCTAGCAAACTAAAAAAACAGTACGCGTTGCGGTGCAAACGACGACGCGTTTGCGTGAACGGAGCGTGAGCAATTGGATAAGGCATGACGCCATTGCGCAGTGGCCACGCACAAACGGGCTCAAAACACGAGCAGTCAATCATGGCTTAGTGAAAGAAGTAAAAGTAATGCTCTACCATTAGACTGGTAGGTAGTTGGAGGAGGTTGTGCTGCAGACCGCTTGGAGTATATTTAGCCGCATGGAGTGGATACCTTACCATGGTGGGGAAGGTACAGGGCTGGACACGGCAAGTGCAGCCTTCTCAGCTTGTTTCTTTTGCACGCCCTACGGATAACATCGATCGTCCGCCATCGTTTCCGAGCTAGATGAAGTATAAGTACCACTTGCATCAACTGAGATAGATTCCGGTGTTTCCTCCAAGCATAGTTCAGCAAAAGGTATCATGTCTAGCCACGTAGCAGCTCCAGGAAACCAAGCCAATACCTTTGAAGACCTCACCGGTATTTCAACTTCGGCTTTTAGCAATCCATATGATGCATTGATTTCAGCATGCGAAGATGACCCGGTAAGAGGCTGCTATAGCTGAAGCGCCGGCATACTAATTGAATCTCGTAGGCACGAATTCAAGAAAAGTACCAGTTACATCGAACTACAAGGAACGCCCAGCAAAAGGCCAAAATCCTTCATGATGACTTTACGGGTGTCAGCATAGATCCCATTCTCTTGCGATTGCACGATCCTTCCGTCGAACCCGGCTTTGAGGACCCCCGCCATTGCTTTGTCTTCTGGGGGCGACCAACGCAGAAGGTCAAGGACATGATACATCGAGTGCAGCAAGAGCTACTTACCGTTGCACCTAGTAAGTGACGCCTGGCAATCAGTGGTGAAAAACGCTGACAGAAGGAGACCTCTGGCTCATGCCACAGGACAAACTCCATATCACCGCATTGGAAGTGACGCACTCCAAGACTGCTCCGGAGATCCAGAAGATGGTCGACGGAGTGCGAGACAAGGTCCCAGCCATTACCGACTATACGTATACTCATCGCACACGCCTAATCAAGCCTTTGATAGGCTATGATGCCTCAGCACTGGCTCTAAGCTTTGTGCCTGCCGCCGGAGAAGGATTGAGTTCAGGCCGTACCCTAGAGGATGATAAGTTTACCTATCATCACCTTCGCCGGGACCTCTTTTCCCTCTGTCGCGATGCAGGACTCCAGGTTGAGTCTCGCTATGTCGTACCGTCAAGCCATCTGACAATCGGCCGCTTCATCAATTCCAAGGACTTTGAAGGCGACCAGGGAGCGCTTGGTCCAGAAAAGATGAAAGCTTTGATGAACAAAATTGAGGAAACAAATGGATGGCTTGAGAAGGAGTTTTGGCCGGAGCACAACGACGGCAAGATACCAGAAGGAGGAGAGTTTAATGTGGGGCAGGAGACGGGTCTGCACTGCCGCACGGGTACCCTTTGGTATGGTGGTGGGGAGCCAGTGCACCAAGGCAAAGGCTACTGAAGTCTGGTTGAAGTACGACAAGATCAGGACGACAATGCGGCCGCGACCCTGTGAAGCGAAAATCCGGTCTCCGCATGGCACAGCCGACTTCAGATTCGATATAATTAGTAGTGTGTCAATGCAACTATTTCGGAATGCATGTGCTGGCTTTGCGACTGGGCTTCAAGCTGATGAGGCCAGCAATCTGAAACAGGAACCTGGGAAACGGTATCATCGACGGGGCAGCCTGGAAAGATGGCAACACGATGCAGAGTTTCTCTCATAACGAGGAAAACGCCTAACAACCGGTCCGAACGTGGAGTCAATAAATGCAACAATGCGATATTGCAAGACATGCTGCTGGCCGCAGGGCGAAATGACGAAGCAGTGGCCGCTGCACCGCCTCATCCAGGCAGTCATGATCCTTATGCCTCTTGTACCACGGCAAGCTCTTCTCCTCGCCACCACTTTCGCATTATGGAGTGCCGTCGTGCAGGCTGATTTCGCGTGTCCTGCTTGTAGCACCGCCCCCGCCGCGGAGCCTTGGTTGGCCCAGAGCGTCGCATTTACGCCCCCATTGTCGCTCTACGCGCCGAAGCCATCTCCCGCACGGCGCCATGACTAGGATCGTGCAGCAATTGTGCAGACTGCACGACTGCGCCGCAAGATCTACCGTGGACATGTACCGCCAATTCATATTCACCACATTCTAAGGCTATGCATCATTATTCTCCCTCCTTCGCAGAGTCTGTCCCTGCAGATTATCGACTTGACCTGGAACAATGGTGACGCTCCCGAATCCATCGCCTATTTTCCAATCCACGCATTCATTCTCAACGGAAGCAAAGAGGTCTCTAGAGACTGAATCGACGCTTCCTGGGATCAAGCGTGGCATCGCTATTGGGGTAGCGTGCTCCGTATCGGTTGTTCTCATTGCCATACTCGCTTTCTGTGCTATCAAACGAAGGAATCGCGTTCTCGCCGGTGAACAACAACAACCCAGCACACCAAAAGCCGAGGACGTGGAAGCACAGCCTGAAGCCCAGGAAAAGACGTGGTGGACAAAAGCTCGCCCGCCATCCCCACCACCAGCAATCGCGCTGCCGCCGCAACCGCCCGTCGAAGTCGATGCTCATATAATCTACGAACTCGACGCAGGATACACACCCGAGCTGCATGGCGATACCTGTCCGCAAGAAGTCGAAGCATGTGACGAGAATCACGGTGCACCCGAAGTAGCGGAAGACCCGCATTGGCAGAAGCCCAAGCAATGGCCAGGGGAGAATATCGCATCCAAGCCGGATCCAAAAATATCTGATGACGCGGTCACGCGATGATGTTGACCATTCTTAATGATTCAATACCTGCGACTCCTCACGGTCACGATTCAATACAGTATTTCTGCGCTTGTTATCAGAGCTATCTCGCCGGGACCGTCGTCGATACTTGCACATGCAAATGCTCGTTTTCCATTCAGACGCTCGTCTAGAGCGCGTAATGAGCCCGACCAAAACAACATCTGGATACTACTCGCACACGCTGCAAAGACATCTCTACACGCCAAACCAATTTCTTCTGAATTAATCGGCTGTCGGCCTCTTCCGAAGCTACACAAGGAGATTCGTTATAATTGTAATATTCACCCCTACGTACGAAATGGCCCTGCATCCCGTTGCTACCAGTCATATTTTTTGCCAGCCACCCTTGGGGAATCATTGTCGTGCTTGTCGTCATTTTCATCAATCGGCGGATCCAGAAAGAGGCGCTCTCGATTTTTCTTCTCCAGGTACCTCGCCATAACATTCGAGCCTTCGAGTTCAGCAACAGAATGCGGTTCACTGATCATTTCCGCCGGACTCCTGCGCCCCGCAAGCTCGGAAAATCGCCTTCCTCGAGCTGCGCAAGTCTCCATCTCCGGCACTCCAACAGGCCCAAAGTCCATGTCATCTGAGTCCATGCCTTTTTGACCAGCTTCCATGTCGCTATGCTTGGTACCCGGCCAGAAGGCAGCCGAGTCATTGCCCGCTCCGAATTTAGACCTTTTTCTGCGTTGCATAAAGAACCGTATGGCGAGGGCAATGAAGAGCACGGCGACAGCGACTGCAATACCAATTCCTGCGCTTTCTCCTGGGCCCAAAGGCCGCGAGCCTTTTGGGGGCTTCGCGGCTGTAAGTGTCTGCAGTGGAACGTTGCTGGATGAAGTGGCGGTAGGCAGAGCTGAAGAGCTGGAGGCGGTAGCTGATTCATGTGGTTTGGGGGGTTTCGGTGGTGAAGGGCCGTCGTCGTCTCTTGCGATCACAGCCCGAATCCAGTGGTCAACATCTGCGCCAGTCGACATGGCAGCGAATACAACGAAGCGATAACAGTCCACGTAGATAAAGCGCAGCCGTGTTCTCCGACTGCAAACAGATAATAGATTATAGGGAGTTGAACGTTGCTTGTGTGTTGTTGAGCAGCCTCGAGCTGGGAGTCACTTTGATACTCAGGGCGGGCCCCACAACCTTAATGCCCTTTTCTTAAAAACCAGAATAGCCTCTTTACCCCACCTCGAGCAGTCAATGACAGTGCATCAGAACATACACAAGAGTCAATGTCTGCCCGAGTATGCTCCATGGCACCCCTGCGCTCACGCATCGGCAACATGGCGGCATCCAATGGCCCGATCCAACTTATCATGTATCGCGCATCGTATCGGCGGACACAGCCCCCTCTCCACCCTATCTGTTGCGAATCAAACGCCTTGGCAGGCCAAACCACTGTGCGGGTAAGGGCGGAATGACATGTCGGAGCAGCTCCGGCCAAGGTACTTTGCGGGCCTGCGTGCCGAGAGGTTACGCGGCGGCCGGGGCTTCGCGGTTGTGACTGAGAAAGCCAAGAAGCAGGCCGCCACGCCAGCTAAGCAGCTATATGTCGAATATGGGAATTGATTTCCATCACCGCCATAGTCGAGGCCGGTGGAGATTTCAAATCGCCGCGGTGTTATTCATGGCGGCCTCATTCTGGGGCGTCTTGGTCGTGAAGCCAGTGGATGTGGCTCGGCGGTACTCTCACGCGATACCTACTTTGTACAGTACGCTGGGCGTGCGGAGAAGAAGAACGTGTAGTGTGTGACGTAGAGATCTACATGTATTAGGTTTGTGCCAAGGGTATGCGCCAGCTCAGGGCGAGGTGTACTCGTATCATGTATCGGTGTGAAAGAAGGCGTGGCGTGAGACCGCGCCATATGCATCAGGACAGCGCTCTAGGCCGAGAGGAGCAGACTTCGCCGTTTGGGTCAGGTACAAAGCGCAAGAAGGGCGATGCGGGATGGTTAACGTTGAGTAATGTATGGACGATCGCGTGCCTGACCGGGGAAGACGTTGAGCGGTGGTCTGTGCTGGCGGAGAGGTGGAGGTGGAGGTGGAGGTGGAGGTGGAAGTGGGGGCGGGCTAGCCCGCTGCCACTGCCGTACTTACTGTCGCAGTTGTTTCTTCAGCCACCTGCATCATGTCCGACCTTGTCAGTGCTCATTAATGTCTTTGTTTCTCGCCCAAAATCCTTGGTTGCATTGCCAATCTTGCTGTCGATACCCGCCACGGTGTCTGTCTGGTATGCGATCCAAATCGATGTTCGGGCATGCCGCCGCTCATCCAGCATCCGCTTACGCCCGGCAGCTCTGCTGATACATCCCATATGGTCTGGGCAAATACTGAATCGCCGAGTAAATCGCTGGTGTCTAAGAGACGTTATGAGGCCACTAGACGGATCGAAAGTAGGGTTACCCCGCGGTATCTCGAAATAGGCGCCACTCGTCGCAAAACATGCACGAATGCGGCTTGCGCGACCACAGTGCCGAAGCTAGACACGACTTACGCCACAGAGAGCCCCATTGGGTCCCTGCAGTTCATTTATGGCCATGCTTACCGTCTCGGGAATGCCAATTGACGTTCTTCTGCGGCACATGCAACTAGCGCTGCAGTGTCAGCGGCGATGACAAGGCGTCTGGGAAGGATATGCTTGGTATCCAGGTCACAGGAATCCTGATACCGCCAGAAGTCGTTTCGCCATCTCATGCGACATCGCACAGTCCGTCGTGCAAGCGAATTCTTGTTTTCGTGGCGGTTTATCGTGGTAGAACAGCGGAGGCACCATGGTGCTGGATGCCATCTAAAAATGACGGCAAAAGCGACCAGGGAAACCATATCAATTACGCCCTGTATTACGCACTAATTGCACATGGGGCCGCCTTTGTACTACTATGTCAGACGTACTCCCGACCTTACATTGACTCGAGCGCCCGTGAGCTTCTACGCACTGATATCGGCAGTAGGCTTTCCCGTTGTTCTACCTTATCCACCGGAACTGAGTCTGAGCCCTTACAGGATGTCGACGCAGCAGCCTGGAGAAAACATTGTACTATTTGGTGGCTTCAAAGTCGATGTCAGTCAGTTCAATCTCAACGATCGCTCCTCCAACGTAGCCGGCGTCAAGATACCTTGCGTAATATTTATTATCCTGGTAGTCTTGACCGTAGCTTTGCGCACGTTTGCGCGGGCTAAATATGTTGGTCATATTTTCGCAGACGACGGTGAGTGCTGCATGACATCTCGAAATTTCTATTGATATCGTATAGTCCTCATCATTTCCGCGGCTGCTTTTACAGTAGCTTTGGCTTCAACGTGTATTGCCGGTAAGCAATGTATGCTAAAGGCTGCGGAATAATCCTGAACACTGTACTAGCAACCCGCCATGGGCTCGGTCAGCATGTCTGGCTTCTCCCTATGCCGACGCTCTTTGAGACCATTAAGAGCTGTATCCTGGTATGCGACACACCCCAGATCTCAGGCGCTTGTTTTGAAAAGTTGGCCGCTCAAAATCATCGACTGGAGTAGCCCGATAATCTCCTATTCCGAACGAAGCTTTTAATTCCTTCAAGATGGCTAACCAAATACAGTACCTCTATGTTTGCCAGATTTTGTACACTTTTGCGATTGCGTTGACCAAAATCGCAATCATATCGTCCTACCTTCGCTTCATACAAGATCGATCATTTCACATGGCAATGTATGCGACGTCGGTTTTCATTGCAGGACTATGGGTCACAGGCAAGGCGCATTGAAATGTCCATCATCGAGTTCAAGCTAATCTACCTAGGTGTTTTCGTCACCATATTCCAATGCCGTCCTTTGTCTGGAGCGTGGAACTTCACCATCAATCGGAAGTGTATTGACTACATTAATTATCTGTACGCGAGTTCAGCAGTCAACGTGATCACTGATATCGTTCTTTGCGTACTTCCTCTACCTCACTTCTGGAGGTTGAACATGCCCCTGAAACAACGCATCATTCTGTGTGTGCTGTTGGCGGGAGGTGCCAGGTATGTAATCTCACTATTTTAGTCCAACGTATGCTGAGCATGAGCAGTGCCTGCGTAGTGGGGATCGTCCGCATCGGATATCTGCATCACTTGAGAGTATTGGATACTACTTGTAAGGGGTTTTTGTTATTGTAGTTTGTATTGAAGCGTTTGGGAAACTGTGCAGGATACCTCTTGACGTGTCCCCGGACACGTGTCTCAGCATCTCCCAACAAGATGCAGTCCGTCCAAAAGATGACGAGAGAAATAGCTGATACGACCTACATGCAGATCGGAGCGTACCGTGCCTCATCTTATCCCTAGGCGAGTGTAGCCTGGGTATCATATCCGTCAGCATTCCAGCTCTCCGACCCATAGCACCACGAGTCTTCCCCCCTACTATACCACGCAGCTCCTCGTCATCATCACGACCGCAAACATGGCACGTACGTCTTACTATTATATCGTCCATTCAGAATAGAGCACATCTCGAGTCTGAAAGCAAGCAAGATTTGTCAATGTCTGAGTCATCGGGCTCATGAGGGTCATAATCTGACATTACTGGCTTATCCTGCAGAAATACGAAGTATAGTATAACCAGATCAAACAGTAGAGAGATGCCAACATTTCCAGCCGCAGATCAGCTCCAACTACTAGCATTGAAGAAACCTATTCTGGGGACCTGTTCTGTAGCTCTCTATTTTACTGTTCTGCTAACTAGCCTTAGGCAACATTTTGAAGCTGCGGCTAGAAACAAGCGATATCCTTGGTGAAAGGGGGCCTTAAACTATAGAGCCAGGCTGTGTTGTGCTAGCGCGTCACCAATAGAAGAGAATTTGCTTACTGCTGACATGGCCCTCTCTTTTCCTCTTTCAGCTCTGTTTTCGAAACCGATCTTGCCCTATCCAGATGGATCCGGTACAATTAGTCACAACTTCTGACTTCATTCATCTCCGCCAGATATACAGCACACGATCGAGACCCGCACTCAAGTACACAGTGCCCATTCAGGCCACGAAGAATGCTCGGGTTAAGATCTAGAAGCTATCTGGGCAGAAGTTCCAAGCTTCACTTGTGGGTCTGGGGGGCTTGTCCAGCTGAAGCCAGCTGCAAGCCAAGAAGCACGCTCCAATCGTACGACTTATCCTGATTGGCCGCGCGAATGCAGCAATCTGTACAAACATCGCGAGATCAGATAGCGCGAGTATAGCGCGCAGGTGTTGCGGCTGGGTAAAGTAAACTCTGCTGCGGCTCGTACTCGGTCACCGGTTATACACTTGAAATACGGGTAAAACCACTACTAGTATGTATATTGAGAGATACAAAAGGCGAAGGACTTCAAGATTCCTTCCCCGCAAATCATTCCGCATTACCTGTTCGTCTTGCACGCGTCTCGCCATAAACAAGAGAGAAAAAAACACGGAAACAACACGACTCCGGATACGAACGAACTCAAACCCCTTACATACGCTCAACTACGATAACGACGTACAACTAAGGACGAAAACAAACTCCATCAGTTGTTCATTCGGCTCCTCCAAAAAAGAAAATGAGACTCTCGGCTCTCACGCCCCTTATCCTCGCGACCCTCATCCACGCAAAGCCAGCACCCGCCGCAGGACCCCATCAAACCGACACAGTCCCGCAATGCCACGACGCAGTAGCGATCCGCGCCGCCAACGCCCCGCACGCATATCTCGCCGAGCGCGCCAACAGCAACAACAAGAAAAAGAAGAAGAAGAAGAACAGCAAGCCTAAAAAGCCAAAAGGCGTAAACATCACGGATACGGATAACATAGCTTCATCGTTTTCTGCGGGCTCCAGCCGTACGCTGCAGGTTGGTGCTGCGGTGGGGTTGGGCGTGTTGGAGATGGTCAGGTTGTGGGGGTAGATTGGGTGAGAGTGATGATTGGTGGATGTTTGAGTTGGTTCTTTGGAATAAAAAAAAAGAGAAAAAAAATGAAACTGGGCTTGCGTGGGTACATGTGTGCGTGATGGATGTTTTGTCCATGAAGCGTTTTAGCGTTTGGGACGGACAGTGTTATATCTGTTTTTCTTTTTTCTTTTCCAAGGCGAGGGGATGCGGCTTGCGTGGATCTCGATGAAGCGGACTTTTCTTTGCGCTGTTGTCTGTTTCATTCTCATATAACATTCTTTTCTCTCGTTTATCTGATTCGATTCGACTCGATCGTTTGCTACATCAATATGTAGCATCGAGCCTCTAGTCTCAGCAAATATCAACATGTGCCGATACCCAAGTCCCCCTTCATTACTTGTACTCTTGTAAACACGAGTTTGTCTACTCCTTTTGCTCCAACGTAAGCCAATTGGCATGTCCTGCTTCTTTCGTACGTCGCTCGTAAGAATTTGTATAGAGGCATGTGTAGTATTCAGACGGATACTCTGGAGTAAATTCACTGTGTAGTGTGGCACGTTGGGATTCTTACGAGAAAAGTCCTAGCTTAGTACACGACTTGATGATGGTGCCGATCCGATTGGTCAACCAAGAGACAATGGGACCTGGAAGGATGGTTAGCGCTTGTATGGCTAGCCATACTATATGATTGGAGCACAGGGATATACATTCCGGTCTGCTGGTTGATAGTTTACTCTTCCCCAGATTGCCATGGTGCTTTTTGTGAGCATGTGATCGCATAAAATGCTAGCTTTGTTCATTCTTCACTGTTGGAGGGCATTCACGTCATGTAATTCGGAAGCCGTTGTGGTATGAAGAGGTAAGACATTAACATTGGTATCTGCCGATCGAATGATGATGAAGAAAAGAAAAGAAAACTCAACGCCATGCAATGCATCCATGCTCCCCTAAACGTTGCGCTATGCGAACACTTTTTTGTTTGTTCAATCTGAACAATGCGGGTCATGCGTTGACACATGTTTAACTTAGAGGAATTTGTTGACAATCTTCTTCCATCCACTTGCCGAGTGCTCTTCCCACGTCTCAGACAGCTCGTCTTCAAACTTTCCGGTGAGGAGATCGGCCTCGGCGGGCTTGATGAACTTGCTCCTGGTGGTGACCTTGTGGCCGATGTAGAGAACAGCGAAGAGGATTAGACTGATGTATGCGATGAAGAAGTCCTCAGTGCTCCAGGGAACGAAAGCTGTGAAACCTTGAGTGATGGTGATGATGGCACAGAAGGTAACACCGTAGATGGCAAGAGGACGGCCTCCCCACGACTTGAATGGAAGGGTGTCGCGGTCAATGTTCTGGGCCTTGAGGGCGCGCATAAAGGCGATGTGGCAGATCAAGACACATGTCCAGGCGATGAAACCGGCAACCGAGACGATGTTGAGGAGCCAGTTGAAGGCCTGCTCACCGTTGGAGCTGAGGTTCATGTAGGCTAGTAGACCCATGGCGCCTGTGACGGCAGTAGCCCAGTATGGGACTCCGCGTTTGCTAGTGGCTTTGAGGAATGCGGGTGCACACTTCTCCTCGGCAAGACCAACGAGAATACGGCTTCCGGAGTAAACATTGGAGCTAGCAGCGGAAAGGACGACAGTGAGCAGAATGGCGTTGAAGATGTCGGGAAGGGCGGATACACCGGCGAGCTGGAAGGCGATGACCATGGGCGAGGAGCCAGCGTTGGTGTCACCAATCTGAAGGGCTTCGTTGTCGTATGGAACCAAGATGCCGACAAAGAAAATGGTAAAGACGAAAAGGATGAAGATGCTCCAGAAGGTCTTGCGAATGGCTCGAGGCATGGTCACACGCGGGTTGGCCGACTCTCCTGCACCAATAGCGCAGAGCTCGGTACCCTGGAAGGCAAAACCAGCCTGGATGAGGACAGCCCAGAAGCCAACAAACTTGGCAACAGCTCCATCAGCAAGGTAGGGGGCAAAAGCGCCAGGCGAGTCCCAGTACTTGAAGCCAATGTAGCCTTGGTTACCGACACCAGCGTTCATGCAGATGGCGTAAATCCAGAAGCCGACCAGAGCCACAACTTTGATGAGAGCAAACCAAAACTCAAACTCTCCAAAGATGTCGACAGGGAGGAAGTTCACAGCCGTGATTGGGACCCAGAAGATGGTGATGAAGATTCCAATGCTGAGGTCCGAGTTCCACCATTGGATGATGAGACCGGCGGCAGTGAGTTCGAGCGCGTATGTGATGGACCAGGAAAACCAGTAGATCCATCCCATGGAGAAACCGAGCGAGGGGTCGACGAATCGAGCAGCATACTGCGTGAAGGCACCGGAAATAGGGAGGTAGGTAGCCATTTCAGCCAAGCTGAGCATGACAGAGTAGACCAAGGTACCGACAAACACATAAGCCAGCAGCGCTCCAGCAGGGCCAGCGGTAGCAATTGAGCCTCCGCTAGCAATGAAGACACCCGTGCCTACTGTTCCACCAATGGCGACGAACTGCAAGTGTCGAGACGACAGCTTGCGCTGCAATTCCTCCTTGGGCGGCGCGGCCTGCTTCTCGAGATCGCTCCCTGAATGAGAGACCGACTTCTCCGATCGCTGGTCCATCTTGGGCGTTATTTGGTCCGCAGCGGATGCCATGTTGTTAATGCGTCAGGGGTGGACCCGGCGGTAGGGCTTGACGTTGAAAGACGACAACAACAACAACGAGAGAAGTGCAACAAGTTTCGATGAGTATGGGGCGCGAAGAAGCCAGGGCCACAGACAATATTTCAATCAAAACGAGCAGCCACCGCCAGCGGAGTCATGGTGCCATAGTCCCTGTCCCGTCCATGTTAGCCGTCGGCATACTCCACGCTCTGGATGGCGAGTCGACTGTCCGAATTTTCACAGCAGGTCCACATGGCGGGTGAGGAGGACGGAATGCCGCGCAAGATTCAGGAGTTGGACCGTGACGGTAGCATGATTGAAATTTTCAGAGGCGGCTATGAGCGGGTCCACGCCGCATGTTGGCGGGTGGCTTGCACGCGATGGTCGAGGTCCGATGCTTATCGGCGGATTTAACACCAGAAATGTGTCGCGGCCAGCTCCCGACGGTTCCCAGCAGAAAAAAATCTGCAGCTTAGTTGTATCATTACTGGGGATTGCGGTGGCGGCTGAATGGCTTCGGGAATAGCGTGAGGGCCGGGCCATCATCGGATGACGGGCTTGGCGCGCGGCACGACTCAGATGCAACACTATTGGACATGAAGTTTGACTCCATCACGATATTTTCAGGGTGCGGGTGATCGCTCCAATTGACTCGACCCCAGAGAAGAGGGTTGCATGAAATTTCTTCTCTTTCTTCCAAACTCTTTTTTTTCGCGGAAAGCAAAGGATGTCGGTGATCCCGATGCGACAGTAACCTTGTCAGGTGACCGGCACGCCTAAATGCCCGATTTCAGACGATGACTGTCACCGAAAGTATATCAGAGATTGAAGCAATAGGATGACCAAAGATTAATCAGAAAAATATTGATGAAGAGCGCAAGTCGCAACCACATGGCCATCTACAAGGAGCCGTACTAGAGCTGTTTACCTCGTAAGTGATTGAAATCTCAACTTCTATAATTGGAAATTTCCACCTCCAGCATCCTCTGATGCCCTGAAATCCGGAGTACCTGCATTCAATTGGTCATAGATGGGCAGTAGTACAGACTAGACCCCAGATTCCACAGCCTTATGCACTCCGGAGCGTATGGTGCGACTGGTGCACTGAGCCATGGTTCAGAGCCGAACGGTCGCCGAACCTGTCAGGGCCCAGTATGGGGATTTCTTGGTATTTTCAAGCGATATGGAGAGATCTGGGGTTGATGCACTAGCCCTGCCAACTAAATTCTTTCCGTTCTTGTGCCTGGCTACGTACATGTCCTGTCATTCCCACTTTCTCACGGCGTAATGTAATTTTAGCACGCACTCCCCTATTGCAGAATCACTGACACCTCTCGTGCTTTTTTTTCTTCTTTTGGTAATTCACAAGTGTCTGCTTCACACGGTAGCCTCTGGACCAAAATATACAACCACTTGGATGGTGTGACCGTGTAGTTCTTACACGCCATTCCCAGGGTTGTTCACCCCCTTTTCAATGCAGTTCCTTGCCTATTGATTTTCTATTCGGAAGTCTCACTCAAATCAACCAAAAAAATTATACAGAATCTTCTTAGGCACTTGGTCCTGACGTGATCATTGGCCATAAGTGACGACTTTATCGTATATTCGCGAAAGTGAGGTGACGACGATCAACACTTGCTGCCACTCTCATGACCTTACTAACACCACCATGCACGTTGACTGAAGCGTCCTGACGACTGCGCCATACCTTAAGAACAATATTTCATTGCCAATCAACTTCGTTCGGCTCGCCAGGGTTCAGCAGGTACTGCACCTTCAAGGATTCCGATTTTCGTCCGCAGGGGCATATGGCTGATGTGCGACAAGCTTCAAGAGCTGGGATTTGTCTACCACCTACTTGCCCAACTTCATTAGGGGAGCGCTAACAAAACGTCAGCATCTAGCCGCTGTTCCCAAGACAGTCAGAAATAACCTGGTGTCACGATAGGTCCCTTGCACAGGTAACCGGGTACTTCGTGTTTGGTGTTGGGAAGCAAAGCAACACGAAAGGCAAAAATAGACCCGACAATAGGCCGGTGAGGGTAACCTGAGGTGTTGGTAGCATTGAGTAAAAGGCTTATTCTAGCTGACATGCCCAAAACGAGGAGCGTGAAAGCCCATTGGGCGTTCCCCTGCAGCGAACACATGCATGAAAAATTCGAGTACATCTGGTATGTTCATCACTGTTGGTACAGCGGCTCAACCTACCTTTTTCCTATTTGCCAGCCACCTTGCTTGAGCAGTTCAGTGATAGCTGCAGTTCCAAGGAGAATGGAACCGGATGTTGACGGCAGTCATTGGATGTTATTAGTACCTGTGTTCAAAGCACGGCGTTCTCCGCCTGCAGTACTCTCTTTAAATAATAACTTGTAGGACGATCGCAATACAATATACGCGCTTTTCTGATGACGAGGCCTTGTTAGCATAAGTCAGTTGTGAGCGCGACCAATTATACCTCGTACAATACGGCATAGCCGCCTTTGATCGGGGTTCCCACGTTGCCAAGTCCCCATTACCTATGCTGACCGTCTCCACCTATTGAGCATACGCTCTGACTTTTCTCAGACCTTGCGCCACTGGAGACCAGGATGTTAGCCTTGCTCAGACAGCGTCGCGTGGAACATGGCCACTCGCCCTCCAATGGCCTTGTGGCGTACCTGCGCAGGATAAAAGACGTGTCGAGTTGCACGTCAAGTCATTGCAATTGGTTGAACTGGGAATAATGATGTAAATCGACGGGATCCTGCTGCGCTGTCCAGGAACAAGGTCGTGCTGTGACGTAGATCGGTGCAAGCGGGACTGGGCTGTCAAGCCGAAAAGGGAAAAGCGTAGACGAGCGGGGGCAACGGCCGGCTGGGCTTCCAACGCTCCGCTCTCCTTTTCCACGCCACGACCCCTGGGGACCACGCAATCTGCACCCAAAACGAACATCTAGTCTTTTGAAGCATTGCATCTGGCATAAGGTTCAGCCACTATTTCCAACGCATGCGGCATAAGGCCAAGATGCCCTGAAAACATCTAAACATTGAGTGGGTGCTTTGTACAGGCCTATAAATCCCTATCCTTGTCATACCACTGCTAACCGAACTGCCACTAGGTGTTGTCGATGTCCCGCATTGTGCGTAAAAAGCTGGCTTCGAAATCCCATTCGTCGCAGGGCCTCGGCCCCCTTAGCTCGACGTTTCCCATCATGTCCTGGATGCGCCCCTATCACCGCCACCCGCATTGTCCACTGGGGTGTTGAGGACCATGACTAGCCTTGCGTCGCCACTACTCACCGTTTTGCATTGCTAACGGTCAGCTTCCGCTGATCTACGAGTTGCTAAAGAAGGCAAATTCCAGCGAGTCGTATGATGTGCGTATAGCCCAGAGCCTCATCTGCACTGCCCTGTTCTTCTGCTTCTCGAAGTCGATCTCGATATCCAGGTCGTGTTGATGCGCCTACATACTAGGCATAGAGCCGTGTATGCTGCGGAGGTGATCCTCGAACTATGCTTTTTGCATATGTTTGACTTGGTCACACTTGTCGCCGGAGATGAGCATCATGCAACCTTGTGGACATATCCTCCGTTAGCCGGCATCCCAGTTCCATCGACGTCACCGATACTGGAAGCTTAGCGTTTAGACGTGTTTGGCTGTCCTATGAGAGAGCATTGGAAATGCCACAATGCGGCTGGACGCCACTTGTTGTGCATACATTCATGCATGGCGTACGTAGGCCCTATAGCAAGTCTACGCCTCTGGCGCAGCCAAAGATGCTTAATGTGTAAAACCCTTGTGCCGAGCATCATATCACTACTGCGTAGAGTTGAATGTCCGTTGTCGATCACCTGGAGCACCCTCGGGTGAAGGCAGCTTAGCCGGCAAGTTTCAGATCAACAGCCAGCCCGACGGTGACTCCGCCCTCGGTACGAGCCAGTCGACACGATCATCCAGGCACAGTGGAACTGGAATGATCTGAGATCGACGTCACTTTTAACTAGGTACAGACATCCCAGAGATGAGCTAGGAGCGGCAGGTGGGTCTGTTACTTTTAATGTCGACCCATTACCGGTGTGTATTCCCCGTATCTCCCCTGGCGGATGACGATCTTACTTCCGGGAGACACCACGTCTAATGACGATGACGGACGAAACGAAAAGGTGTGCACATAACTTGGAATGGTCCCTGGATGGATTGATGTAGCAAAAAGTATAAAGAGGGCAGCAAGCCCTGGACATTTGCAAATCATCACACTCGTCCAAACTACAATCACTACTACCAACAACAACACTTTAAAGAACACTTCTTAATCACCTAATCACACTACACAACTCGCCAAAATGCAGTTCACCATCACCGCCGTCCTTGCCTTTGCCGCCACCGCCGCCTTTGCTGCTCCTCTCGAGGGACGCCAGGCCGGCATCTGCTCTTCCGGCACTCCTCTCTGCTGCGCTACTGATGTCCTGAACGTCGCCGACCTCAACTGCTACAACCGTATGTCCTCCCTCTCTTGACCATTAATATCAAAATTAATCAACCTCAACAGCCGCCACCACTCCTGCCAACGTCGATGAACTCATCACCGGCTGTGCTGATGCCGGTCAACAAGCCAAGTGCTGCCTTATCCCCATCCTTGGCCAGGCCCTCATCTGCAACGACGTCTCGCCTTCCGCTGGCGGCGCTTCCACCTCCTAAGCGGCTTTTCCTCACTCACCGGCACACCCGGCTAGTCGCGTGTAAGATGTAGTTGCCAGGTCGGGCCGTTGTCGTATATCCTGCGCTTTGTACATTTCTCCCTTGTCATTTTTAGAGCATTTAGTAGTAGTGATTCTTAATAGAAGCTTCACGCCCAACGGTTCCTGACCCATCAGTTGTGACTTTTTGGGGGTTTCTACTAACTTGACGCTTACAGTTGTACTCTGTAACAGTGCTGTTTACATTACTATGAATCGGATTTGTTGATGCATTTGTCTGACTTCTAGTTCTCCGACACGGGTCGCAGTATTACCAAAACAGGGAAACATGCTCGAACGAAGATAGTCTAGGTATACTGGTGAATCATTTGCCCATCAATGACGTGAAGAGAAAAAGAAGTCTGTGTTATAAAGCTCAAGGAGCAACCACAGATCAAGCCAGAATGAAGAGCAAAAGAGATGCGGTAAGTACCCCAACCAAAAGTCAACATCGCAAGAAACCTTTCACCGCATCTAATACCCCTCATCCAACAACAACCACTCCACACTCCCATCATTCCACGCCCTCTCCAACGCCCTATACTTATCAATCCCATACTCGGCACAAAGCACCCTCCAAACCGCATCATCCTCCCTCACCGCATCGCGAAAATAAATGCAAGCGCGGTACCACTCATCCTGCTCGTCCCAAACCACCAGTTCCTCACAGCCCTCCGTCAAATCCGCCGCATACACAATCAGCATGACGACCTCGCCAAACAGCGGCGTCACACCCAGATAATCGGCACACGGCTTCTCGCAGCCGCCGCGCGCCTGCAGCCGCAGGATCACGGACGCGCGCTTGAAGTCCTGCGCTACGGCTTCCAGGTGCGATTTCACATATGCTGACGTCGGCAGCGAAGGCTTGCTGCGCGGCAGCGAGAGACGACCGCGCGTCGAGTGGCCCCAGATTTTCTGGCTGGCTTGCGAGGGAGAGGCCCAGGCGAAGGAGGTCCAGGTTAGCGCGTTGAGTTTGTACGTCGAGCATTTGATCCAGTCTGGGCTGGTGAAGTCGAGGAGGTCCGGGTCAGTTGGGGTGGCCTTGGCTTCTTGCTGCGCAGAGATGTCCTGCGGTGTGTGTATTGGTTTTAGTTTTTGGTAGCTGGGCTTTAGGTATCCGTGTGACGAGGGCTTGTTGCCCATTGTGAAAAAGTGAGGGTGAATGGGGGGCGGCGCGCGGAGGTGGGGAAGAAGGAGAAATGTTGTTGGAGAGAGAGAGAGAGAGAGAGAGAGAGAGAGAGAGAGCAGGTGCAAACAAAGGCTATTTTTGGCTCGATACTGTATTGATTCAGGGACGGCTGAGTCGAGCGCAGACGGCCCAGAAACCGGGTGCTTGGGGTAAATAGAGTTCCGGGACAGAGGCAATAGCCTCGACAAGGCAGCCGGAATTGGCCCCGGCAAATGAGACTCCGTCAAAGACGGCATCACAGACTTGAAATTCCCTGAGTCGATCCCACGAAGCCAATCCAGGCGGCAAAGTAGCGAAATATGCTGAAGAACTTGGGTAGTCGTCTATCTGATGGAGAAGAAACTCCCATGCATATGGGAAAAGAACGTCCCAGCCTGTAGGGATGCATGCTCTCTAGACAGTTTAGTTGAAAGGCAAATAACCCAGTTTACCTGGGATATGCTGCTAGAAATACTGCTTTGCCTGGCTCATCACACCCAGGACAACGGTAGCTCAAGACTCATGAGCTACCCTGTGGTAATGACAGTTAGGAAATGGCCCATATCCCGTCGGAGTCTGTACTCTTCTAGCGCGATACGCTTCAAATCGTTTCTGCAGATTGTCTCGAGGTCGGGGAGTTAGGGGGGAAGAAGAGAATGAGGTACTTGTGGAACGAGCCTCAGCAGGCTCGATTTTCCAGAGGAAGATACAAAAAGCCGTTGTTTAGTGAAGATGGAGGGGTACCAGGGCGTGATTGAAAAGGTGACTCGGACACTTCTTGAAGTGGTGTAACAGACACTTTTCTCTGCACATGGTCTATCTTGACCTCGACATCGTGCTTGGTATCTGAGTTTATCGAGGTTTGTTCATCAGTTCTGTCCGAATTCTTAGCAATGGCCAAGTGATGTGTTTGAAAAGATGCACATGTGTATATTGCAGATATTGCGCGCCTTGGCTGCGGCGTAGGGAGCCAAACGATTCACCAGTTCCGCGAAAGTGCTTGAAGGTGGACTCGAATGGCGGCGGGGTAACCGAATGCGATGGCATTTCTGAGCGAGGTCGTGGCGATTAGTGTGCCAGGAGTGGTTGAGACGACATCATGAGCGATGGGGGTTTCGGCTTCTTTCGATAGATCTTTTTCACCAACATCCTCCACGGGTTGCTGACGGTTAGTATCTTGCGATAACCAAGGCTTTGGGTTCCCGGCGACCAGGCCGAAGCGGGCGAAGAGAAGGAAAGCGGTGATTAGTAGCAAGACGAGTGTGATGAACTGGACAGTGAGCAGGTTGGTGATTGCCTCAAGTTTGTCATGCATCTCGTCGCATGTCCCAGTTTGTAGAAAGGCAAGATATCACTAAATATTTCCGCCGCTCCAAGGTAGACATGGGAGGCACCTGATGTCAGGCCCCACATATGTTGCTAGCGATTATCAGGATTGTAGATGGCGTACGATTCGCAGTGAAGTCTTGGCTGGATATATGGCATTTGGAAAATATCGTAAGAGCTAGAAAGGAGATGCGACCCACCGGACGAAGTGCCGGGTGTGATTTTGCTGAGTAGACAAAAATGGTGGGCGTCGTGCGGCAGCCAATAAAAGTTTTGGTTGAAGATTGTATCAGATGGAGGGCTGAGCTGTATGCTATGCGGCTATTTATATGCTTCGAGCAGCAGAAATAATATTCCGATCCTCTGAGAAGCAATAGTCTTATGTAAGGAGGAGTTGAGACGACTAACGTGAAGAATGGGATTTAATCGTGTGCGTCTGGACATATACCGTTTACTAACTCGCAGAACTGGCACTACGTGAATTGTTAGTACCAGAAGAATATTGATATTCTTGATTTGGGATACACACGCAGTAGATCTTGTCCAGGAGATTATGCGGAGGATTGGGGTTGTAGTCTGCCTGCATGAACTGGCATCTGTTGTTTGGTGGCCCATATTTCAGATAAGGATCATCCGAGGTAGGTTTGCACTTTAGAGGGATTAGCCAGGGAGAGAGAGAGAAAGAGCATTACTAGAACTAAGATGCTGTAAAGTTGCGAAACACGAGTATGTGAATTTAAGAACCGACTTACCTTCCATGTCGAACGCTCGCCACCTAGGGCGCCACATCCGTCTATAGTATAGCCTATACTGTGGCAGTCCTGTTGCACAGCAGTTGTGATGGCTGCGAGCTGTGATATGATTGCGATTGGAGTGATCTTCATATTGACGATGCGTAAGGAACTATGTCCCTTGTGAAGATAAGAAGTGGATTGAAAAAGTGGAGGTACTTGGGATATGGAAAATCTCCGATGGTAATCTCACATACTTATACTTCCGGCACTTTGTTTTGGTGTCTGCCAAATGGGGGTTTGAGCATAGGGGTGCGTAACAGATCACGCTAGAACGCATATCAGGCTGAGTCAGATTGATCTTCTCAGCCGAGAAATGTATTACAGCCGGGAGTAGGAAAGATACCTCTCGTTTGAATAGGGTCAGATTATACGGATGTACCTAGATCAGACCAAGACAGATGAGTCTTCTGTGAAGAAAGAGACCTATGCCAAGGGTTATGCTTAGAGATTAGATGCAGAGGTATATTGAGGTTGTACCCAATGAGGAGGTGCAGAACCATATCCAGGAGAGCTCGTATCCAAGCACGGGTCAGAGAAACAAGCTCTCCGGTTGGTCTGAGCACCGTTCTGAAAGGGCGTCTAGCTTGGGTTCACCCAGTATCTCGCTAAGAGAGCCTCAGCCCATCGCAAGTAGCACAGTGCGCTGATTGTTCAGCTGGGAAGTTATTGCGGGGAACTGCCCTTCCTGATTAAGTCTAAGTTTTCAGCCATGGATTTCAAGAGTGTACACTACGGGTATTATCACCAAAGTACACTACAGTGAACGCGAACTCATTTCGTATCTGCTGCGGAGGGAAGGACGATAGGGGTGAAGTAATCGTAGCTAGAAAGGAAATCTTGGTAAGTCAGCCGTGAATCGCAAGAGGGCCGATCAAACGTTTAGCGCTGCTGGAATAATCTTTTTCTAACTTTATAAACTTTGCTGGAACCTGCCCCTATCCGTCTCGCGTGAGATCTATATCACGTGCCTAGACCACTGTTTCGAATTCAAGTACCACTGATTGCTAGTAAGACTCACTAGCACTTTCGACTTAATCCTACCCCAGTGCTGTATATGCTATGCTTCCCTTTACTGGGTAATCTTGTACCTATATGAAATGACTACTGATATTATAAAGGGATATATCACGAAGTGCTAATTAGCACGTCATGACGCTTCAAAACTATAATCTTATTTCAATTCACCATCTATATTCTAATCTATTGTAAGCTTATTTCTACAATAACTCGGTATTCGTACGCTAAGTGATCGCAATCAGAGCATGACGAATGATGATAAAATCTTCATGTCCTCTCAATCTGCAAGTCCAATGCTTTCGCGAGTACGTACAGCATTTCGAGTCGCACGCACGGGACACCCTTCTCTTTGGCTAGCCTGACTGGGTTGCCTACAATGGCTTCCACCTCTATCCTCCGGCCCGCCAAGACATCTTGAAGCATGCTGGGCTGAATGCCAGTATTATTTGGAACTCTATCTTGCGCCCGGCTGAGCTGAACGTCGACCAGCTCCCGTGTAAAATTATGGCCATATGCGGCTGCGATATCCCGAATCTCCAGCATAACAGCGCGCAACACTTCAGTGGCTTCTGGCGAGGCGGTCAGGACATGGGCGTCCTTACTCCGTGCAAGAGCGCATGTCGGGTTCCAGGACGCGTTGACGAGGAGCTTGGACCAGCGCATGTACTGAATGTCGTCGTGGAGCTCTGCAGTGCCGCCGGCAGATGTTACAAGGTCTGCAAACTTCTTGGCGTGTGTATTGGATGAAGACGATGGAAAGGCTCCGAGCTGAAGGAGCTCGACTTCGGCATGCGTAATCACGCCTGCTGGTCGCTGGGTGGCTGGAAGATACAAGACGGCGCTGACAATGGGATTGTCGGGGTAGGCGTGGCGGTATTCGTCCTCGATGCCCACTCCGTTTTGAATGAGAACGATGGCTGTGTGTCCAGGCGTCACAGCAGAGGCGATGAGCTTGGGCACTACACCCGGAATCGCCTTGCTGCAGACAACAACGTAGTCATAGGGCGCCGGCGACAGCGAGGATGCTTCTGCGCAGTCGCGGACGACCTGAGGCTTGAAGCGTATGTCGTGGCCGAAAATGGTCGAGTTGATGACGAAGCCATGCTGCTTGACGACGTCGTAGTTGGAGCGGCACACGGCAGCGGTCGAGGCCACCTTGCTCAGCAGGTGCAGATAGATGGCGCCGACGCTGCCAGCGCCAAAGAGTAGTATGCGTGACTGGCCTCCAGAAGCCATGAGTGGACGTTGGCAGAAGCTGAGCGGTGGCCACGCCAGACGCGCTCTCAGTGGTCGAAACAAAGAAGGCAAAGGGTCCACGGCTTGGCATGGCTGCCACCTCCGCGGTGCCCCCCTCTTGCCCCCCTTCCCCCCCACCTATCACTAGCGAACGACGACTCCATCACTAATCGCCTTTGGCTCGTTCCAACAAAGCATCAGTAAGCCACACACGACGGCGATCGACCCCCTAGCCAGTCGACGACACGGCATGACTTGCAATCTGGCAGCCCGAGTCAGGCTGCGCTCCTGCTGCGCTGGACAAGACTGCCAACCTCGAGCACCAGCCGCGCCTGAGGCAGACACGGCCACAGCTGTGCAACGGGCCAAGCGCCATCCATGCATATAGCAGACAGACAGCCAATCCACGCGACGTTGCCACAGCGAAGGCCAAACAGCCTCCAGCCGCACGGTGGGACTGCCCAGGACATGCCTTTGGCGCAATTTGCAGCCCGCGCTCCATTTGTTGGAAGCAGCTACCCGGTCCACACCCACCCTGGATGCCAAGCATCCAGAGCAGTGGTCAATTTGACAGGCTACTCTGAATGCGGCGCAGCTGCTGCTGGACAGACGGCCCCCAGGTGATACAAAATGATTAGCGCTTCACACGCACACTCGCCAGCCCAAGGTATAAGTAAAGGACGCGGGCCGGACCGGTTTTTCTCGCCTGCTGGACAACGCCCCAGCCTCGCTTCTGTGAGCCCCTTGCGCAACGTCGTGGGAAAATGAAGAACCTCTTCTCCTTGGTCCTGCAAGCGACTCACATTCTGGCCGTGAGCCAGATCGCCATCTTCTCCGACGAGCACTGCCAGGACTCGCTACGAGGCCTCGAGGGCCCAAACGGCTATCCAAACGGCACGTGTACGGACCTGCGCCGCAATGGCCCATACGGCAGCTTCCAGGTCGTAGGCCTGGATCCGGGCTGCACAGGTGGGTGAACGCCGTCGATGAGGAAAAGAGAGACGCTCATACTGACGCCAACGCCCTGCAGTCACAATCTACGCCAAGGACACCACGGCCGATATTTGCTCAGGCTACGCAGAAGAAATCCGGCCCGTCGAATGCCACAACTCCACCTTTGTGTATTACAGTATCGATTTCTGCGATGTCAATGCCGTCAATCAGCCGTCTCTATCCAAAACTACTAGTGCTCCCACCGCCAGCGCCACGTCGTCATCTTCTCCGTCTTCCTCAGGATTGTCTTCGGGTGCGATTGCCGGTGCTGTCGTTGGCGGAGTCGCTGGACTGGCCATCATAGTTGGGCTGATTGCATTCTTCATGTTGAAGAAGCGAAGAAAGACACAGAATACCACCCCAGAAGTCACGGAACATGTAGCTGCAACACCCGCCGAGGTGCACGGGAAGCATGTCCAAGAGCTGGGAGTGGGCGCGGTCGCGTACAAACAGAATGCCGTCGAAGTGGAACACCCACCCGCCGAGCTTGAGGGCACCGAGATGAGGGCAGATGAACAGTCAAGGCCTTTTCACTAGTAGTACGCTTTGCACAGTAAAAAAGTAATCGGGTTGCGACCTTTGCACTGGATATCTTGGCCACACTAATGTACTTGTGGAAAATTAATGCAGTTTTGTGCTCGGCCCGTACGAGCCCGGCTTGGACAAGCTTGACTTGACAATTTCTACCGTGTGAAATGTTCTAGTCGCTATAACGGCAGCCACTAAATAATGTGTACTGGTCAATACTTGTACTTGCATGTTCGCAGCAGACCAGCAAGGACGACATTCGCGTAGTATGCCAACTCAACCAGGTAGTTGGTGTCTTTTGTGGATTAGAATTGCACGTAACGACCAGACCCAAGTGTTAAGGGATACACCGACTTCCGTTCTTGCCGATTGTCAAGAGCGACAAGACGTACTACACCTAGAAGAAATAGACCTGCATGTCGTTAGTCAGTCTTTCACTCGTGACCGCTTCCTTGCTTGCCCCACGCCTTATCAACGGCGCTTTTATATATGGCCTCGTCTCGAACACAATACCAAAGGCCGTAGACCATGCCCGGCCAATGAGGACGACGCTAAAGTCGTCACTCTAATCTCCCTGTTTCCAATGCCTGTTGCTTTCTTGCCCTATATGGTAGGCTCCGCCTCGGCCAATCAACCATGTCACTTTTAGTGTCAGTTTTCAGTAATCACCATATTCAACGGCAATTCTCCTTTCCTGCCCAGTACGGTATGTTGAACTTGGCCAATCATGCCCCCCTCGATTGGTGGCGCGCACAGCCCCCCCGTGCTGTGAGACTGACGGTGCACGCCATCAATGGTTTTTCTGGCTTGCCCGATGGGGCATATTGAGCTTTGGCCACCACTAGCGACTCCAAAACTTTTGGATTGGGTGCGAGGCCGCACTACCACAATACGCCCTTGCTGCTCCTCTTTGCCTTGTTGTATACTATTGTTACGTCTGGGTTGCGTCCAATTTTTTTCAGTCCATGTCTGCATGCTCGAGCACAGTCAGAGCCGTGTCACGCTCTCGTGTTCCGCCGTTGAAAACGCTTCTTCCCTTCCTCTACCAAACAACAACCATCCAGCAATGGCAGCCCGCCACTCGCCCAATTGCTCGACGCAACATTACCTCACGGTCGCGCTCAAATGACGGAGACGATATTCCCTTCGAAGCTGACAATCTGCCGCCTCCTATCGACCAGGCGCCTCGCAAGACGACCATAACGGGCACCGAGCGTGCGGCGTTCCAGAAGCTATACAAGAAGTTCAACACAGAGGGACGCCAACAAAAGGAGAAGGATCATATCGTGGAGCTGGACCAGATAGCCGATGAGTACTATGAAGATGACGAGGATAACTCGAAGCCGTCCCTGGACGAGATTTTCGATGAAGCCATGAGGGGCGACGCACGATTGCGCGCATCGCGCACTCCTCTCCTGAGACCGAAAACAGGGGCCCAGCCAGGAAAAGACGCTCTCGATTCAAGTGAAATCGAACCAGGCAAAGCGCGGAGCAGCAGGGGGAAGGCTGCGGGCGTTGACACGGCGCCGTTCAAAGAGATGCGCTCGGCAGAACGAGAGCGAATCGACAAGCTTATCCGCGATGCACCCACAGACCGTGCCCTTTGGGAAGTGCTCGAACGCGAAGTCTTTGCCAAAGTGCGCCAGCTCAATCTCGACAACATCGGTACCACTAAGGGTGGCGAGGCAGCCACAGAATCTACCAGCACATCGAAGAACAGTAACACCGAGTCCAGGCCCACCAATAAGCCTGAAATGCCTCCGCTCGAGCAGCGTATTCTTTTCAAAAACTACGCACACCATCTCGTCACTGCCGTCGCTGTTCTTCGTTCAGAGTTTCCCGCATCGCCCCTCCCTCTTTCCATCCTACCCACAGTCAAGAGTCTAGGTCGCTCCTCGCACGCTCTCGGCGCCACAACAATCTTGTACAAGAATCTGCTGCGCACAGCATGGATCCAGCAGTCCTCTTACGCCACCATCGACACTCTGCTCACCGACATGGACAACAACGCCATCGAGTTTGACCCCGATATCCTCGTGATCCTCGATCACATTATCAAGGAAAACAACCAGGCGAGGGGTGGCGTCTTGGGCCGAGAGATACAGATGGTATACAACATGGACATGTCCATTGATGGCGTCGGCAAGCTTGTAGCCTGGCGAAGAATCGTAGCTGAGAGACTGGGCTTCAAGAATGACGGCATGAGGACCACAAGTGATGTTGTTAGGAGGGTGCCTCAACAGAAAAGAAAGACATCGACCAGCGCTCCGGCGGACAGGGACAACGCGGAGGTGCAGGGAAAACGTGATGCGCCCGATGCTCAGGATAATGGCCCGCTTGCTGGAAGCACCGACGTATCCAGCACCGACGTATCCAGCGCCGATGTATCCAGCACCGATGTATCCAGCACCGATGTATCCAGCGCCGATGTATCCAGCACCGATGCTGAAGCAGACACTGCAGCAGAGCCTAGCAACCAGGAAAACAACACTCCACCTGTTGAAGAATCCAAGGACCACCCACCCTCCATCGACGACAACCATGACGCACCTACCAGCCCTGAAAAAATCATCTCGTAGACATACATACCATGTAGCATATCTATATCCTTCAAATAGCAGTCATAAAAAAAAGCACACAAAAACCAAAAAAATGAATCGATTCCAAATATACAACCCCCCCCCCCCCCACCAAATTGATCAATCAGTGATTTCAAAAAAAAGAAGAGGTATTTTTCATAAGAAAAAGGAAGGCAGAGAAAAAAAAACGATTCAATCAACCAACGCCTGTTGTTGGTTCCTTGCTCCCCAAACGCAACGCAACAAAACAAAACAAGACAAAACAAAACAGAACACACGCGCAAAACGCCTAGAGCATATTCATACATACAGCTGGCTAGACATTTTATATCATCATCGTCATCATCATCTCTCCGTCTCTCTTTTGTGTATCTACAAGCTCTCCCACCCCCCATTATTCACATCGCCCTCGAGTCTCCGGGCAATCAGGCTCTGGACGCCGCCGTCGAGCCAGACCTTTCTGAGCAGAGCATCGTAGCGCTTCTGGTTGAGGAAGAGCTGGTGGTGGCGGCGCAGGGCGGGGTCGACTTCGCCGTGCTTGTCGAGGTAAGGCGCCACGTGCCATGTGCCGTGGTCGAGGTTGAGGAAGAGAACCATGCACTTGCGGATGTGGATGAAAAGACCGATTTGGCCGCCGCATCTGTTGGGAGGTGTTTGTTAGTAATCTTATTTTTTTTTCTCTTTCTCGTCGTTTTGTAAAGGGGGGAAAATAGGAGGGGGACATACTTGGCTAGATGCTGATTACAGCCTCCGCGGTTCTTGTTCGTCATGCAGCATACAGCTTGGCTGCACATGATCTCGCCACAGAACAGACACAATGCTGGATCCGTCAATTCCTTACCGGTACTTGGGCAGCGGCGCCGTATCGCCTCATCGGTAAGCGTGTCGTAGTTCTTGGGTAGGCCCACGAGCTCAAAGATGGAGGGGTGGGAAAGAGATATAGTGGGCTTGAGGGGATTGTTGCCCGTTTGCACCCAGAGAAGGTGTCGTAGCCAACCGCCAACAATGGACCTGGTTGTGTGCGCTGCGCTTGTGCGACTGGCAAATGAAGCGAAGATGTCGTCAAGCGAAGGCAGCCTGAGTATTGTGGATAGTCGTGAGAGTTCGGGTTCATCTGCACGTTCGACAGAAACATGTGGTAGGTCAATGCCGTAGCGAACGTGCATGAGGATTGCAGCCTTGCGCACAAATGGTAGCGCATATTTCGACACCATAGTCTTCATGAGATAGAGGAAGTTTGCATCTTTGAACCGATTAGGGACACGCATGTTGTCAATGTCGAGAGAAGAAGGCGAGTCGCCCATGCTGGTCACATTGTAGATGACGCAGACAAAGAAGAGCAGATTATTGATCTGCTCTGGTGATTCAAAGCTGCTTCTGGCCTCTTCTGGATTGATGAACTGCTCCGGGTGCGGGAAGAGGAGTTCAGAGTCTGGCGACATGTCTTCGGTCGACGGGTGCTTCCTAGCCAGAGCGAAGACGAATGCTACTCGAACAATCTCTGCAAGATAGCACAACCGCATGATGTGATGAATGTCGAGATTTGCTGCCGAAACCACTCCGACAGCGCACTGAGAGAGGAATATGAATGGATCCTGAGAAAGTAGCGGGGCGATGCCTTTCAGGTCAAAGCTCAACACGTCAGGGTCGGATATGCCGGGATGACCAACGAACAACTGACGGAACTGGCGACGCTGGATCTCGGAAAACTCGTTCATAGTCTTCGTTGGACCCTGACCTCGCAAGCCCCCAACTGCAATGTATGAAGAGACGCTCTCTGAAAAGACACGGAGATGTGTAATTGTCTGTGGAGAGATCTTGTCGATCAAGGTCCCGCGCACCGCTTCAGACTGGATGCCTCGCTGGGCAATCTCTGCTGCGGCAATTGAATACCCTAAGGCCTGTGAAAGGGCATCCGTGTGCGTAAAGTCTTCCGAAATAGCCGGCGTATGTGGATAGGAGAAAGAGGACTGGATGTTATTGACTTTCAAAGTGTCCCTTAGTCTGTGGTAAATCTTGATTAACTCGCCCATGGGAACATCCGGAGTCAAAGCTGGGCTGCCTTGCGACGGACCCAATCCTTCAATTGTTTCCAGGCCTTGTACACCCAAGAAGGCCGGAACCTGGAATCGCGGCGCAAGCTGTGTTGGCGGTTGTCCGAGAGCGAGGCCAGTCGTCGGTAATTGTGGCTTGAGCAGGTCAGGCAATCGGTTCGATACCGGTTGGATAAAATTGCGCTCTGCATACTCGTAGAGCATCTTGTGATCGTGCGACAAGTCTGCAGGGGCTTTCAGGCTCTTTTCGTGACTCTTGTGAGTTGCAACTAGCTGAGACTCCAGCCAGCCATCAAATGTCTGTTCAGTCTCTAGTACACCAGTGCTCGACACTTTCTTTGCTTTCCAGATGATTGGCAGGAAGATGTTACCGAGAGCTTTGCATAGAGGGCACATGAACTCCTTAAGCTCGGGTCTTTCGGGATGGTTCCGGGCAATCTGGCTGACATGGCGCCTCTGAGTGGCATTGAGATATACCTCAAAGCAAGCAAAGTGCATGATGTGGCCACAGCCAGTGGTGACTGGACCGGGTGTGACAGATGCTGGTGGGAACCCTTTCCCAAGTTCCTGCCTTTCGGTGGTCACTCGTCCACCCGTAGCAGTCACCTTTTCAATTGTGCGTCGATTTTTGCCTGCAACGCCGAATGGCCGTAGATGCTCGGCGGAGCGGTCAAGGCTGCTTGGGGTCTCGACAACTTCGCTTACCCATTCTTCATCTTCCAAAGGTGTTTGCCGAAGGATCCTACTCTCGGAGATATAGCCAAAGGAGCCGTAAAGTCGCTGCTCGTTGCAGTCTTCCTGGCATAATATGCAGGTACCAGAAGGGAATTTCAGGGTCTTCTCTTGCTCAACAAGTCCTCCAGTCTCGTCTTCAAGGTCACTAAAGTCATCTTCGCCCCAATCAAAGTCCTGATTAGCCAAGAATTTCCCTTGTTGCTCTTTGAACGCTGCCATGACTTTTGCCTGCCGTTCGAGTGCCTGTTTCTTCTTCAGCTCTTTGTATTCTTTGTCCTGGGGTGCGGGTGAGGCAGTGTCCATTCTATCCGCCGGCATGTTGATTGCAGCGGCAGCGATGATGAATGAATCTTGCTGACGCTGCTTGAGTCGATGCAGTATCAAACTGATCTTTGGCTCGCACACCTTGAAAGCCTCGTTATCCTGAAGGGCCTTCAAGATTGAAAGCACAGTAGGGTGACCCTGTATGCCCATGCTGGCATTCTGAGTCAAGACTGAAGTAACAAAAGATTCCGGTGCCTTTTCGGACCATCCGTGCTCCATACTCTTGTCTTCGAGGATAGCTACAAGAAGGAGCTGCAGAACAAATTGGATGTATGTTTCCACGCGAGTTGCCGGTATGCTTGGTGTGACTGTGGCTGCCTTGAGGCCATATCCAAGCAGGTAATAGATGATTTGAGTGAACAAAGAGGTTCTCGTGAATCCCGACAGGTCTTTAAACAGGCCAGAAGTGATGGGACGAAGTTTTGGTTCGTAGACGATGTCGCTAGCTTGCTTCCCGGTTTGCTTAGCTATGCAAGCCTTGTAGATATTCTCTGCCTCCTCCCTCTGATTGCGATTGTATTGGTGAAGATAAGGATCAATCAGGTCGATGTACTGCTCTTTCAATTCAAAAGTTCCACTGTCAGACAAACCCTCAGGAGCTCGGAACCTCGTCATTTCTGAGAGAATTAGGGGAAACTCGTCTAGGTTCTGGATCCGGTCCGATAGACGTGCTGTCATGTCGGAGAAGGAAAGGGGCTTGAAACACAAAACATGCGCAATATCCTTGCGCACAGCGGCCAATTGAGTCTCATCATTATCCTCCGCGGGGATCAATGAAGTACGCTCACTAAGAATGATGATGAGCAAGTGCACAAAATCTTCTACCACATCGATAGCTTGGCTGTCTTCGAATTCGTGGTAGGCAGCTTCGTATCTCCCGGTCATCCAGCCAACAAGTCCAAAGCGGTCGACCATTGAAGCTAGGAATACCGAGGGGTCGCACAGAACGAGAGCAGATTGCAAGAGGAAGATGTCTCGCTGATGAGAAACATCCCTCTGGGATACACTGCGATACTGTGTCATCTGATGCCGCAACGTTATGCCGTTTCTGACCCAGATTCCGGCACGCATCTGAGCCAGCCATGAACACACTCGAAGCGGGAAATCAAACATGGAGAGTAGGTAATCCTCAGGCTCATGGACTGGGATGGGCGCTACAGCTGGGCCAAGGTCCATCTGTAATTCGCTGTGAGAGAACAAAAGCAGTCGCAGGATGTCCTCATGATCCATGCTCCGGGCCCGATCAATTAGCCAGGAAACGGTATAGTGAAGTGCATGATGAAAGCTCATTGGTTGAGTTGCAACGACGTAATCCACAATCTTGTAAGGCCCTGTCGAAGAAAGCGACGAGTCTGAATGGAACTCAAGAATATCCAACGTCTTGAATTTGGTCTCATCCTTTAGTTCCGTCTGGTCGAAGCGTTTACGCTCAGCGCCTAGAGAATTAATGAAGGCCACCTTGGCGGCTGCACGAATGGCGCGTTGGATGTTTGTTGGGTCCTCCCCGCGGCTCCAGGTGAAAGATTCCGCAAAATGCCTACACAGCTTGTTGATCTCCCGTGTAATCAAAGAGGCGCTGATCCAGGCCTCCGACTCAAACTCTAGATGCTCACCCACTTGTCGAACATTAGGGCAGATGCCTTGGTGAAGCTTGACAAGATCAAGGAATTGCAAGAGATACCGTGGCTCTTCACGAATTCTTTCCTGGACAAACTCTGAGCCCAGTAGATATTTCATGTCGAGGAAGAAATGATACATGCGACGATTGGTTACAGCTCCCTGCTCGAAGGCCAACGTCGCTTTCGGGTCGACGCTCGAGGGGTAGCCCACTTGTCGTGTAGTCAGGAAGGTATAGAGAATGGCCATTAGGTTTGTGAGAAAATTGCCACGCTCGACAACCTCTGAAGTAATTGACGGAGTCGTCAGCATTTGGAGAGACAGGTTGATGATGGAGTGGTCCGGCTCGCGATCTGCAATGAGATAGAGCTGGGCCAGAGCAGTGTAGACACCTGCAAACCGTAGACCCAGCAAACGCTTGAACTCTGGGATCGTGACTACTGTGCTGATGAAGACGTCGCGTATGCCAATGCGCAATTCCTTCCACATGCGCAAGTCGTACAATATGAGGTGGTCGAGCCGTAGGCGTTGCCAAAGATCCTCATGTGGAGGGGTCCCTGGTTTTTTCCCGTAGTTTTCGGGTTTCTCCAACCAGTACTTGGCTGGCCGAGCTGGCCGTAATGATAGCGTCCGAGTGTGCGGAGTCTCGGGGACTGGCAACATTGGCTCAGCATGGCTAAGTGACGGCGCACCAACCATGGGTTCGCTGTCAGATTCTGCGGGTGTAACACTCTGTTCAAGCTGGCCCCGCTGTGCACGTTGAGGGGGGGGTGGCGGTGCGGGATAGCCTGCCACGGTGGCTTCAGGTGCGTCGAGGGTCTCCTCCGTACTTTCGTACGCCTCCATCTCGACATCACCATCCTCGTCCTGAGCCCCAACCTCGTCAATGTCCATATCATCTTGAGCGTCGGTTGCAGGTCCACCTTCCTCGTCGTCGTCGTCATCGTCGGACCCAGTGGTATCGTCGTTGGCATCCGTGGTTCGTTGTCGCTGAACGCGGATGATGCGCGCCCGTCGTTGCATGGGCATCAGACCACTGAAGAAGCCATCCATTTCAGCCTCCTTGTCCTCCATCTCGTGGTCGTCAAGACCATTCTTGCCGATGCCCTGGTTTGATGCCTCACTGCCGATGCGCCACGGCTTTAGCAGCTCCTCACAGACGGTACGCCTCAGTATTTGACTGTCTTCGCCCACACTACACCCTGCAATGTCCGAAATCCATTCGATGATGGCGCCGCCCATTTGCTCCCGGAACGTATCTCGAGCGGATCGAATCGTGACTGTCAGCTTGATCTCTTCGATGATCTTGGCCATTCTCAGGAGATCGTTGATGTCTGTCCGGTATACAATCGCACTACGTCCCACGTCATTGATCTCGTAGGCCTTTGCGAGGCCAAACGCCAGCTTCTGCTTGCACGCGCGTGCAACTTGGTCTCTAACATCGTTGACGGTATGCTTCTCATCATTCCACAGCACTAGGCAGTACTCGTCGCACTCTTCCGATTGGTCTCCGGGGCCGTACCATCTCGAAGTGAGGCGCGAGTTGCGTTCGTCTTGTCTGATTGATTCTTCGCTCTTGGGCAGGCGCAGCTGTTCGGGCGAGCAGGAGAAGACGTCGATGAGGTAGTCGAGTGTTCGCGCGATGGTGATGCGTATGGTCTCGACGAGCTCGTCTGGCAGCATGGAGCCTTCCCGAGCCTTGCCAGACGCCTTGGACTCGCCGTCGGGATCGACTGAGTGTATGTTGCAGTGTACAGGCCGCACCCAGGCCTCGTCGTCCCCGCAGTCGCAGCAGCCAGAGTTGCCGGGCGACACGCTGACAAAGACCTGGTGCCCCTCGTGGTCTGACGCATCGAAGCAGCGGGCGCAAAGCACGCATGTGTCGTCAGTGGTGCATGTCTTGCAGCGGTATGTGGCCTCGCCATTCTTGAAGATGTGGCCGCATGGCTTCCCCCTTGCTGCCGCCGTGTATTCAGCGCCCTCTACTGCGCCCTGTGCGTCGCGCAGGCTCCATGGCTTGTCGCCGTCAGTTTGCGGCCCGTTGGGAAAGAAGAGAGGCAATAAGTCGTCACGGCCTGCAAGTGAGCGGAAAAGTATCTCGCGCAGCTCGCGGTCGGCAGCCGGCTCAAAGCGGTAGTTGTGTCGTCGGGGCAGTTCGCGCAGCTGTCGACATAATTCTTGCTCGTGCAAGGACATGTACATGGTGCAGCTCCCGCAGGCGGGAGATGGTGGGGTTGGGAGAGGGCCCGTGGACGCGCTGGGGGCCGGTATCGTATGTATGTTTAGACAACAAAAGCGATGCAGGCTGTGGTTGCTGTGGGCCTGCCACGTGGATATGTCAGGGTTGCTGGTTGCGTGACGGTATCGAGAATCGTGGTAGAGCGGAGGGCTAGAGACGGCGCTATGTCATAAGTTTCGAGGCGAGCATGAGCGCCGCCATAAGTAAACTAAGTAGGGCGGACCCCCGAGGCACGCGCAACCCAACGCCACCGCCTGCTCTTGCGTGCCAGCGCCGTTTCATCAGCAGAACAAAGGCCAGGCGGCCTGCGCCGTGACGCCAGTCCGTTGGTGTTTCACTGGCGCCGTCGTGTGAAGATGGGCTCGTCCCTCTTTGCACTCTTCTTGCTGCCTGGCTCCGCGGGTGCACATGCAGTGCGGCTGGCCTCCTCTGCGCTTCACATGGGCAATCCTGCGCGGCACAACGCACCGCTTGCAATCACAGGTAAATCACATTCACGCTCGGTCATGCAACGGCCTAGCCGCTATGCAGCCTGGCATCCTCAGCGCAACGGCACACTTCACACTACTAGGGTCACCGCCTCGGATTGGTATTTCGCATCTGGTAGAATACATGGCCGTCGCATGCGTCCGTCCCCAAGAACCGCAAAGAGATGTCTATATCATGCTTGAGTCGTTGTCTAGTCGCTCTTCTACTCGTCGTCCTCGGCGGCCTCCATGTATCGCTGCTTGATGTCCTTCCATTGTCGCTGCCACCTGCATTAGCATCCTGCACTCGCAATGAACCAGAAGCACCTACGCCGCGGTTGATGTTGTCCCAGATCTTGTCAGAGGTGGTGTCGAACGCCCTGTTATTTCCATCAGCTTCCATCCCTTCCGCACACTCGTGCCCGGGTCCCTGCGACGTACAGCTGGAGGCCGAAAGCGGAGCCGAAGACGGCGAACAACATGGTCGTGTTGCTGCGGAGGACCGCGCTGGTTCGATGGTCAGTCGTGCTCGATCGAGGCATATGCGCGAGGGAAGACTTGCTTGTAGACAGTGCCGAGCATCTGCACAGGGCTGTTAGCGCACACTCGGATGCATGCTTGGCATCAATTGACTTACGCCAGACATTTTGGACGTGTCGCGGGGGCTGGGTGGGCTGTGGAGAGGGATGTGATGGTGCTGTGCTGTCGGTGTCAAAGGGCGAGGTTCAGCGACAAGATTGAAGCTCTCGCGTCACGGGGATTTGCGCTGCGCTAATTGGCCCTTTGCCGCTACCGCTTGGCTCTCGACCTTACTTTCACCCCCACCAAGCCAATCATTCCGCTGCCACCAACTTGCACCGACACAACCCCGGTGCGCGGTACGTCGTCCGAAGGGGCCTGAAACCACTTTCCGAGTGCCATTGACGCCTCTGCCGCAACCTCCGCCATGCCTTCAGCAGCCACCCCCACCATCTCCAAGGCTGGCATCACGACCTCAGCTACTGGCGAGCGCCATATCCCGTCTTCAGTCCGCTCTGACGGCTCCATACGCAAAGAAATCAAGGTCCGCCCAGGCTACCGCCCACCCGAAGATGTCGAGCTCTACAAGAACCGCACGGCTGAGGGCTTCCGAAACCGCGGCAAGGGTCCAGTACCAGGCGCCGAGGGCCTGAGTAAAGGGGAAGATGCCAACAAACCAAGCCCCGCTGCAAACAAGAACGCCAAGCGAAGGGAGGCCAGGAAGAAGGCAGCAGCTTCTGCTGGTGACGGCAAGGAAGAGCCCACGGACAAGCCTGCTGAAAACAAGGAAACTACGGATGTGAAGCCTGAGCCTGAGAAGCCGGTGGACCCCGAGGCTGAGAGGGAGAAGGAAGCCAAGAAGCTCGCGAAAAAGCTCAGGCAAGCACGAGAGCTCAAGGACAAGAAGGAAAAGGGCGACAAGCTGCTCCCAGAGCAGTTTGAAAAGGTCATCAAGATCAACGAGCTGATTCGTCAGCTGGAGAACCTCGGCTTTGATGCGCAGGGAGAGAAGAAGAAGAGCGAGACCTGAAGCAGGGCCCACGAAACGCTTCTTCAAACACCTACACAATCACCACCCGAGCCGTGAAGCCTTAATAGTCACGCGAATCCCGCAAAGTCCGCCGGGATTTCCATCAAGGTGCACATGCTGTGTGCCTTGTCAAGGGCTACGAAAACGCACGTGCAATGTCTCAGCTGATATACACATCCAACTTGGAAGGCCCATGCTCTGGTTCAGTGTTCACTTACTACTGACGGCGCCAAGAGCTCTTTGGTCATGAGTGCTTTGAGGCTTTGACCAGCATCGATTTCCAGCTGTCAGCATGGGACAGTCAACCTGGTGCACTCCAGTCTGCACCAGGCTGGAGAATGCAAGCACGTATTGTAGTCCCATAAAGAAACGATGAGCCATGATGGCTACTCTCACTTGGCTTCTTCTGCCACTCAACTCAATGTGATTTGCAATTCTCCATACTATCACCTACGTGTGATTTGGCCAGAAACATGGTGTCAAAGATGCTTGACAATTAATGCTGCATCAGAATCACCCCATCCTACACACGTGTTTGTGACACTTTCACACTCGAAAGGAAACCAAGCCCCAGATATCATATAAGAATCCTGTGTACTAAATTCGGATACTTGGATGAAAACTGAGAATGCGGCGTTATCTTGACTAACTTTACTGGGCTGTTGCGGCAAGTAAACGGTAGAATCTTGCGCCATGGACCAACACGATACGTGCTTACGTTGGATACTGTAAAGATAGTACATATAGTAAATACAAAGTTCGAAGTAGCTAGAATACGGACAATGTCACGTTATAACAGTTTGGTTTCAAATGCACATAATCACATTAAGCTAATCTTGGTCTGGGTACAGAACGAGTGTACACAACGACATGAACCAAAGTCTCGACAGAAGCCACAGCAACAGCCACGCGCCACCCCTCTTCGCGACCTCTCCTCTTTCTTCTCTTTATTTGGCATGAAAGATCTCCGGTGGGGCTTGGTAGTAATTATGCTCCTCACCATTATATCCATGTTCTCCTTGTCGGTGCATGACAGGCGCGTAGACCTGCTGAGCAGGTACCTTGTTTCTCCAGCACACGTGCTTTGCGATGCCGAGTAAAACAACGAAGCTAATGGTCCTGAAGAAAGCGGTGACATACATGACAGCGAGAGAAGCTTCCAGTGCCCAGTCGTAAGTGAAGATGCTCATTCCCGTCCATACGACTGCGAGGAGTGCCCAGATAAACATGCACACGTGCAGGACGACGACCCAGCCGACTAGATCCTGGAAAGAAATTAGTATGTAAAATAAGGGCGGCTGGCATCATAGAGTTAAGGGGAAAGAAATAGCTGGACTTACTCCGCCAGGCAAACGTGCTCTCCGTAGTGCGGAAATGTTCATTGCTGAAAGAGCAAAGGAGAGCATGACGCTGAACAAGTAGATGGCTCTCAATGCTAAAACGAGCCTTTGGGTAGGATGAACAAGGGAATCGGATGATATGTCGTAGTTATACGCCCTGTTCAGCCAGGTATAGCTGACGAGGCCTAGGTAGACGATGGTGAGAGCGAGCACGATTCCGCACACGGCTAGCGGAATGCCCGTGACGATTCTACCCGGAGAACCAAGTTGCCTGCGTAGCATGCTGTTGAGGGTGTAGAGCACAACAAAGAGCAGTGCCCAGATGCCCAGGTTGTAGAGAATATTGGCAGTAGTGTAAATGGCCTCATATGCATGGTTGTTGTAGATCCCGCACTGTGTCATGATGAGATTGGCCAGGTCGAGTATGTAGGCACTTTGAAATCATCAGCAGTTGATACATGCATGCAACAGAAAACTAGGAAATGATAGTGGCAGAGATACTTACATGATTTCGAATACCAACGCGACTATGTAGGCCGGTCCAATAAGTTTCTTGCCGGCGCCGCTCTTCCGGTACACACAGCATAGAGCGAGGAGTATTAATAGGAACAAGAATATGTAGACGCAATAGTAGGCCAGCATTGCTTGGTGTCGGGGCTCACTAAACGCGTACGAGCACAGGCCCCCGCCTCCATTGATATACCAGCTGCCTGCCATAACGGTCGTACGATATAAGGGAACTCGAACACTGGCGGTTGTGAAGTTGCCAATCGAGTGACTGCGAATTAGTTTTCCAGAGATGAAGCAGTACACGCGACAAGAGGTTGAACGTCAAGAGAGCTATCAACGGACGGCATACAACCATTTTTATGAGTACTTCTTGTTCCATTTTTCAAGACTTGATTCATGCTGCGCCCCGTGGCTTGCTGCAGCCTCTTGGTGTCTTCCTGTTCTCGAGCGAATCAGAGATAGTCAGGCCCCGCCCAGCGTTCACAATGGACGGTTGTCAGGGGGCCTGAAATACTCCATACGAGGCTGGGAGCGCGACAACGCAGCGACGACAAGCTTTGGGGACGCTTTATATGCAGCCTCTTGTAGCCATGGCGGGTGCAGGTGACAGCCAGCACGACGCACTGTACCCAAAGAGTTCATCGGTACGCAAGGCTGTATCGCCTGCGAGCATCAGCTAGAGAAGTGATGCTGTGAATGCCAAGCCTAGGCGTGGATGGAGTGCTATACTCGGGTCTAGCCGAGTCACATTGGGGCGGTGCTACGTCTCGGTAGTATCTGGTTACGGGTAAAGCGGATGCCAGGAGCACGATGGCAAGGCTGGATAGGACCTGCAAGCGCATTTCAGAAACCAGACTACGGCCTAGGGCCCCACGGCGGTGTGGCTCGGGATGCACGTGATGTGGCTCGGGACGCAGGAACGGATCTGCGAGGCAATGCGCGGCATGACATCATGGCCATTTTGGGCAAACCAAATTCTTCTACTCTTGCGAATATGCTCCGGTTCAGTCGGATGCGGAAGCAGTCAGCTGAAGTGAGATTGCTCCATGTCTGGCGATTCAAGGCCATTGCTTACGGCGGCGTTGCCACATCATTCGCCCTGACTTTGCGACGCTTCCGTTCCGATGGACCCGTTATGAAACGTCCCAAGCTACGACGTTCTTCTCAACAACCTTCCTTCAACAAACACACTAACGATAACGAAAAAGTATATATCTGTACACGCGTCGCGCGTCTCTTCGACATTCTGGCAGATACTGGAGATCACGCCCCCACCTGCATTGAAGAACCACAAGACTGATCAGGCATCACCCATGGACGGGCAATCAGTCATGTCTCACGCGCTACACGGACTCTCGACGCGTCCACCAATCAACCGCGAAGACTCATGGTCACCGACTACCTCACCCGCGGCTTTGGACGTTGATGGCGTGGTTCAATCAAAGAAGCTGGAGAGCGAACGTGTGGGCGACTCGGCAAGCCGTAGCACCACGGCTATCGCTTCAGACGACAGCGGGTCGGAAACGCATTTGAATGAACACCACAGCAGTCCCCGAAAGAACATAGAACTCGTACTCAAACCGTCTGGAAAAAATGGCGAGTACGAGTTCACCGCTAAAGATCCCGCGCTCCAAAAGGCCCTGCGGCGGGAAGCCGATAAGCTCAACTGGAAGAACAAGGGCAAGCCCACAGACCTCATCTACCGGCAGCAGTTCTCTACTTTTGACCGCTTAAACGCCGCGGCTGCGCAATCTCCCTTTCATGGGTTCTTCACGCTGTTTTGGATCGCCATGGCCTTGCTGCTTGTGCGGATAGCAGCGAAAAACTACCGCACTAAAGGCTCTGTGTTTGGAGATGCAGAGATTCTGCATCTCATGGTCGACAAAGATCTTTTTGTCATGTTGGCGACCGATGTTGCAATGTGCATAGCGACCAGTTTTTGCCTCTTGCTGCACAAAGCCATCGCCAACGACTATTTGACGTGGAATGGTTCAGGATGGCTGATACAGTCGCTCTGGCAAGTTTTCTACACAGTCACCGTCATCTGGGTCACCTTCTGGCGTCACTGGCCGTGGACGCATACTGTGTTTATTGTTCTGCACGTCTTTGTGTTGTTGATGAAGCAGCACGCTTATGCATTCTACAACGGTTACTGTACGCTGTCTCCTTGGTACTTCCAAATCTGAGCTAATCATGAGCAGTATCGCGCGTTTGTAGGCGACGCAATCTTCTGCAAGCCAAGTTACGTCAGCTAGACGCCATAAAAGTGCAAGAAGGCCCTTCTGAGACGACCACCGTTACTGGTGTAGACAAATCTCACCAGCATGATCTGAAGCACCGAGGAAGTACCGGACCCAAATATTCGACGGACATTTCCAATGAAGAATCAGAAATTGCAACTATCGACCAAGCCATTGAAGCTGGAAACCCGCTCGACTCGGAACAGATTGAGACGTTCAGACGCGTGTTGAACACAGAGATTACCGTTCTCAACGAGGAGCTGCGTGGAAAGTGCACGGCAACAGACAATGCCTACCCTAAGAATCTGACGGTGCGGAACTTTGTTGAGTGGACGTGCTTCCCCACCCTCGTTTATGATTTAGAGTACCCCCGCCACGAGCGCATAAACTGGTGGTACGTTGCCGAGAAGTCGGCAGCCACACTGGGTGGTATCTGGGTCATGATCATCATCTCACAAGCCTACATCTACCCTGTCGTCGTAGAGACTGTGCGACTGAAGGAAGCTGGCATGCCATTTGAGGAGCGGTGTAGAGAGTATCCATGGGTTGGTACGTAGTCTCTATATCCAGCGCGAAGTTACCTGCTAACGTCATCACCAGTCTTGGATATGATCTTCCCCATGCTTCTTGAGCAGCTTCTCAGTTGGTACGTCATCTGGGAATGTCTGCTCAATGTGCTTGCGGAGCTTACGAGGTTTGCCGATCGAGGCTTTTACGGCCCGTGGTGGAACTCTGTCTCGTTTGACCAATATGCCCGCGACTGGAACCGGCCTGTGCACAACTTCCTACTCCGACACGTCTACCATTCATCCATCTCTTTCTTCCGTCTGTCCAAGATTCAGGCAACATTCTTCACCTTCTTTCTCAGCGCCATTGTCCACGAAATCGTCATGTTTTGTATTTTCAAGAAGGTCAGGGGCTATTTGTTCACACTACAGCTTACACAGATACCACTGGCGGCGTTCAGCAAGACAAAGTTCATGAAGGGGCGGGATACGCTGAACAACGTCATCTTCTGGGTTGGCCTCTTTACCGGGCCTAGTATCCTGACGAGTTTGTACCTGATCGTGTAAGTACTGTGCAAGTTAGGATGGTCAGCGCATAAAGCTTTGTACGTGTTTTTGGACTGGATCAAAGCGCATATAGACAGTTATATCCTAGACTAGTCCTTGAAATTTTGTGCGGTCCTGCCTTTCTCCTCGTTCAAAACCTCGAGGAGCCTTCTTGTTATCCTATCCCGCTCACTCGTATCAATGATTCCATAATTCTCCTGTGCTTGCGCAAAGATACTTTTCTCCCACCCCTCACCAACATTGGGCTTGCCCGAATCGCTCCAGCAATCTTGCACCGTGCCACCGATATTTTTGAAGAAGCCCTCTAGTCCTGCTGGGCCACCGCCTGCATGATAACTCTTGAACGGCCCTGCGACGGCCCATCGCGGCCCCATGCTACTCTCCACAATGCTATCCAATTCCGCAACCGAAACCACATTTTCATTCACAAGATGAACAGCCTCGCGCAACAACGCAAATGCTAGTCTATTCGCGACAAAACCCGTCATCTCTTTCTTGATATGTATCGGCAGTCTTCCGCGCTCAAGCCAGAACTCTTGCGTTCTCTTGATAACTTCTTCCGCAGTATCTGGCGACGGGACCAGCTCTAGCAGCGGCATAATATGCGGTGGATTGTACGGGTGCACTACCAACAACCTCGACTTATCCTTCATACCCTGTGCCTGCTGAGACGCAGGAATTCCCGACGTACTACTCCACAACAAAGAGTCCTCTGGTGCATACTTCTCGACTTCGGCCCAAAGCTGCTTCTTGAAGTCGAGGTTCTCCGGCCCGGATTCCTGGATGATGTGAGCTCCCTCGACGGCTTCTTGCAGGGACGTCGCAATGCGGATATTGGATAGTGCTGCGTGTGCGGGCACCTCAGTAAAGAAATTGGCGAGGTTTTCTTCGACGTATTGAGGGAGGTTTGGTCGCGTGTCGTAGATGGTGAGTTGAGATGCATTGGGGAGATGGGAGAGGTGATACGCTGCGAAGGAGAGGCCAATTGTTCCGGTCCCGATCAAGGCTATACGAATATCCTTGTTCGATTGTACCCTGAGTACGGAGTCATGCTCGGATGCTCTTGATTCAGGCATGCTGTATGTGGTGTCTCGGGGTCTCGGGATCTCGGATACACCCAAGGACAAGAAGTTGTAATCCGCTCTACGAACGGGCAGCTTGGTTATACCACAATGCCAAATGTCCGTCTAAAATAAGAAGGAATCTACCACGGGGCGATGACACAGCTCTTACAAACGGACCTTTGTGGAGGTGTTAGTGTTATCTAGAAGAACGTCAGTGGATACGGTAATCCTAACCGCTTTGACTTAGTAGACAAGCTCGGCCGCTCCCCTAACCCCGCCTTTGTTACACCCCCACCCTATCCCCGCTCTACAATCGGCTCCAGTACTGCAAATCCGATCGATATGGATCAAACCGAGGTTGCATGCTTCCGCTTGCTTACTGAGCTTAAGAGGCCATTCTGCCCAGAGTACCTACTCTCCAACTTTGTTCATCGCTTTGCATTGCAGAATTGCATCGTTTCTACTTGGGTTTTGCGCGCATTCGTTTGAAGTGAAGCTGTTTCGTTACTAGCATTACGGCCCTGATTATATCAATATGGTAATCTTCAAGTCGAAGCAGCCTCCTATCGACTGTATGTACGCAGACTGTATACGTGCTTCACAGCACCGCATTGACTAACACGCATAGTGCCCACCGACTTGACAGACTGGGACTGGCTCTTTGATTCTCCCTACTCACCAATCAATAAACATCCTCGGAGCGAGCTTGCCGATTTCCTAAATGCCATCACAAAAGAACGCGTGGACTGGGCCGATGTGAAGAGGTATTCTACATACATCTCCACGGCCTTGGTTAAAAATTATGGTCTTAAAGAAGAGCAGACTGTTGCGCTTTTCAGTCAGAACACAGTATGGTACCCAGTAGCGATGTTTGCGGGACTCCGTGTTGGCGCGAGAATCAGCGGTGCAAGCCCAGCCTACAATGTCGAGGAAATGACTTTTGCGCTCAAGACTGCGGACGTAAAGTTCTTGATGACTACGCCAGGAAGCATGGAAATTGCAGCGGCGAGCGCAAAAGCAGCAGGAATACCTCAGTCCAATGTCTTCTTGCTAGAGGGCGAGCTACCCGGGTATACCACCGTCCAGGATTTGATCCGCATGGGGGAGTCGTATGGCGAATCAGGACAGGTACCTGCATACAAGCTTCCTCCTGGCAAGAAAAATAAGGACATCTGCGGCTTTCTCTCCTTCTCGTCGGGAACCACAGGTCTTCCAAAGGCCGTCATGATCAGTCATCAGAATGTGATTGCGCAATGTCTTCAGATACAGCAGCTAACGCCGGAATCGCACAAGAAAATCATGGCAGTGCTTCCATTATTCCACATTACCGGGCTGGTTCATCAGATGCATCTTCCGATTCTCCTCAACGCCGAAGTAGTCATGCTTCCGCAATTCACCATGGAGAACATGCTCAAAATCATTGTCGAATACAAGCTCACAGAGCTTCTCCTGGTCCCACCGATCATCATCAGACTCGTCCGCGACCCCCTCGTAGACAAGTACGATCTCAGCCACGTTACTCGCTTCTCGTCGGGCGCGGCCCCGCTCTCCGAAGAAATCATCCACCAGCTGCAGAAGAAGTTTCCCAATACAGGATTCAAACAGGGCTACGGAATGACCGAGTCATGTTCCTGCATCACTGCACATCCAGCTGACAAGTACTCGTACAAATACGCGCACTCGGGCGGCGCCATTGTCGCCTCCACCGAAGTCAAAATCATCAAGGACGACGGCACAGAAGGCGACGTCGGCGAGCATGGCGAAGTGCTCGCTCGCGGTCCCCAAGTCGTAATGGGCTATCTCAACAACGAAAAAGCCACGCGCGAGACGTTCGACGCAGACGGCTTCCTGCACACGGGGGACCGCGGCGCCATCGACGCAGAAGGCATGATCTACATTTCCGACCGCATCAAAGAACTCATCAAGGTAAAAGGCATCGGCGTTGCGCCCGCCGAGCTCGAAGACCTGCTTCTCGGGCACCCCAAAGTCGAGGACGTGGCCGTCATGAGCGTGCCCGACGAGTACTCCGGCGAGCGGCCCAAGGCGTACGTGGTGCTCAAGCCAGGGATCCACGAGAACACGGCTGTCGGCAGGGAAATCATCGCCTATGTGAGGGAGAAGAAGGTGCGCTACAAGTGGGTCAAGGAAGTCGAGTTTACACATGAGATTCCAAAGAGTCCCTCCGGCAAGATTCTGAGGCGAGTGCTGCGTGACAAGGAGAAGAGTGAAGTGCGTAGCCTTGTTGTGAGGGATGAAGAGAAGGCTAGGTTGTAGATAATAGATGCTAGATGCAGGAATTATGCATGCTGTGTTTTGCTATGTAGTGATGTACAAAATTTGCATAAGCAGACAGGTTTTTACAGCCTTTATACGCTTCGTAAAGCGTCATTCTTACAGCGTGGTTGGCCTTGAAATATGGTCCTGATGTCAAGCGAAGTTACTAGTATATACCGATCGTTCCATGTGCTGGTCGAAGCATCCACTTGCGTTTTCACACACCTTGCACTGGTCTTCATTTTGCAGCCCAGTCTCCAAGCGGGCACATGCGTGCCGTATGTGTAAGTACATGAAAGAGACTTGAAGTCTGCAAAGAAAAGGACATGGAATTTCTGCTCCGCTCAGCACACTCATTCTGTATCACAGGATACGAGCACTTTGTACGTAATGTTGTTGAATTTAGATATACTCGAATCATAAGACTACGCTTGATATTGCTTTTCTTTTGCTCGTGTGTACATTTCCCTTTCTCTAATGAGTATAGATCTATTTCTTCTTCTTCTTCTTTTTTCTGAAATCTCGTTGGACGGCATATCCGTTCATGTTTTCTTGTGCTTTTGCGAGAGAAAAACTATAACTTGAGAGATGGAAGTAAGGGCTAGGAGAGACGAACCCACGTGAAAAGCACGGGTGAAATATTTCTCATACCTAGTCTGAACACCCAACTACACCAGACGTCTTGGCCGTAAGACCAGCGGTCTTATTCGATGCTAGCCAGGCGGATGCTCGAGACTATCGTCTCCACCTGGAGGCTCTGCCCAGTAGCCATGTTGCATATCGTGCTGCTGCATGTCCTGATGAATCTGGTGATGCATCTGCTGCTGCTGAGATATCAGCATGTCGGAAGGATCCAGACCCATATTGTCAGATGGCACAGTTTGCCACCACAGATTCTGCATGTCGACGATGGGCGGGCCCTGATCAGAGGTCGTCATAAACGGGTTTCCGAATCCAAAAGCCATGGACTGGTCCTCTGGGTTCGGGTACGAATACATGGGATTGGGAAACTGGTCGTCCAGTAACTGGGATGGGAAAGTTTGCGTAACAGGCTCGGAATAGCCGGTATTGATGGATGGATCCCAGTACTCTTGTTGAGAGGATGGTATGGTGGGGTTCTGAAAGTGCTGAGTTGGCCAGGGCTGTGGAGGTTGATCGTGATCATCCGTCATGAGCTCCTTGACCTGATCTCGGAGGCCAGGAGCACATGTGTTCAGGATCTTGTAGACAACGTCATGAGCACGGGATGCGACAGGGTCGTTGACTCGCATTGCACGGAGCCAGCTCATCATCTTCTTGATACATGCGAGGATATCTGCTTTCTCCTCCTTTAGCTCCTGGCCCTCGTAAGCCATCTCGAGCAAGAGTACAGCCATACTCTGCATGACTGTTGCACTTGATGTTAACGCATATCATCGTCGCTTAGTTCGCATGCAACTTACTAATGTGAACCACATCCCACCATGGTCCCTGAGAGTAGATGAAATACATGTCTGGTTGCTTGGGGAATAGCGCAACTATTTGTCGAGCCGCATAAACACACAATTCGGCTATTTTTTTGTTGAAATCAACCGAACGACTGCTCTCAGACTCTATCCGCCGTTCAATTCTGCAGAGGCAAGGTCTAGTTATGAGAATCTTCGTGCTCCAGTAGTAGATGTTGAGCAAGAAGTGCTCGCGGTCGATTTCGGACTTTTGGGTCGGGCTAGTGAAACGAAGACCCTCGGATGGCAAAGCTGTCTTGGACCATTCTTCGAGTTCATTGAGGAGACCTTTAATTCTCGTCTGGATATGCTGGAGTGATCGCAGTCAGCAAAGCTACGGAAGTCATGTGTGGGGGGAAAGAAACTAAGGGGGAATTTGTGGGCGTACCTCCCAAGACTGAACCGCCGTCCGCGGAGAATACAAACCGAGAAGAACTTTTTGTGATATGAGATTCAGGTTGGTATACGTAATAAAGTATATGCTGCCGTCAGTAGCACTTTTTCCTGACTGGGAGCTAGTGCTGCTCATGCTCATTTGCGGTGAGCTGTGGCTTGTACGGTTGCGCGATACCTTTCTAGACGCATTGTTGTCGCGCGTCGAAGATCCAGGAATCGATTTTGGCAATGGCACAGTACAGTCCTCATTCCCAATAACCGGGGGCCGGCCAGTGATGGAAGATACGAGACACTCTATTGCGTGTAGACACCACCATGTCCTCGCCAGTGGCTCCTTCTTATCCTCGTCCAGCGCGGGATTCTCGTTGCGCAGATGAAGCCCAAGGGCCAAGGCAAGCCTGAGAGAAAGTCCTATCATGATCCAAGCTCTGCTGACATGACCAATTGCAAGAAAATAGAACGCCAGGGTACCAGTCTATGGGTTGATTAGCTACTTGGGCGTATATAGAACGTGTATGACTTACAGCTTGAACTCTGTCCATGGTGGGTGCGGCAATGAACACTATCGGGTCTTTCAGCCGTAGAAGATGCATTGCACGGGTCATGTAGATCAAATGATCTCTTTCGTCACCCCTCCATTGAGCTCCGATGAGTTGAGAATATTTTGCTCCGATTGCGAAGAGCAGGTTCACCGTGACACGCCATTTTTGCGGTATCTCATACGGGCTTTGATGCTTTGCGGATTGTATGTAGCGGCGAAACTGAATCTCGAAGTTGGCAGGCATAAGCGGAAAGGTACTATGCACAGTATCCAGATAGCAGTTAAAGAGATTTTCGGCAACTTCTGGATCCGGCATCTCGTAGGGGTCGACAGCGATGTCGATTTCGATGTCTTCACTGTCCAGATAGAAAGTCGCATCGGTTGTATGTTGCATTGAGCCTTGCTTATTGTTTCTTCTGCGTTCATGCAAAGCCTCGACTCGTTCGTTGACAGCACCGGAGCTCGCGCCAGGGGGACCGTATGGTTGACTGCTGGAGCCTGTATTTCCACGTTCAGCTTGGCGTTGAACGCTTCTCAACCACTGGATTTCAGAGTTCTGGCCTATATAGCCGGTCTCTCTTGCTTCGCGGTTGCGCATGAGGTCTTCGTCAAGGAAATCAAGATCCTCGTTTGAACCAACTGATGCAGTGACGAAAGCCTCTCCATGGTCAGAATTTTGCGGCTCCTTCTCCCCTGAAGATTGTTCGCGTGGTCTCTTTCCCAGTTGCTTCAAGGACTGAACGGAACCCACAGAGACGAGCTCGTCGTCTATCTATAAGAGATGAACAATTAACAAATTTCTCATGTTGCAGAAATGCGCGAAGCAGTAGTTGGACGCACATTATGCAAGACTTGATTGATCATCTTCTTATCAGCGTCGTTGACGCGCCCCTCAAGGGCCCTAAGGACACTGACGAGGTCTTGGTTCAGCCGCATTGCCCTGAAACGTCAGCTCAACAAGATGTCTATCGTCTTGCTCAACGTACTCCCCAAGCCGATCACGCCGTGCCGGGTCATAGAAACAGGCCAAGTTACCTCGCTCGCAATTGGCGCAACGTGGTAAGTCGCCTGAACATCGGACTTCTGCATCCGATATTAGCACACGCATACAAATGCGGGGAAGCTAGTGACATACTTCGTTTGCGGCAAGCTTTGCATGCTCTTGCTCTACGGAAACGTATTAGTCTATGGACTCCAAGGAGGGTGGGCACTTACACGCGTTCTTCTTTCTCAACGACCTTTTCCTGCTTTTCCTTGCCAGGCCGCGGCGGCAACTTTGGTATGGCAACCTTTCCTCCCTGGCCATAGATGAAAGGCTGAGATGTGCTTCCTTGCATAGTGAAGGCTGGCAATCATGGGAAGATGGCAAGGAACCCACACTACTAGCTCAGATACGGTTCGCGCGCAAACTGTATCTGGTAGAATGATGAAATTTGTAGCTTTGGTGCCTCGATCAATTCCAAGTCCAGTAAGGTGAGTGATAGGAGGTGGATGTGTAAATATGGCCGTGATATGTACTGGTTGGCTAATGGCAGCGCAACAGGAGTGGCTGGGTAGGCTGCGCGACTTTTGTTATGGTTGATATGGTATGTCAAGTATACCGTCAGCTTGCTGGAGATGGCCGTTATCTGGGGGCAGTCCCTGCGCTGTTGCTGCTAGAGGGTCGGCCAAGAATGTGTCCCTTTTATTCGAAAGATAATAGGTGGGAGTCTGTCCCGACCTATGAATAGCCAATCATTAACGCGCACCAACCCTCAGCCCATTTCATTTCCTGGGGAGCAAAAAACTTGACTAGAGGATATGGAGAATGCAGTACCAACATGCTCCAGCTTGATGGCAACCGCTGTCTCTTACACGCGCAGGTTGCAGTTCTTGATCAAAGTTTGCGTCGACGGGATCGCGATCGGAAAGAGGCCGGCGACAGCTATCCGTAACAGACGGCTACTCAGCCCCATCACCAGCAGGTGGATTCAGGCGTCGTGAAAAAAGAAAAACTATAGGTTTGACGCGATATGAGGGCTCAAGGTCACTTGCACTCTGCTGAGCTGTTGGCAGAGGTAGTCTCCTGATGGTGATTTTACCATGCGTACAGCGCGCATACGTCATAGGCGCCCGTCATATGGTGGCCAACTCATTGGTCTTATCAAAGCACCACGTATCTCACAAAAGATGACAGGATCTACACCTATCAATATTCATCCAAGCATCTTGCTTGTAGAGGCACTGATCTGGCCTATCTCTGGAAGCTTCTGCTAACACAGGTGGTGGCATGTCCCACGCCTTGCCAACAAAGGAAATATTCACTAGCTGGCCTATCGAAGCTTAGCGTGGGCGAGGCATCCCATCAGACCACCACGCCGCCTCACCTTTCCTTTGTCACGATGCATCCCTCTTATCAAAGTCACTTCATCACCTTCTCTAGATGCCCCCAAGGACGATAGCATGTGCAACCTGCCGAAAGAAACGCATCAAATGCGATGCAACACTTCCACAATGCCTCATGTGCATTCGGACGGGTCGGAAGTGCCCTGGACTGCCAGTGGGCCCATTGATCGTGGATATGACAAGCCTTGCCAAACAAGGAATGAAGAAGCGCCAGCCTAGGGTACTGGACAACAGTGTGCAGGCTCCTATACGGGTCTGGGCATATGCTGGCAATCTATCTTCACAACGCGTCTCCCAACGATCCGCCGTAACAGAAGCGTTTTATGCCCGGTTTTTGGCACACTTTACATCCGTGGGAGAAGGCAACGACATTAAGAATCGAAGTACCTGGCTGCATAGTCTGCCTATCTTGTCTGCAGATGGTACCGACGAAGCTTTGGTATTGGCTGTACAAGCTACGGCATCTGCATATTGCGCCGCAGGAAGTGATAATCTCGCTCTGAGACAACACTCTTGGAAGCTGTATGGGGAGGCGCTGAAGAAGCACGCCGGATTGATTTCACGGCCACCATCTAAGCACGAAATAACAGTGCACATGGTATTCACAAGCGTCCTGTTTAGCTTCTTCGAGGCTATGCAAGCTACAAGTGCAGACGCCTACTGCTCGCACATCTACGGCGCAGCAAGAATGCTCCAAGTTACTAAACCAAGGCAGTGCTCAGAGGGTACGTTGTGCCAGATATTCTACCATCTGCGAACGCAGCTGGCATTCATTCACCTCACCGGTATTGGCAGAGGGGCGTCGGTTCAGGTGCGAAGAATCCTATCTGGAGTATTGGAGTATGTTCTGATTCCACTATTCCAGAGACTAATGGACCACATCGCAGCATTGGCGGAAATGCATGTGAGGCAAAAAGAACGGGACACTGCAGCCTTCTAATCTTGCAGCCTATGCCATGATGCAAGCCGAAATTCAGTCCTTGTGGCACGAATACAACAATGAGGCAGCGGCCATGGGTACCAAGATATTCTGGGAAGACGCATCCCACGGAACCATGCACTTCCGCGACGCGTTTACAGCCCTCACCGTCGCCTTCTTCAGTGCCTCTTGTATCCTTGTCAACATCGCAGCACCTCAACTTGGGGCGTCCTCTCTAGATTTCAAGGATTACTACGGAACCATCCTGCAGACGTCGCAATACCTGCAGGCGGATCAAGTTGAATGTGCATACATGCGCATAGCAATGCCTCTGCTTCTGGTGGCACTCCACTCACCGCAGTCCAGCCAACGACAGCAAGCAACAGCGCACTTTAAGCGCTGGACCAACAAATCCATGTCCAGCGTTAGCGCCCTCGCCCTGGAAGCCCTATGCCAACACGGGGCCTTGAAAAGAAAAGAAAAAGGCGGGCATAACGCCTTGAAGCCTGCAGACAGGGCTAGCTAATAAGTCATCTCGATGAGATACTAGAGTGTGAGCTACAATCTCCGCTAACCCCCCAAAAGAGCAAATCCTACATGTCTCAGACACAGATAGTAGGTGTGTATACTATTATTCCCGCTATACCCCACCCCTCCCAAGCCCCATCCAGACTAGCCTACGCCTCCCCCCAGCGATGCGCCCTACTAAACCCCGATGCTCAACCCGACTTGACTCCTTCGGTGGCGCCCTTCCCCCCCCCCCCCTTTGTACCACCACATTGCAGCATCCCTTTGACAACGATGCACAGCGACAAGCCCGATCTGAAATGTAAATGGTACTTGTGAGGCGAGCAGTTGCTTGGCCGCTAAAAATAAAGATAAAAATAAAGGGGGGGGGGCGGAGATATACAGGTTTTTCGGTGCATAGACACTGAAATGGGACACGCCCGTTTCACGGGGAACAGGCACGTCCTGCTAACGACTGTACACCGTACTTGGAAGCTCGGTGTGTGTACAAGTCCTTCCAGCCACCTCGGTCCACTGCAGGAAATTGAGACGGAGGGGTTGGGCGGGCTATTTCAAATGGGGAATATCCACGCGAGCTCATTGACACTACTCAGTCGTTGAGGCTGAAGATGGAAAACAAAAACTCGCTTCTCGATACATGTTTTGGTATCCGGGGGTGGGTGGGGGGGTTTACCTGGTAGTGGTGGTGGTGGTGATGGTGGTAGTGGTGTAGAAACCAGAGTATCCGAGGTCCTTACTTCTGCACAAGATGCACGAAACAACTCGCTTTAGTTGGGTTGGTTGGGTGTACTCGGACATGGGAGCAAGAAGAAGAAAAGAAGAGGAAGAGACAGGGTGAGAATAAAACACACTTGACACATATATCTGACAGGACCATGAAATTCAGAGAGAATTACAAGACAGAGAGAAGAACAAGTCGTAAAATAGGCTAGCGTGAAAAAAAAACACCCCCCCCCCGTTCAAAGTACATAGCAAGAGCAAGACCAAAGTAGTAAGTAGACAAGATACGCCATCATACTACATATGTATGTTAACAAGTTGACAAACCTAAGTATATTCCGCTATTCATTTCATCCATCATCCACGCACCACCACGCACCATCTGGCATACATGATGATGACGACCACCCCCCCCCCCTATTGGCACACGTCGATAGATAGACACGCAAAAAAAAGTGAACTCCCTAGGTACAAAGACAGGAAAGGAAGAATAAGCACAAGGCCCAACCCAACTACGTCTTCTGCATGCCCTCGACAAACTCCAGCGCAGCCTCCCTCTCGACAACATCAATGCTACTCGTTTTATTGGAGTAACTAACGCCATAGCAGCGATCAGCCACATGCACCATTTCGGGTCTGAAGGTGGTGCAAATAAACTGGCCGCCTCCATCCTGGTTCTTGCCGCCGTGGCCACTGAGACGCTGCAGCATCTGTGCGACGGCAGTGCGGTACTGGGCGTCGAGGTTAGCGTCGATTTCGTCAAAGAGGTAAAAGGGCGCGGGGTCGCATTTCTGGATTGCGAAGATGAGGGCGAGTGCGCAGAGCGACTTTTGGCCGCCGGAGAGCTGGCCGATTTTTTGCTGCTCGTCGTGTTTGCTGTTGAAGGAGACGGCGATGCCGACGCCCGTGTATTCTTCTACCTTGCTCTTTTTGCCTTGGGTTTCTTCGTCCGAGGCGTCGTCGTCCGAGGCGTTGCCGCCGCCGCCGCCACGCGCGTCGCGATCGGATTTGCGGTTGATGATGAGGCGGCCGCGGCCAATGGGGACGAGCTGCTGGAAGACTTCGCCAAAGGCGGCGGCTACCTGCTTAAAGGTACGGGCAATGGCTTCGTCTTTGCGCTGGTCGAGCACGTCGATGAGGTTCTCGATTGACTTGCGCGAAGTGTCGAGCTCGGCACGACGCTCCGTGAGGGTACGGCGCTGGCGTGTAAAGTTTTCGTACTGTTCAAAGGCTTTCTTGTTGACGTGGGCAAAGCTCTTGAGGGCTTGGTTGACCTTTGTGAGTTCCTTGGTGACCTTGTACACGTTAATATATGCATCTACCCTATGATGGGCGCATTTGACTTACCTTCATAGTATCCCATTTCGTGTACTTTCGGTTAACATCTTCTGGTAGAGTGCCCAGATCCCTGATATCCCGCTTCACCTCGGCTAGTCGATCAGTGAGGCGACTGCGATCCGAGTCCTTCTTAGACATGGCCTGCTCTTGTTTGGCCATCATCTTTGCGAGCTGCCGGTTGCTGGCCTCTTTCTCGTTCCTTGCATCCTCGAGCTCGCTCAGTTGTGCGCGGATGTCTTCAATCTGAGCATCTGTCTCTTGTATCTGGTGATCAAGGTTTGCAATGGTCCGGTTGATATCGTTGAGTGCGCGTTCACACTCTCGTAACCGCGTAGACTGGCTGGTAGATCCGCCAGCGCCGCCTTGTTGCGCTTGGATGTTGTCGAGCTCGGGCTGCAGGTTTTCGTTCAAATCGAGCTCAGCCTCCACCTTGCGGGTCTCTAGGGCAGTTCGCTCTTCCTTGACTCGGGCGTACTGCCGCTTCAAATCCTGCACCGTACTCCGCAATGTCGCCAACATCTGCTCCTCGTCATTCGACAACGCCTTCTCAAACTTTGAGGCTATCTCGGCCTCCCAGTCGCTCTGCTGGGCGCTGATTTGGTTGATTGCAGACTGGAGTGTTGAGGCGGTCATCTGCTTCCTTGCCAAAGTCTCCTGAATGTCTCGCAGCGTTCGCTGCTTGACCCGCAATTCCTCCCTCATTGGCGCATAGCTGTTCTCGCCCTTGTCTTTCTCGTGTTCGCGTCTGCGAACCTCACTCAGAGCCGCAGTAAGTTGCTGCCGCTTCTGCTCCAGTTCAGCGGCAATGTCGCGTTTGCGCTGCTGCAGCTCATCGTACTGGGTGCGGATTTCAGCAAGCGCTTGGTAGGAGCGAATCTTTGACTTTGTAGGATCATGATAACCTCCCCGGTACTGGCCCTTTCGAGAAGCGTTGTCTCCGTCAAGCGTGTACGCGCGGACATTGTATTGCTTTGCGTTCTTCTTGCAAGCAGTCAGATCGGGACAGACGGCAATCTTGCCGAAGACGTGTCGGAACGCATCCTCGAATCGTTCGTCATATCTCAGTTTCGGCAACAGCGGTTGCATATCTCCAGTCGCAGGAAGGTCCACATCGTGTGACCTGATGCGATTGAGAGGAATGAAGGTGATGCGGCCGCCCTTGTCTTTGATCAGCCTGTCGATGAGTTTACTCGAGACTTCATCATTATCCACGACAACGTTGAAGAGAGCGCCCTCAGCGGCAGCCTCGGTGACTGCTCTGTAGTCATTGCTGACATGGAGCAGGTCCGCGATCGTTCCATGCACACCTTCCAGCTCGCCTTCCTTTTGATAGCGACGAAGTGACTCAAGTCCACGGCTTGTACCGTGGTCAAGCAACCGAGAGAATGTACTCTCGGCCTTTCGGAGTTCGGCTTGTGCATTTGTAAGTTGAGTGTTTACCCTGTTTTCTTCTCTGTAGAGGTTTGTCTGTTCGTCGTGGATGGCCTTGTAGGCATCCTTGGCCTGCTCGACCTTTGCTGCGAGGTTTACGCTGGCGTCTCCCTCGCTCTCAATGGCTGATCTGAGGCTGGCAATCTCACTCTCGGTGCGCTCAATGTCGCTCTGGAGTTGAGCAACTTCCTCATTTGTCTGCATGAGAACCGCCTTGCGACGGCTAAGATCGCCATTCGCCTCTTCTATTTGAGCACGCAGGGCATCGTCTCGCTGTCGTTTGGTGGTGTAGAAAGCCGTTCGACCCTGCTTCTCCTCAAGTCGCTTTTGCTGTCCTTCAGCTTCCAACAACTGTGATCTGACAGCCTCCTCTTCTTCCCTCTTTGCATTGTACTGGGGCAGCAGTTGCTGCAGCTCAGTTTCTCGTGCTCGGAGTTGTTGTTGGAGTGCCTTGACTTGGGTGTCGCGTGACTTTTTTGTACGTTGAACAGCCGACTGCTTGTCCTGCAATGCCTTGAGCTCGAGCTCAATCTTGGCCTTTTCTAGCGTTGCCGATTTGCGCTCCTGTTCAGACTGCACACGGTCCTCTCGAAGGACTTCCAAGTCACCTCTCCGCTTGTTGATGTCTGTGTCAATCTGTGCAATCTCGGCTTCAGTGTTGACGAAAGCCGCTTCGTTGGTCTCTTTCATCTCGCGGCCCTGGTTTTCCAGATGGTCGATGTTCTCAATCAAGGCCTCGAGATCGGCCTCTTCGCGCGACTTGAGCGTGTACATCAAAGAGCGGCGCTCCTTGTCATTCCGACTCCAAGCCTCCAGCTCTTCTTTTTCGCCCTCGAGTTCGTCCAAGCGCTCGTTAATGGTTGTGACTACTCCATCAATGTTGGCACACTTGCTGTCTGTGTCGGCGAGCAGCTTCAGACTGTTTGCGCGTCGCTCTTCGTATACGTTGGAGCCGGAAATCTCTTTGAGCAACTTGAGACGCTCCGAGTCCTTCATGTTGGTAAGCGCCGTGACGCGGCCCTGGGGGACAATGTAGTAAGGGTTTGATCGCGAGAAACCGGCGGATTCGAGAATCTGCATAACTTCGGCCTTTGTGGCGTTTTTGCGGTTGACGGAATACTCGTCCTTTTTGGCACCAATTGTCCGGCGCAGGTAGAATTCGGGCTTGCCCGTCTGGAAGCGGTCCTCTGTGTTGTCGAAGCAGACCTCGACATAGGCAGACATGACGGCGGAACCCGAACCTTCGTGCAGCAGCGCCTGGCGTTCTTCACGGCCCAGGTTGTGGTAGTCATCACCCAGCACGAAGCGCACGGCGGCGAAGAAGTTGCTCTTTCCAGAGCCATTGCGACCGACGACGACATTGCATTTGGGCGAGAAGGGCTCAATCTGCATCTGCTCCTTGTAGCTCTTGAAGCCCTGGATGGTGATTTGCTTGATGTAACCCATGGCGGCGGCGGTTGATTGGGATTACGGGGCACGAGCGAGTGGGTGGGCGATGGGCTGCGGTCGCGTGTATGCGTGTATGCGATCGCGATGGGGCTCTTCAGCACATGGTGGGGTCGGCGTGATGGTGAGGGTGAATGGGGATTCGTCCAAGCAAGCACTGTTGCGCCGACGCGGTGCGCGTCGCGCTTCCCGCCAAGACATGACGAAGCGCGCTAGAGCGCTTTGGGCCCCTTTACGTTATCGCGACCACGACGATGTGCAGTTGCAAGCTGTCGACGTGCTAGAAATCTTTAGAGGAGGAATTGTAACGCTAGGCCAGAGGATGAAAAAGGCAAGAGTTTTAAGCTTAGTGCAAGCAGTTGACATGGATTATTGCGTGTTTGGATGCTTGCGCTGCAATGGAAGAGCATGTGCACGTGGAAGACGAGTAGCCAGGTGGATAGCATGGGAATTCATCAGTCTGTCTTTGCACATTGGTGTCAGAGTCTGGGCAGTTGCAAGGGTCACGTGGACAGCGTGGTAGAAAGAACAAGGAGTGATTACGCAAGACGCAAGCAGCCCACGTGCACTTGAAAGCGTTTGGGGCATCGTCATCACGGGTACTGTAACCTGCCTGTTCTGGGCAGAGGCCATGCAAGGTGCGTTTGATGTGCATGGGCTAGACGATCTACCCTCGCATGTGCTGCCGCAATCCAGGTGCAAACTCTTTCGTGTAGATCCATGTGGCGCTGAACATTGTATTGCAAGGGCGTGGCGACATTGACTCGGCGCTGCGGAAATAAGGCTAGGTGTAGGCTAGCGGGATTGGTTGTTGCAGAATACACGGTGCAAGGCGTTCATGTTGAAGGGCTGGTGGGGAGGGCACGGAGCTGTCTCGGAGAAATTACGAAGCTGCTGGATTGGGAGCATTGGGGCGCATGGCTCCCTTTGTGACTGTTTTGTTACGCGGCTGAATGATATCATACGGCGATTACAGCAGGTGCGGGTGTGGGTACGAGTCGCTCCTGCCCCAGGGGATTGCATGCTGGTACACATGGCAGGCGCATGTCAGCACCAGAGCAAGAGTGAGTGAGTGTGTGTGTGTGTATGTGTGTGTGTGAGTGCGTGCAGACGGACCGTTATCTTTCGGCTAAGTTACGTTACGGACCAGCAGCGGGCAGATGTGGATGCAAGTGCAGGTGGGGGAGGCTGTTGGGCAGCGGTGCCGGTGCCAGTGCGAGCAGCCAAAGCAATGCAATGATGCAAGCCGACAGGGGAGGCGCAACAAGCGAGCGGCCGCCATCGCATTTCCCGGCGCAATCATGGGAATTGGGCCACTTTCCAATGGGCCGGGGGCGACTTTTGCATCAGCCCCTCTCGATGCCGCCGCGTCAGGCCTTGTGCTTGTGCTTGAGCGTTTCGGAGCGGCTAATCGTCATTACACGTGCTGTGTCTGATGGCGGCGCGTCTTTCGGCATGCAGCAGCCTCGGAACGCTGGGTGAATAGGTGCATTGTTCAGGCCATCATTGATTTATGTGCCATGTTGACCGCTAGCCACACGGGCACGGGGTACGCCTACACCTAGACACTGCGACAGACTGGTGGTGGATGCCATGGAACCTGCCAGGCAGCGTCGTGGGCTCCGCGGAAGCGCCGGGCTCCGGGGAGGCGACGCTCACTCTGCCCTGGCCGTGTGGATGCAAACAAGGCTGGTGGCACGAAGCCACGGCAGCCACACGGGCAGAGATGCCGGGAAGGGGCGGCGTGGCAGGAGGAGCAGGAGGAGCAGCAGCAGCAGCAGCAGCAGCAGAGCTGGACGTGGAGGGGGAGGCGGGGGAGGCGGAAGCAGAAGCGGAAGTGCAAGAGGCGACGTGGACGGCGAGGCCAAGGGTGAGGGCAGAGGGCAGAGGGCAGATCGAGATGTCGGCATCCAGGTTGCCCATGTGGGTAAGGCCCAGACGGCCGATGACAATACTCATCGTCGATGCCGAAGCCGCGCTACGTCACTTGGCGCACGGCGCACCCAATCAAGCCACGGCCTGTCGCTGCTGCTGCTGCTGCTGCTGCTGCTACGGCTGCTGCTGCTACCGCCAGCCGCTCCCCTGCAATCGCCTTCGCAAGTTCCGCATGTTGCCAGAGCCCCCAATTGTCCAATTCCCATATCTGCCCCGGCCCCCTCCACCGCTGCCTCTCTCCCTGCTCCCTCCCTCCTGCACTCCAACCTCAACCTCGCTTGTCCGCCACGGCCTGCTCCTCCGATTGCACCACGGCCTGCTCTCCCGCCAACACCCCCACGGCCTACTCTCCCGGCTCCACCACCTGCTTGCTCCCTCCGCGGCCACTCCATATAACTACCACTGCCTGCCTGCCCCCAAGTGCCTGCTGCACTGACTGCCTTTCCCAAACAAGACTTTCTCTCCCCAACCACACATCACCCACCACCACCACCACCACCACCACCACCACGCACACTTCAACACCAACACTGCCTGCCAGCCTGCCCTGACTGCCCCCCATGACGGAGATCCAGCAGCAGCCTCAGCTCGACTGGGCCGGCGATGCCTTCAGTGCTCTGCATTCGGCAACCATGAATCCCCAGCAGGACAAATGGGCCGCTGCCTTCAGCAACCCCGCCTCCATGGCGACGCAGGCCTTCTCCATCCCGCCCTCGCTCCTCACGCATGCTACGCTGGAGCGATATGGCCAGGTCACTCCGCCCGAGGAGCGCTCGCCCACGCACCCCCTGCGCCATGAGCGCGAAAACTCGATTCCTGTTGAGCAGCTCCGCAACGAGACGGCTCTGTGGCCCAAGCAAACACCCTCGCCGCTGCAAATGACCCCGCCAGAGGAGCCCTCCCCTAAGCGACGACGCACCAGCAGACAAGCACTTGCCAATCACGACAACGCTACTGCCACTCTGCCAAGTGCTGCTGTACCACCCCACCAGGAAAACGTCGACGCCAACCCACAGCCCCCCAAGCGCAAGCGGGGTAGGCCCAAGTCTCAGCCGCAGATGGTCGAGGCCTACACGGCTGACGGCTATCCGTTCCAGGTGTCGTCTGCCCGGCAGAACCACCTCGAGAAGAACCGCGTCGCTGCACACAAGTGCAGACAGCGCAAGAAGGAGTACATCAATGGCCTCGAAGGCCGCGCCCGCGAATTCTCGGCCAAGAACAAGATGCTCAAGGAGAATGTGGCGCTGCTCCGCGAGGAAGTGCTCAACCTCAAGAACGAAGTCCTCCGCCATGCTGGCTGTGGCTTCTGGGCGGTTGACGAATACCTGGCGCGATGTGCAGGCGGCCTTCTTGGTATGGAAGCTCCCCCGTCCGACATGCGCCATTCAGTGTCACGCCACAGCACGACGCATCAAAGCCCCACCTCGCCCGTATCTCACCTGGCCGGCCAACATGGCCGCGAACCCAGCATGACATCCATGACGTCGGCAGATGCCGACGATATGGGTGGCCTCGAACTCCTCAAGGACTTTACGGATGAGGACATGGACGACTTGGCGCCGTAAGAAGCGCCCCCTTGGCCAGTTTTTTTTTGCCACCGAGCCTGCTTTCCGACTTTTGACCTTGAGTTCATTTCCTGGTACGCGAGCACGCTAGCTGTTTGCACCTCTCTTCCAACGATTCTTACGATACCCCGGGGTTTTTGGCGTGCTGTGAGCAGCAAAGAAAAGCTTCATCTTTTTACCTCTTATCTTGCATGATTCTATATTGGCAGCACTGATCAGTCTTGGGCTGGAGCATATGCTCTGCAGCAGTGCCGACTGATGGACGGGCGTTTTTGAAGCAATGGCTCGAGTCTGACGACGACGTATACGAGTGTATGATTAGGAAGCCATTGAAGTTGATGATGAACGTCACTTCTCTATGTCGATAGTTGCTGCTATAGTATCCAAGCTACTTTTGCCCAACTCGTCGGCTCTTCTCATTGACGCTTGTCGAGTGATGTGACGTTGACCTTTGTGCCGTAACCCTTACCAAATAGGTGGACCCCTTGTTTTTTTTCGCACCACCATGACGCACGCAGCTCTCACAACCCATTACAACGTCCCTTCCCCCTTCCCCGCTTACGCACAGGATGCAGCAACCTTAATCTGGTCGTCCCCACCTGTCACCCTGTCACGTCCGTCACCGTCTGCAATCGACCCTTTTGTCTCACAAAACCCACAAAGCTATGATGCAACGCCCCCCACCTCCCATTGGCCCACGGAGCAAGCACCCGTTTGGCTGCAACAAGAACCCACACCCGCACAAGCCACAATCACAATTACATATCATCATGCTACAAGTGGGCAAGGCAGCAAATTCCGGCCCAAATCATCGAGTACTTGGCAGGTGGAGGGGGCTGGGACTGCAACTAAGGGTCAAGATAAGCGGTAGACAGACACAGATGGCTGTCGTAACTAGGTGTGGGTGTATACCTATAACGGCAACGGGGAAGTCGGAGCCGCTGCATTTGGGTCAAGGATCGTCGTCGTCGCTATCATCATCATCATCATCATCATCGTCGGAGTCGGAGTCGAGTCGAGTCAAGGGTACGTGTCGGCGAGGGTGTGAGACGCTACTTGCTACTTGTACCGACTGGTACCCCCGTATACCCTGCAAGCAGAAGTATACATGTGCCCTGCAATAACAACTAAAAACGGGACATGTGTGTGTGTGTGTGTGTGTGTGTACTGTATGCAGCTATGTGAACTGCTTATCGCGTCTTTTTCTTGTCTACCACAAGTGCGGGTTTTTACTTGCATGTATATCTCTGTATGATTTTTTTTTCTCTTTCGCCGGTATAAAAGTGGTGGGTGGCTAGGGTGCTATAGACATGTTAGATGACGAAGAGGAATAGTGGATACAGATACGTAGTGGCAGCGGTGCAAAAGGGGAAAAAAAAAACGGGCGTGCGTCGTGCTGGTGCTGATCAGGGCGTCTCGCTTGGGCTTGGGGCTGGTTGCACATCACAAGTATCTACTGCCACTAGGTGTAGGAGGCATTGCATGTAGCGTATCGTTTGATGTGTATACACATACATACATCACCTTTGCAAGCCATGACACACACAGAAAGTGGAAGGGCGGTGCGACAGCAAACAAGTGGATACAGTCATGTAAGTCTTACTTAGCTACACACGACAACAGACATGCAGAATGTGGGGAAAAAGAACGGCAATTAGCATATCAAGGTTTCCTATCGCCGTGGTTTTTCACCATGTCCCCTTTTCCTTCCTACTGGCTGCGGCTCCGTGTGCCGCGCGCTTCTGGGGATGCGCCCCTCGGAAACGCTGATGGTCCCCATCATGCTTCCAGACTCGGTAATCAGCCAGGTAAGTATGCAGACACAGACGTTGGCGTCCCCACATTACAAGGCACGAACCGGCGCCCCGCGGCCACAAACCTCTTGCTCTTTCTTTCCTCGCGCCTTGCCAGATGATGTGTCAAGTTCCCGCTCTTCGGGCGAACATGTCCACATCCATATCCACATCATACACCTAGTCTGGCACTGGCACTGGCGACCACATACACATAGACATACACACACATGCACGCAAGAAGGGGGGGGGGGGGGGGGGGGGGAGCAGACAAGGAAAACCGGGTCTCCGCAGCGAAAATGACGACATGTTCCCTGGCCCCGACACACACAACTTGCACCGGCATATGGGCATGTGGGGAATTTCGTTTTGCGCTTCCGCACCGTATAGAGTATACGTACACCTTACTTGGCGAGAAGACTGTACACGGTCAACATGCAACGACAGCTATGCGGGTTCGGCATATTTGCCCGTCGTTGGTAATATCAACATACACCTAGAAAGAAGGGCAAAGGAGGGCTGGACTGGAACAGAAGGGGAAGGGAAGGGGATTCCGCTGAGATGGTGTAAACGTGTGCGTATGGGTAGGGTGGTATGCGGGTAAAGGTCAAAGTCCCCATGTCTTTTCCTCCCCTTTGCTTGATTGCTGTGTTGCAAAATGGGTGAGCGTAAAGGGAAACATGTCTGATGTCTTGCTTAACCCACTTGCACGTGCACACCCTCAGCTCTACAGTACTTGTGCATCTGTGTACTGTACGCATATCTGGCCACACGTACTCTTCAGATTGCATACCTTGTACTTTACCACACAATCGTCCTGTAAGTACATACGGTATAGTACTCCACGCAAATACATAACCGCACGCCACAGTCACAAAACCCGCTTCTTACCCATACTTGGCCCTCCCCCATACCTGTAACTTATTAGCCATAGCCTTCCACTTGCCCCCCGCGGACCAAACACATGCACATCTCACGTAACACTTACCACCAAGCCACCGCCACTGCCACCAAGCCACACCATGATTCAGGGCCCTAGCGCTCTCTCCCGCTTGTACTCGCCAACCACGAGCCCAGCGTCCAGCATCCAGCACATACCCTATTAAGCAGGTATTTAGCCTTGTCCGCGGGAACTAGACAGCGCAAGCGTGTATGCTGTATGCATGGATACAGTACATGTTCCAAAAAGGGGCCTTGCCCACATCCATACATGTGGAAACGGGTCCAGCATCAGCAGCAGGGGCTTTCCCTGCTCCCAGATATGTGTATGCATATGTATGCTACTCCCGAACCAGGCCCTATGGCAATCTTGAGCCTCGTGCTGCTCTCTGTGCACGATGCGAGAAAAGGGGGGGGGGGATTGGAGATTGGAGATTGGAGCGCGGGATACTATGCCGGTTGGAGATATGACGACGACGACTATACCAGTACTTACCCGTAAGTAGTATTTTCCTGTGCGACTTGCTCCGCTTCACTCTCTAGAATCAACGTGGCAAATCTTTTATTTTTTTTTCCCTTTGTCTATTTTTTTTTGGCTTCGACCTGATAGGCTGCGGAATACATCGCCTGCGGCTGTCCGTCCGTAAACAATCTACAGGGTCAAAGGCAGATGTGAAAACCAGTATCATCCCATGTATACATACTATACACGACGTGTACGTAAGTTGGCATACACCTACACCTATTGTACTACTGCAATTCAAGATGAATGAATGCCATTAACATCATCATCATCATCATCTTCGCCACTGCATCTGCTAATGACATGCTTCTTTTTACACCTAGGATGACGACGGCGAGTCTTCTGCGTACTGGCTACAATGCCGAAACTAGCATGCAATATCCATCCATATTGTATCCTTGTTTTTCGCATTCAAACCCGTCTCCCCCATTTCTAGTAAAGACAGAACCTCAGCCCATGTACACGTTCGTGTTTCGCGCTGCACGCAATCGTGTTTTTTTTTCAGTGGGGTTTCCGATAGCACAGTACACCTAGAGGATTTTCGCAGATCCCCCCCGGCTGAGTTACCTTTGTTTAGCTTTTTGCGTGACCCTCTTTCTCCGATTCCCGCTGTATACGCGTGTTTCCCACATTCTTACTGTGGGTCATCTCATTTCTGCCACTGCGTTGACAAAGTTTGAAGGCGGCGGGGGGGGGGGGCATCTATGTATCCTGTGCCATGACGTCACAAGCGGACCAACCCAACCCAACCCAACCTGCCAGCCTCGCCAAGAAACAAGTCCGCATGGAAACCAGTCTAGCCGGCCTGCATCTGGCAAAAATAATGGGAAAAAAATCACAAATGTGAAATGCGGAATGCAGAATGCAAAACAGACAGCGAGAAAGCGGGGAAAATGTGACATGCCGTTCTTTTTTTTTGGTCCACGGAACGGCTGTATGAGCCGCAGCCAACCAGCTTGCATGCCCCCTTGGTTATGCGGCGATCATTCCTCTCTGTCTTGCACCCGATAAGCGGGCTTTTTTTCGGTTCCCTTGTTTGCAAACTCCATGCTGCATGTGTGTGTGTGTGTTCCTTCGGTTTTCCGGTTTTCCCTTGCTTTTTTTTGTTGGTGTGCCGGACAAGTATGGGGGGTACCGTACCCGGTTGGATCGGGGTGGTGAAGAATGCAGATGCGAGTGCGATAGTGGTAGCGATGCATGTACGTGTAGAGGTGTACAGCGTTTACGCATGGGATAGGATAGGATAGGATAGCATGAGATAGAGTATAGAGCAAGGATACAAGCAAGCAGTCAGATGCACATGCAGATGCACATGCAAAGACGGCCGATGGCGTAATCTGTAACCACCATGATGTATTGATTGCTACCACTACGCCCACTCTATTGCTATTGCTATACTGCATCTCCACTTTCCACTCTATCTCGCCAATCTCAATCTCTATCCATCACAAGGAGAGAAGAAGCCCCCCCCCCTCTCCATCCTTGTCCAGGGCCGAAAGAAAAAAACAAAAAAAACGTATTTGCATTCGTATTCGCTTTGACCTTGGAGTTGCTACTGGCCCCGGCTCAAACACACCGAGCTCCCCCCCCCTCACCCATAGCTGACGGGGAAATACCAATGAAAGGCGTAGGAGACATGCTCCGACGCCTCAACCATTCGGAGCGCCGCCACGCCATCCCAATCAAGCAACTTTGCGTAAAACTGTTGATGATAGTGGGGAGTTTAACCGGTGCGAAACACATTCCCTTTGCCTCTCTCTACTTTTGGCATAATCGTGGAAATGGGGCAAGGACACGATGACGTTTCTTTGGATGCAGACGTGAAAGTAACATTTTTTTTTACAATCAGGGTATTGCTCTATGAAACCATCTATGCAGAGAGAGGCGTCTTGAAGACGAGGGCAACATGATCATCACCAGCCGTGACTACTGCTTCACCGTCTCCCTGGACAAAAGCCATGATGCCGCCTCCTTCACCACCACCACGATGTCCTCTCCACTCTCCCACGAGGCCCTTGCCAGCTGCGGCAGTTCCGCCCCGTGTGTCCCAGCGCCGAAGCACTCCGTCGTATCCCGCACTTGTCAGTAACCATCCTCCTGGTCCCTCCTTTGCAACAAACTCGAGCTTCACAACGGCTTGTGGCATCTCGTCATCGGCGTGAGCGTCTTCTATCCGCCTCCGGACGGCAAAGCGATGTGCGGTGTCGAATAGGGTAATGGAGCCGTCCACGTTACCGGCGGCCATGAGTGTAAGCGGTGCAGTCGAGAAGCTGAGGCACTCAACATTGTCGCTTCCTGCCTGCAGACTGGCCAGAATCTGTCCAGCTTGGCCGGCTGACGACGCGCCACCCTTGGCACCGGCTTGCTTGCCGCCTCCAGCCTTGTTCTTTGCGCCTCCACCGCCGCTCGATGTCGATGCTTGGGCTGTCCCAGCCAGAGAAAGACGAGGTAGACCGACAATGCGAATCTGGCCTTCTGGACCGCCAACCGCAACAAACGCGCCTGATGGTGCAATGCCAACAGAGTAGAGGCCGCCCTCGACGCGGAAACGCTCATCGTGACCCGTAAGACCAACCACGGCCTGCGAGTCGGTGGTCGCAGTCAGGCCTTGTGACGCTGCATCGCCGAATACATCCCATACGTACAAACTCGAGTCCTCGGAAATCGTCGCAAGCAATGCGCCATCAGGCGACCATGTACCGGCGGTGCATGACTGCGTGTGGAGGTAGTATGCTTGCAGGACTTGCAGCTCGTTGCCCTTTTCCGTGCTGATCTGGTACACCCATACTGAGCCGTCGTTGGCGCCGAGAGCAACCACATTCGGGTGGTCGGGTGAAGGGTTCGGGATGAGCCAGTTAATCTCCTCGACCTCCTGTGCCTCAGCCAGAAACTTCCATTTTTTGCCGTCTGGTACGCCCTGCCACACGCGCAGCTTGCCGTCAAGACCGGCACTCGCCACAAACTGGCCTTTGGGCGCAGTAAACGTGACGGCGTTGACCGAGTCTGTGTGTCCATCCAGTGTGAATATGTTCTTCAATCCTTCGCGCTCCGCAGGTTGTCCGTTGCTGCTTGGTTGCACTGCTGCCGCTGCCGACGCATCGATAATGTAGCCCACGTCGTCGCCGCCTCCGGTCGCAATGATTTCGCGGTGTACGGGGTGTTGCGCTATGCAGAAAATGCTGTCCTTGTGCTCGTCGAAATGCGCAATCGAATCGTTCTGCAGGTTGATTTCCATCTGGTGGCCCTCCTCGCCCTCGTCATCCGAGTCCATAGGCACATCACCATCGTCCTCGACAATCTCTTCCGCCTCCTCGGCGTCTAGCGTGTTGTCCACATCATGTACGTCAATGTCCTCCTCGTCGTGCTGGGGCTGGTTCGAAGTGGGGTTGGGGACGGCCATTGTGTGCTTTTCGTGTATGCTGCAGGAGGAGAGGAAAGGAAATGTGTAGTGCTAGAGGCGCTCTGCCGTCTGCACAGTGATATACGAGTTTTGGTCTTGTTGCTTAGAAATGCCAATTTGCGCCTTGGACGGCGAACTTTTTTGTTACGGACCCTGGTCGGAGGGGCACAACGCCGACCCCACACACGTCATTTGTAATCCACACTGGGGCTCTTCTGGAACCACCGCATGTCGCCTCTTCTCTACGTTGCATTTTTCAGGGGCAGTTTCAAAACCTAGCCGAGTACGGAGAAATGTTATATTTACAGACTGAAACTGACACCAATGGCGAATACAGTGTTCACTCTTTATCATCTGTACAGTGGATTACATAACTCTATAGCTTCATAACTTCATCACAAAACCCTCCCTACGAACTACCGATTCCCTTGCCTACAGGACAGTTTGGCACATTTTTCTGCCACGCAATCTTCGCATACGCCGGCAAATAGCTGTTGGTTGTAAAGTTCCCATCTATGTAGTTCGAGACCTGGCTGAGTGAGAAGTTGCCACCAACATCAGGCTCATTCAAGGCGTTAATGATGTAGCTTGCGATGAAATCCAGGAAGACAAGATCGACACTCTTTGGCATAGATCCGTCAAGTGGAAAGGAAGCATTGGCCTGGAGATCGTTTGGTTGCGAGTAGTTTGGAATGCGTGAATGTATCGTATCGTCGCCGTCGGTGCCGAAATCGTCTGTGGTGGTATAGCCTGGTGTTGGAGCAGTCGATTGGCGGCGAATGAGGCGGCCACTTTGTCTAGAACGACGAGTATGTCCTTCATATTGGTGAGTGAGTGGCGGGTCAATGCAGGTATCGCGGTCTGCGAGGATAGGACTAAAGCCAAAGTCGGTCGACTCGAGGTCGCGCTTCTTTCTTTGGTATGGGCCTGCATTCAGGATATCGAGCACCTTGGATGCTTGCTCATATGGCACATCAGCAATGTATTGGAAGACGTCTTTGAATGGCGAAACGATGAATGAGTCGTCGTATGTGAAGGGACCTTCGGCGAGATCGAAGCGCACGCTACCGGTGTTGATGATGATGAATCGAGCGGTGTCCTTGCGCGTCTCGTTGACGACAACCGTAGCCAAGGCGGTTTGGAGAAGTTTGAAGATGTTACCCTCGGCCAGAAATGGCTTGCAGTACTGGCAGTATGTCGCTGGCGCACAGCCGTAAAGATTGGTCAGGTTAAGCTTAGCTCGTTCTGTTGTGATTTCCGAAGTGACCTCAACACCATGGGGGGTGTCAAACGCCTTGTAATAGCGCTGGCTTCCCTCGGCATGGTACTCAAACGTGTTTCGGTTCCAATCAAGATATCTGCGCTCATAGACGGTCGAGGAGCTTGGGACCGACCTAGCAGACAAATTTCCTGTCCTTTTCTGCACCACGGCAGGGCGAGAGGGGTTCGGTACGCCTTTGGGCTTTTGAGGTGCTTTTCCAGTAGCCGAGTGGATACCAGACATTGCAAGCCAGCCCAGCGTCTCACAATAACGGCCTAAACTCCGGTCAGGAATATACGGTCAAGAAGCTTGGGAAACAAACCAGACTCGAGACCAGTGGCCTTGTTATCGTAGACTGTAAAGTCTCGAATGTGCGTATGGCCTCCAAAGAACTGGATCGGCGTATCGGGCCTGATACTGCGAATGGCCTTGAACACAGTTCCCATGGTACTACTAGAAGCGGTGGTTCGCACAGGGTTGTGACCAGTGACCACAAAAAGATCAATGGGCTCGGTGAAGTTGACGGCGTGCTGGAACCACGACTCCTTGACCATGTCAGCAGCTTTGATAACCTTGGAAACATTGCTGTTCCCGGTAAAGTCAAAGAGCACACCGAACGCCATGATGCGCAATCCTACAGGATGTCAGTGCATTTTTACATTTAGAGTTTGCGACATACCCTGCTCAGTGGTGAAATAACGGTACTGAGCGCCAATGTACTCGAACTGACCCGTGGCCGGGTTGATGATCTGAACATTGCTGGTAAGATACTTGTCTCCATAGACCTTGGAGAAGTTGCTGAAGGTCTCATAAGCAATCTCGGTCACGTAGAGCTCATGGTTCCCGATAGTCAAGAGGTCGTAGTCGATGTTTTCAAAGATGGCATTGGAGACGTTGCCGTTGGGTGTTGTCGCGTCGCTGAGCCCGGCACCGTCGTGCAAGTCCTATGGCCGGTCAGTATAGGCGCCATTTTCACCACACACGTGCAGCCCTACTCGTCCCCAGGGCCTCAATGGCAGAAACTAACCCCTGTGTCGATCAGAAGCAAGTCAACACCAAGTTTGCGAGCTTTCTGCTTCATGTGCTTTGTGAAGCTGACAAAGTCGCCCCAGTCAGCGCCGTAGTTCTGCTCCTTGATGTGTCCTTCAAGCCATCCATGGGTATCCGTGGTGTGTAGGAAGTTGATCTGTCCCCATTCCAGAGGTCCTTTTGGCATGGTGGTAGCATTTTGCGCGTCGGGTTGCATCCGACGGACATTTCGGGTGAGAACGACATCGTCCTGGAGTGGCCCGTAGCAGCTGTGGTCTCCCTCACACGCCCAAGCTGAGGCGATGGTGACCGCAAGCACACCGCACGTAAGAAACCTCATTGCTGACGATGGCTGGACTGCTGGTACCCGGGGCTGAGCAGAGAAAACGCCATGTTATATGCCTGGAGGCAATAACGCGCGTGCATACGGCTCAACCGCGGATCTGGTGCTGCGCTAAATCGACATATCCGTTGCTGTGGCCGCGCAAGACGGCACGTGTAACTGTCATTGGTGAAGAAGATAAGCTTTTGACAAGGTCGCTCGGCCAGAAAGCTTGATCAAAGCATTCTCCTTCCTGATGGGTGGCAAGCGCCGACTAGCGTCCCGAGAATCCGGCCGCTTTTCGCTCCTCTCCGACATGGACTCTGCATCCATCCCCGGATCTCGTCAGCTCTTTTGCCACCAGCGCAGATCCCAAGTGGCCATGCTGATGCATATTCATAACTTGAGAAGCTACTCACAGGGGAATAGTGCCTTTTGATTACTGTGATAGTGATACCGGTTGTTCAGCGTGGCTTTCAATGACATTTGTTATCCAAGATACCACGGCAACCTCCGCTGAGGCCACTAATCGGATGCCACCGAGGAACATTCAAGAATGGCCCGTTTTATACGGAACTATACAATTACGAAGGCGTTGTGAACGAAATCAAATACCAACAGCTAGACTCAACCCTCATGATGCCTTCTTGTCGTCTGCCTGATACAACAATGGGAAGATATGGAAGACTGCAACCAATTCTGTAATGAGATAAATGTCTTCTGAGCCTCGTCGCAACCCACAGTTCTCTTGCTTTGGTGCGATTGCGTAGATGTCAGGCTTGTGAATGCATTGCTTAATATAGCAAATTCTCAATTTTTTCTAACTCTGACGAATACTACTGACAAACTTCATCTTTATTATACAGATGATGGTATTTCTATAATGAAAACTAACACCAGTGCTTCTATGCCAGTCCCGCGTCTAGAGTAATTGCAACGAACCTCAATCCAAAGTCCTAGCCTGTCCCCTCTGCTAAAAATACAGCGCGGTTGGATGTGAAGAGTACGTAGTAGCCCTAGTGATAGAGATTCCTGGCAATATCTCAAATACTTATCGGGGTACTCTTGGTCGATTAAAATATGGCTGACAGTAACGATGTCAGTTGCTGACACTGTATTGTTACAACAGCAGACCTCGGGGACATGTGACGATACAAAAAAGCGCTCTAGTGCTGCGATGATATCCAAAAATCATAGGTTGCAAAGTGTTGTTAAACTTCTTGACAAGGTGCAGTCAAGCAGTGCTCATCTTGTCAACCCCCGGGTCGCTCAGGTACACAGCAAAGTAGCCTCTAAATGTACCTCATTATGCTAACAATTTTTAACAAATTTGTTTCAATTGTTCATTCACAGAATCCTAGAAGAATCTGTTGAAATACGAGTACTTGCTACAGGCGTGGGAGTACAAGCAAGATTGGGCCAAGGATCGAGTGAAATATCGCCGCCGCTAAGTAAGTGCTGCGCGACATACTTGACCACTTTTTCCATTTGCGCAACCAACCTAAAGGTTCCTGACACGCTGTCTTTAACCCACTTCTCATCACGTGTCTTCTAACAATTTTTTTCTTTTTCAAAAACCAGAGTTTGCAAAAGCATCAAGCAGCAAAAGGTGCGTATTGGTTGGTCGCTCCAAGTATTCACGTTCGCATTTCCACCCCGCTCACTTACGTACCTAAAATTTTCCGATCCAACCACTCAACAAGTTACCTACCTAGGCACGAACTGAGACAATTGCAGATTAGAACAACAACAACAGCAACAGAAGATCTCCATTGCATATTTCTGAACAACGAAAAAAAAATTAAAGATAGAGAAAGAGATAGAAGACCAAGAGGAGAAAAACCAAGAAAGTATGCCGTCAAGTGAACAAAAAGCCCAAGCCCTCGGCTTCTCCGACTTCTGGGATGACCGCTACAAAAAAGCTGAGGGCGACAAGCCGACGCACGAGTGGTTCCGCGCCTTTACCGAGCTCGAGCCGTTTTTCAACAAGCATCTTTTCGAGGGAAGAGGCGAACAGGGGAAAAAGAGCCGGGTATTACATCTAGGCAGCGGAGATAGTGTGAGTTACCCTTTTTTTTACTTATTTTTGCGACAAGTACTGGACCGGTGCACGCATTGCTTTGACCCAGAGAAAATGTCGTTTGCATTGCCATGTTTTCTATCGTCATGTCTGCTACTTACACCAGATGCGGTTTGCTGTTCACTGCGGCTGGGAAATCATGGTTTGTGTAGCACAGCTGATATTGGAACTAGAGCGTTCCATATGACCTCCTGGAAAGAGGCTACACGAACCAAGTCTGCATCGACTTCTCGGCTGTCGTCGTGGATCTCATGAAATCACGGTACGCGGACAAGCCGCAAGTAGAATGGACATGTGGTGATGTACGAGACATGAATGGGATTGCTACGGGCTCGATAGATGTCGCGTTTGACAAGGGCACCCTGGATGCCATGATCCACGGTAGTCCGTGGAGTCCGCCGGACGATGTCTTGGACAACAGTGGGCGCTATCTCAAGGAAGTCAGTTTTTTTTGCATGGAGAGTGTAGGAATGCGGTGTTTATGCTAACTGGGTCAAGGTCGCGAGAGTGCTGAAAGATGATGGCATCTTTCTTTACATTACGTACCGGCAACCGCACTTTATCAAGCCCATCCTCAACAGAGATAACGAGTGGGATCTGCAGATGGAGGTCATGGGCGGCGGAGACAGTTTCCAGTACTTTGGCTTCATTCTGAGAAAGCATGGTGCGTCTGCTGCATGAAATGGCACTGGGTTGTCGTGTCTATGAAGTTGCTATGGGGGTTTGTGTACCCAAATATAATGATGAGCCATTTCTTCGACTCAAAAGCGATAGGGGAGTACAGATTGAGCACGTGCTTTGACCGATGAAGCATGAGAATATCAACTTTGTTTATTTCTCACAACCTGAAAAGGTGCTGGCCTGGCAATAGTAGGACCGAGCCCACATGAACTACAGTAATTGCATACTAAGATGCGAACAACGCTGTATAAGTCTATCTAAAACTACACTACAGCCTACGAAGCATGGAATCTTCTCATACTGCTAAGAAAAAAACAGTACAAGACGCCTGCCCAAACTCGACAAAGCAATTAGTCCACCTTGATCGATCTGTAGATTCTGAGTGTGAAGAGCCAGCTTGCAAAGAAACCAATTGTACCTAAAGTTGCGTTAGATTTTTTCATTTCCAGCTGTGTAGGTTGTTTGCACTTGCCTGTGAGAACGAATACCAGTCCACTCAGTAGGGCAGAGTAGCCCAGGTACACTACTCCACTGGTCCAGCTCGTCCAGCTGACATCCTTGACCCAGTATAGCAAGCAACTAGCAAACACGTATGCCCCGCTAGCGCCAGCCGTAAAGAAGGACCTCCACTGCCAATGGTAGTTCTCTGCGCAGAGTAGAAAGTATATCATCAGAACCGTAACCGCCGCAGAAGTAATAATCATAAGTCCGAAGCAGAGGAAGAGGAATCCGAACATGTAGTAGACTTTTGAGAACCAAATCGAGTTCATGATGAAGTAAAGTTCAACAAAGATGGCGCCAAAGGGAAGTACACCAGCCAGGGCCATGGAAGGAATAGGTCGCAGATAGCCTCCTGCTGGTGGAATTTGGCGTGGGATCTGATTCGTGCGAACAGGCGGCTCGATAGCGGCCTGCTTGAAGCCGATCCAAGAACCCGCAATGCTCAATGGCACTGAGATGACAAACCAGATAATCACCACGACAAGCATCGTGGTGAATGGCACTGCTCCTGATGCGCCACGGCCCCAGACGAACAGGTTCATGAGAAAGAAGACACCAAAAACGATTGCTGGTAGAGCCACAGGGGTGTAGAAGAAGCACAGCTTCCAGGATTCCCCATGGAAGAACTTGTAGATGCGCGCAGAGGTGTAGCCGCCAAGGAAACCGAAGAGCGTGTAGAAGATGATGATGACGGTCCCGAGCGCGCCGCGATTGCTGGGGGAAAGGAAGCCGAGAAGCGCGAATACTATTGCGATTGTCAGTAAGAGGATCTCATGCCCATGCCTTGTGGCCTCACCTATAGTTAGCGCTGTCATCGCAAAGAGCTGGGCTCCGTTGCCAAGCATGACGGACAGAAGCAGCGGGTTTGTTGGGGGCCTGAATACATCGCCATGCACCAGCTTCCAGCCCGAATCATCGGCAGTATCGTCAGCGTCCCCAGTCTCGCCAAAGTCTTCGAGCGCAAACTGATCCAAGCGGTTGTACCGCGCAATGTCCTTCTTAAGAGTACGAACGAGGATCGTGCTGACCATACCGACGAGGAACACGACAATCACTGCCGAGTTGATGAGGGAGAACCAGTGGATCTTGGGGTCGTAGACATGAAGATATTTGTCCCACCGCGTCGCAAAGGGCGTCGGGCTGGGCCTCCAGTATACGCCGTATGTGAAGACGACCAGATTCTCGTCTCCCTCCTTGTCTTGCAGAACAACTGGCGTCTGCCCATTGCAAATCGCCCCATTATCGCCTTGCCTCTTTGATTCGGCTATCGAGTACGGATCTACCAGCACGCCCACTACACGGAAGTTACCAGGCGAAGCCTCGTGGTAGTCAATCACAATGTCGTAGTGGTTGTTGAACATGGGTTTTTCCTCATCCACCAAGCCCAATGCAAAGCCAGGTTGGTAGAAGACCTGGTCCGAACCAAGTTCTCGTAATGACTGTGCTGCTGGCAGCCCGTCTATCAACCAATTGAGGTCATAGCCCTGGTATATTCGATCGTTTACGAACGCTGCATCCTGGCCCGGATAAGGCGCCTCGCAGAGGAACTTGCACGTCTCGTTTATTCCCATCTTCAGCTCAAAAGGACTTGTCTGTATGCGGTCGCCGAAGAGTATGCTTCCCAAGCTTTCACGAATTTCCTTTGGGCCATCCTTCTCGCGGCAAAAGTGAAAGGGCGGATAGTAGTAATCGAAGGAGAAGACGGACCGTAGCTTCGGATCGTTCTGCGAATCGGCCGGCGTGAGGCGATTGACGAATAGCGGCACGGTGTCGCCAGTCTTGTAGGACGTCGGCGCGGTTCCAGGGAAGTAGAAGGCTGAGGCTGGCGAGGGCGCGATGGCTAGCAATGACGCCAGCAGGGCGCCAGAGGCCGAGAGATCAAGCCGGCGCATCCTGCGTGCTTGGCCGCGCACTTGGGCGAGGCGTGCAACAGGTGGTTGGAATTGGTTCGAGGTGGTGAGTGGAATAGCGACAGGCAGCGGTGCCGCGATGATGTCGCCAACAGTCAGAGGGGACAGATAAAAATAGGCAGGGTTCGTCTAGGCCCGTGGGGTGTCCATAGTAGCCAGGTGGCAGCTGAGCAGAAAGGCCGCGGAGTGCAAGTGATTAATTGTCGTGTTGTCTGAAGCTACCTGTTCCTTGGCTCCGACGACGTTACGTGAGAGCGGCGGCCTAAGAGAGCTACGCGTATGCCAAGCCATCAGCCACCCGTTTCAGTAGACAAGTGCAAGGGTCCTGCAAGCGTTGCGTCAGTACCGAGCACCGACTCGACTGCTCGCATGGTTGCCGGATTGAGAAAGCCTAGTATCATGTTTATTTCGACATGCTCTGCTGCTGGGCGCGAGCTTCGATGGTCACGTCCGAGAGGCGCGACAGACACGCACGGCGCACACGCATGTCACGTCTAGAGTTTATTGTTGCATCCCGCAATCCAGAAGCTGAATTGTGTGCAGTGTATCTACATCAATCATCCTGAGGTCCCATGCGCCGAGGCCAAGTCAACCTTGTGCATCCCTAACAGCGAGGGGACGATGGTATGCCACAAATCCCGCAAATGCGCTGTGATATCGACTGTAACAAAACAAGTATAGGAAATAACCCTTGGGTATCGACCCTCCTCTTCAAACAAGACCATCGTAGAGGGACAGGGCCGAAACGATCGTCTCATCGCGCTTGGAGCCCTCCTTGAACTCGGCCATGTCTAAGCTGCCGTTCTCGTCCTTGTCCATCATCCGGAAGATCTTCTTGACGCGCTTCTCGGGGGTGTCCTCGTCTTCCGGGAGCTTGACCATGGAGCCGACCTGCATGTGTCAGTGGCGGATCCATCCTGGCTTGCACCGGCGCTTACCATTTTGTAGATTGCTTCTACAATGGCCAGCATCTCCTCGTAGCTTATCTTGCCATCGCCGTCAATGTCGTACAGCTGGAATGCCCAGTCGAGCTTGTCCTCCATCTTGCCTCGGCTCGTGACGCTCAGTGCGCAGATGAACTCCTTGAAGTCGATTGTGCCAGACTTATCCGCATCGAAGACGTTGAAGACATAATCGGCAAATGACGACGGATCGCCAAACGGGAAGAATTGCTTGTAGATTTTTTGAAACTCCTCCTTGGTCAGCATGCCCGAGGGGCAGTCCTTGAGGAACCCTAGATATACTTAGCCGCGGGCCGTTTGACCTAGCCTGCTCTCTTGCGCACCTTTGTACCATTGCTGCAACTCCTTCTTGTCAAAGTGTGTCGCTTTCTGGAGGTCGGCCAGCTCCTGCTGGGACAGTTTGCTCTGGCTATAGTAATGCACAATCAGCTGCTGCTTCTGTATCTCCAGACACGCTGTGTTGCAGCGCAGCCCGAGACCCTCGTTTAACTCTCGCATGGCGTTGGCCAAGGCAACTCTCTGCATGCCCCTGTAGTGCACCTGTCCAGCCTCGCCAAGGTGGGGTGCGTCGCTGCCATGACGGCGCGCAAACTTGAGCGGCGCATGACCGTGTTGGAGGAGAGGTATGCCGCGTGCTTGCGAAGGCGTCAAAGGCGCCGGTTGTCTTTGCGCGTGCTTCCCGCTGGGGCCGTGGGTTTCAAGTTGCAGTTGCATGTTTGCGCGGGCTGTGGTCGAGAGCGGGACACGGGCGCGGGTTCTTGGGCTTGCGTACAGAAGCCATGGCGACGTCTGTTCCAGCGGGCAGCCTGATTTCGAAGGAGCGTGTATTCGGCGTCCAGGGCAGGCGACGCCTGGTGGTGAGGCAGGAGGCGCTGCCGCCCCGCATGGCACAAGCACGAGGGAAAGGAAAAACCAACTTACGATTTGCCCATGGCTGGACGAGGATCGATTCACCGTAAGTGGGGAGTCGGGGAGCGCGCAGGAATATGTAGGGCAAAGAAGCGGCTAGGCAGAGGTGAGATGTTGGCAAGGCGGAGCAGCACCCAAAGTACAGTAGCAGTAGCAGCTGGTGGTGGCGGGCCAATCGATGGCGGGGCTCCAGGAATAGTTCTGGAAGCGTCGGGGCGCAGGCGGCTGGCGACAGGAGCAGGAATAATGCGCGGCAACGCCTGGGCTGGGATTCGGTATTGTTTTGGGCGTCGGGGAACGGACGAGGGAGTCGAAGCTATAAAGTATGACGCAGGATGGCAGCGGCCTGCCCGTCTTGACAGCGCGGGTCCAGACAGGCGACGCCAGAGAGCGGCCACTCGGTGCGAGGGGGGAAGAGGGGGGCCCCGGCCTGGCAGCTTCATGTCCCGCCCTCGGAGGCCAATGCAACTCCTGCCGGGCGACCCCGCGAGACCTTGGGTATGTACGTACACACTGCAGATGACTCGTGCCACTCGTAAGCCCTCTGTCAGCGCCCGTCTGGCAGGGCACATTTGGGCTGCGAACTGCCGGCCATTCAGCTCGGCGCATCACGCGCGCGGCCTGCGTCTTCTTCCCGCCCTACACATACTTGGCCGCATCTTCTTCCACCTGCGCATAAACCCGCGGCCCTTGGGCGTCACGTGCCTGCGCGTGGTCCACCTCCATCACGCTTCTGCTTACAGCTAGCACCCGAGCACGGCTGTTCCAGCTCGGCCTCTCGACCACTCCCGGTTTCCGAGCACGCCATGGACGACATTCTAAACGAGCAGTTTGGGCGGGTGGAAAAGGCGCTCACGACGCTGGTCGACTCGATTGCCGCCTACAACCCAGCTACCCAAGCTGCAATCGACCTTGTCGCGGCCGACGACCAACTGAGCGAGGGACTCGACCAGCGTGCGCCAGCCCACCCTGCACTGCTTCCCCGCGATGCCAACTGACGTGTCGCAGTGGCCAAACACCAGGCAAACCATGCTCGCATCCAGACCCTGCGTGCCGAAGCAGACGCCCTAGAAGAGCAGCTCAAGACTTCGGTCAAGAAGCTTGCAGAGCTCCGTCGCGAACTGTTTGCGACACCCGCGACGACGTTTCCACACGACTCGCGCGCCGTGCCCTTTGACGAGCTCCTTCAATATGCGACCAACATCTCGAGATACACCGTCCCCCCAACATATCGCGAGCGCGTCCCTACGACGGAAAAAGACAAGGACGAGGAAGACGGAATTTCAAGCGGCGCCCCGACCAATGGTGTCAACACGCCCGCCATTGTCCCGGACGCACCCGATGCACCCAATGAGGGCCCAGAAGCCCAGAAGGGGGCTGAAGATGCAGATGGAGCTGCGCCTGATATCACGGCCGAAGAAGAAGAGTGGCTGAAGAAGCTCAAGGCTAGCAACCTGGCATGGTACCCCTGGCCGAGCACAGAGAAGATTCGCAATGGTATCCTTTACCGCCTCTCCTACTGGCGCGAGAAGGGCAATGATCTGGATGAATTCAATATACCAGCGTACCTGGAAGAGCAAAGAAAGAAGGCTCTTGGCGACGAGGAGAAATCCGAAGAGGCCCCAGAGCAAGCAACAGAAGAGCAGCCTCACCGAGAAACTGCACGGCCAACGATGCCGCTCAGTGCCTTTACAGGTCTGGATGATATGGACGAAATGTGAGCTAGGATTGAAGTGGATAATTGTAACATGCACCTCACCATCAGAAACATGCTATGTAGGAGGGTCCACCAAAATGAATAGAATCCCCCTGTGTTGAAAATATGGCATCTCTGGTATCTGACAATGCACCAAAGAACCATGCATTGCCATACAATGGTCGACTCTTTCCTGGCTCAGTGTAGAGATATGCGGTTTGTGTACAAATGCATGTGAATACAGGATGACATGACGTCACTGTCATCCGGAAACCTTCTTCCCTTATCTCAATCTGTTTGACGTTTCAAGTATATGACTGACATCTATCATCATATACATCCTTGTATACGCCTCGCAATAACCCCCAGCCGTTGGAACTGCTCGGGCGGTCCCTGTACCACTAGTCCCAATGTGGCTAGCATCCAAATTTTCGGGAAGCCGTGCTCAACTTTTCTCAAACTTTCCAACGCGACGTGAACTTCAACATATCCACTGACAATTGAGAAGCAAAATGGGAAGCAAGACACGCAAAAGAGAGCGCGACGCGGATCAAGTTGAGAAAGTGGACGAGGCACCAGCGAAACGGCGCAGACAGAGCATTGAAGATCAGGTGAAGCTCTCGAAGCTTTACGTGGACCTGGCCGCAGAAGAAGATGACGTCCGCTTTGAAGCCGCCAAACAGATCATTGTTAGGTTCTCGCCTGAGAATAAACCAGCTGCGAAGGATGTGGAGGTTGCCTTAGTGCGACTGATAAAAGGCCTGTGCAGCCAGCGCAAAGCTGCTAGGGTTGGGTTTTCACTTACCCTCACGGAATTCCTACGGCAAACGTTTGGACCCAAGAAGGGCGAGATTGAAGGCCTGGAGCTCGATGTTGCGTCCATTATCAAAATGGTGGAGGACAAGACGAAGCCCAAAGGCAATGTGCCTGGAAAAGTAAGAACACGATACTCAAGACATACTCCTAATGCTAATCCGTGCAGGAACGAAGAGACCACACTATTGGAAAACTGTTTGGCTTCAAGGCCATCATGCAGTCATCCATTCTCACTGAACCAGAGGTCTCATTGGATTGCTGGAACAAGCTGCTTGACCAAGTCTACAAGATGGCGCGCGACATTCCTTGGCTGCGCGAAGAATGCGGCATGGTTCTTGTCGAAGCTGTAAGGAGTCTCAAGGGCCAGTCGCAGTATCAGAAGTGTGCCGAGGAAGTACTGGAAAGACTCAACGCTTTCAATCTCATGTCCACTCCTGAGGGTGTAGCCGTGTGGCTCACAGTCAAAGAATACTACCCCGAGGCGCTACCAGAGGGCGTCTGGCATGCCAAGGACCCTCTTTCGAAAAAGGAGCGCTCTCGACTGGCCAAGATCTTGAAGGAGGACTTCAACAAGAACGAGTCAGAAGATGGCAAGAATGAGACTACGAAAACGGGAACTACGAACCCGAACCCTTCTTTTACCTGGGACCTAGCCTTTGCCGAGATTCTGCGTAGAGACGAGTCAGAAAATGGAAATGCTCAGTACAAGCCAGAATTCCCGCAATTCTGGATCGATACCGTGGACGGTGAGTTGGTGTGACGAGACACTATCACTTGCAAAACTGACAAAAATCAAGGCAACCTTTTCTCTTCTTCGGCATCTCACGAACGGAAAGCCTGGGGATTCAAGTTACTGAGTAGCTTGATCACGCGCGTGCCTGACTGGACGGTGCCAGCACTCTTCAGTCCTAATCTCATGCGCACTCTGATCAACCAGAGCAAGAAGGAAGACCGGTTCCTTCACTCGGCTGCGTTAGCAGCGTTGAGTTCAATCCAGCTTCGAGTTGAGCACGACGACGGAACAGCTCTGCCCATCTTTGTTGCGCTCACATCAAAGAATGGCAGTGTTGAGTTTGACCGCATCACTAAGACGAAAACACTCGAACAGATCCTTTTAGCAGCAGACGACAAGAGTTTGATGAAAATCGTACGCCATCTCAAGTCGTCAATTCTGCGGCCGGAAAGCGAAGACCAGGCGGTTGCTGATAGCCGTCGCCAAGCCATTGCGGACCTGCTCTTAAGCACAGTCAAATTGTATAAACGATACGAAAAGTTCAACGAGAAGACATTCAGGAAAGAGGTTGCTCACCGAAAAGAAGGCCGCTCCTCAGAAGAGAGAAAATCAAACTGGCTCCGAGAGACTTTGGAGACGCTAGTAGAGTGTGCCTACTTTGTCCCCGCTCAAAATGCAGAGACCAAAAAGATGCCTCTGCCCCCTATCAGTGATCGCAGTCGAACAATGTTCCAGGAGCGGCTGTCTTCATGTTTGACCAAGCTGCTCGATGCCAAGCTTGGCGACCGCGCAGATGTCGCACTCATGGTCATTGATATGGTTAAAGCTAAAAGTGGCAAGTCTACAAAACTGACGCTTGCCTTCAAGGCAGATGATGCGGTTCTTAGCACGATAAAGCAAGCATCAAAAACCCTTGACAACATCTCTGCGGCTGTATGTTTTTTTCTTCACCCACTTGTTACTTGACTGACTCAACGATAGGGCTCGATAGCTGGCAACGAAATGGCAGCGCAAGGCTTCATGCTTTTGTACGCTTTGACGCTTCTCCAAGTCTACAACGGCGAAGGCGATGCTGTGATGATGCTCGACGATCTCGATGCCTCATATAAAGCGTTTGAAGCTTCACGCAAGAGTTCGTCGAAGAAGCAGAAGTCTTCGACGTCGGATGATCAGAACGCTTTTGTTGAGATTGTTCTCTCTTTCTCAGGCAACACACGCACCTTGTTCCGCCGTATTGGAGAGGAGGCTTTCTCCATCTTTGCTTCGGAGATCAGTGCTGACGGAATCCGGTCACTGACTGAAATCCTCGATACCGAAGAGAACCTGGAGGGACAGAAAGAACTTTTCAATCAGGGTGACGAAGAAATGGAAGATGACGGATCAAGCGACAGGGACGATGATGAAGAAGACTCTGATGTGGAGATGATTGATGGTGAGGGATCCGATGACGACGCAGCCTCTGACGTCTCCGACTCCGACTCTAGCGACGGCGACAGTGACAGTGACGAAAGCAGTAACAGTGAAGACGATGCAGAACTGACAAAGTTTGACAACATGCTGGCGATGACTCTTCAAACATCAAAGCCCAATGTCGACGGGGATGTGGCAGAAGAGACGTCAGACGAGTCTGATATGGACGACGAACAAATGATGGCACTCGACCCACATCTCAGCAAGATCTTCAAGGAGAGAAGCAAGACAACGAGTAAAAAGAAGGAGCGAGAGGATGCCAAGCAAAACGTTGTCCAATTCAAGTCAAGAGTGCTTGATCTGCTTGCCATCTACATGGACAAGCAATACTCTAACCCGCTTACTCTGGACATTCTGCTTCCGGTGCTTCGCCGCACTCGTGCAAGTGCAAACAAGCAGATAGCCGACAAGGCAGCCAAGATGCTCAAGACTTTCTTCGACACGCGTACGAAGCGGAAAGGACCTCTGCCAAAGCCAGAGGATAGCGAGCATGTGTGGGAGCTGCTGAAAGACATCCATGAAGAGGCAAAGCTGGGGAATGGTGCAAAGGTTCATGCAGACGCGTGTGGTTCTGCCAGTCTGCACGTTGTCAAGGTGCTTGTTGGACTGGACAAGGCAAACTACGCCGGGGTAGTCGATGTGTATGCGGAGACGCAGAAGCAGTGGTTCGCGGACAAGAAGTCACCCCTGCAGCCGGTGCTATTTACACAGTTTCAAAATTGGTCTGTGAACGCCCGGCAGCAGGCAAAGTAAGTTTGGTGTTGGAGCACGAGGGAGCCCGACAGCGTATTGCGTAGAATAACATATAATACAAGTTTGTATCCGAAGCGTTGAAGTTGCTCCGCAGCCCCTTCTGTGCGTATGACATAGCCCCACTGTTGTTGCTTTGTTCAGGCGCCAGTCGTTTCCTACATCTAAGTGTGGAGGCGAGATATCTGTCGGCCGTTCCTGTCGCCTTCACTGTTGATGGTGGCGAGGCCCCGCTATTTGCTGCCCCGCGGCGGGGAGCTTCGGTACCCCTAGCGCAGCGTACTTAGCCCGATGTCATACCAAACATTTCCAAGGTCCAATCCAGCGAGCGGCGGTCGCGACAATCAACTCCGATTCCTCTCCTCCACTCAGCTCGCACACAAACATGGCTTGCAAGCACGTCAACGCGCCTGGTCGGTCTTCCTCTCAGTCTGCCCGAGCAAAGTTATTATCCAGCACACAAGGCTTCAAGGCGGCAACGGCCGGAGTGATTGGCCTGCCGCCTTGACAAGATGCTTGTGTAGCTTGGACCCGGACGACAGCTGTGCTAACATGTTGTAGAGCTGCGCCCCCCAGGCCCTATGCAGTCTGTCTACCGGGAAGACTGTACGCAGTGCTTCGATTCCATCGACGACCCTACCGGCCTCGATGTGTGCCTTTACTGCTTCAACGGAGGCTGTACAAGCGACCGGAACCATGCTCTCCTGCATGTATCGGCCACAACCCACCCGCTCGTGCTCAACATCAAGCGCACGCGGAAGAGGGTCCAACGCGATGAGCCTCCGCAAAAGATGACCAAGCTTGCCGTTGCAGCTGAAACCGAATCTGACCGCTACGACACTACCACGCAAGTCAAGTGTTACGAGTGCGGCGTTGACGATGTCGACAAGAGCTCTGGGAAGCTTCCAGACATTGTCGATGCGGTCCTCAAGGCAAACACATTTGCAAAGCAGCAGGAGGTCAAGGCATGGGAGCAAGAGCTGACAGCTTGCGAGCACACACTGTGCCTGGAGCAAGATACAGCACGGCAGATCGAGTCTCAAAAGTTGGGCCACTGCTCAGAGTGCGAGCTGAATGAGAACCTATGGCTCTGTCTGTCCTGCGGTAATCTGGGTTGCGGTCGTCAACAGTTTGGTGGCGTTGGTGGCAACTCGCACGGCGTCGCGCATACCAAGTCAACTGGCCATCCAGTCGCAGTTAAACTCGGTTCACTTACGGCCGATGGTACAGCGGATATTTACTGCTATGCTTGTGATGAGGAGCGCATCGACCCAGAGCTGCCTGACCATTTGGCGCACTGGGGCATCAACATCAAGGACAGGGTGAAGACGGAGAAGAGTCTGACTGAGATGCAAGTCGAGCAGAATCTCCGATGGGACTTTGCCATGGTGACTGAAGATGGCAAGGAGCTACAGCCATTGTTTGGATCAGAATTGACGGGACTGAAGAACCTGGGCAATAGCTGCTATCTCAACAGCACTTTGCAGGCCCTCTTCTCCATGCCAGAGTTCAAGGAGCGCTACTACTTACCCGATCAAGCGCCACCTAATGCAGCGCTTCCTGCAGAAGATTTAGAAACCCAATTACGCAAGATTGCCGATGGCATGATCTCGGGTCGATATTCGAAGCCCGACAGCGACGTCATTACCAACGAGCATAGCCCGGAAATCCCGCACCAGCGTGGTCTTGCGCCTGCGATGCTGAAGCACTTGATCGGGCGAGGTCACGCAGAATTCTCCACTATGCGACAACAAGATGCTTTTGAATTGCTTCTCCATGTACTCAAACTCATCTCTCGGTCCCAGCACGTTGCACCCCACAAGGACCCCGTCGACGCGTTCCGGTTCGTTATGGAGCAGCGGCTACAGTGTGTCGGCTGCAAACGCGTTCGGTATAGAACGGACGAGCAGGAGAACATTTCGATCCCTGTCCCTATTCGCAGGATCCCCAAAGAAGCACAGATGGACGTCACTGATGGCAATGGTAAAAAGGAAGAGAAGGAAGAGTTTGAGCCCGTTTCACTAAAGGAATGCCTCGACATATTTACAGCCGAAGAAATGGTTGAGCTTACATGCAGCGCCTGCGGTAGCAAGGATGGCTTCACCAAGAGGAGCATGTTCAAGACTTTCCCGTCAGTTCTGGCTGTGAACGCGAGGCGCTTCGAGCTGGTGAACTGGGTGCCCACGAAGCAGGATGTACCAGTCATTGTTGACGATGAACCGTTTTCCTTTGATGCCTACAAATCAAACGGACTCAGCGAGGGCGAGGAACTCCTTCCGGATGATGTTGACATGGGCGCAGCTGGAAGCTCATCCGGCAAGTGGACGCCCAATGAAGCGGCACTATCTATGCTCGAGGCTATGGGCTTTCCAAGGGTTAGGTGTGAGAAGGCACTGCATGCCACTGGAAATGAAGACGCCGAAGCAGCATCAAACTGGCTGTTTGCACACATGGAGGACCCTGATATTGACGATCCTGTCGACTTCAACGCAGGCTCTGGTGGGGGTGCGGCTGCAGCATCTATCATTGACCCTGAGAAGATTGAGAACCTTGGCGCTATGGGCTTCAACGCACCTCAGGCACGACAGGCTCTCAAGGAGACCGGTGGCGACATGGAGCGGGCCGTCGACTGGTTGTTTAGCCACCCAGATGCACCCGGCGACTTTGACGAGGGCGGTAGCTCCGATGCCGCTCCCGCTGCCAATACGACGGAGAAGGCATTGGCTGGCAGTGACAAGCTGCCTGCGAAGTTTCAGTTGCAGTCGATTGTATGCCACAAGGGCAGCTCAATTCATGCTGGGTAAGTCAATCTATCTACAAGCCTCTTTGGCTGATTCACGTGACATGTACTGACACCTCACAGGCATTATGTTGCATTTGTTCGAAAGCAACTACCAGACCAGCAGTCTGCCTCGTGGGTTTTGTTTAATGACGAGAAGGTTGCAAAGGCTGCAGACGTGGAGGAAATGAAGAAGTTTGCCTACGTGTATTTCTTCCGGCGTTTGTAAGACGGCAGGTCTAGGTCTTGCATAACGGACTTGCATGGCGGACGCGGAGTTGTCTCGGATCAGCATTCATTGTGGCGGCACGGCGAAACGGGGCGTGGGGGTGAGGAGGGCATTGCAGCAACAACCAAAAACTTTATTCTAGTAGATGTCAGCACAACAGGGTGGAGGATGTGGGCGTGGACTGTATTAGTAGAAGTTTCCATCTGATAAGAAGTTGGTAGAGAAGCTTTTGCATGTGCATACGACGCTTGGCTCCGAGATGATGCATGTGGTAAGTGTGGGGTAGATAGCGCACAGATTACGTCGCCGATCACGGGTTTTCCGTGCATTACTTCAGTTGCCTGCCGCCCTCCACCACCTCCGCCACACCTACACTATCATCAACCTACTACCAAGACGCCCCTCAAACTTCGGATTACACACCAGCAACCTACGCATATCCACCGCTACCATGTTCAGAAGAGTCGCAGCAGCCGTGCCCGCCCAGGCCGGACGAGTACTCGCAACCGCTGCGAGACCTAGCATCGCATCGCCCATCCGCGCCGCAGTACCTGCTGTATCAGCGGCCGGACGGCGGCAATACCACGAGAAAGATAGGTTGCCCATTGCCCCTCTAATGCGAAACGCCGGCGTGATGGCGATATCGGGGAGCTCATGACCCACGCCACCCTTGTGCCAATCCCCTCTGCCCCAGCAATCGCTCGAGAACGCTCAGCTAACATGCGCAGCACTGCTAGACCACTACAACAGGCCGCGAAATGTCGGTTCCATGGCAAAGACGGACAGCGACGTCGGCACTGGTCTAGTCGGCGCACCAGCATGTGGCGATGTCATGAAGCTCCAAATCCGAGTTGACCCCAACAACAACACCATCAGCGATGTCAAGTTCAAGACATTCGGTTGCGGCAGTGCGATTGCCAGTTCGAGTTATTTGACCGAGTTGGTCCGTGGTATGACATTGGAGGATGCTGCGCGAATCAAGAACACAGAGATTGCAAAGGAGCTCTGCCTACCACCTGTCAAACGTGAGTTTTCCTTCGGGAAAAAGAAACAAAGCATATTACGATACTGACTGCTCGCAGTGCACTGCTCTATGCTTGCCGAGGATGCCATCAAATCCGCCATCTCCAACTACTACACAAAGAACCCCAACGCACGACAAACAGATCTTGGCGGCAAGTCGGCGCCAATGCCCAAGGTGGAGGTCGAGACTGTATCATCTGCGGCGGCTTAAGAGGGATGTTTGACATAAATTGACAGCGTGGGGCACCGAAGGAAAGGGCCCGAGAATGAAGGATGAAGGCATTGTATATTCCCCGGCATTTAGTCTTTTGCTACTCCATGTATCGAATAGGACTAGGGCGTTTGTGCGTTGAGGCGGTTTACTTCTGCGGGTAGGCCAAAAGAAATACTTGAATATTTTACAACAATCAACAAAAACATTTGAATCGCCATAGTTTGTGTGTCAGGATGCGATGAACGTGATCTAGTCGAGGATGGCAAGTGCTGCGTTTAAACGGTATATGTAAAAACTGGGCTCGCTGTGTTTTATGCTGAGGGGCCGGATATCGGCGTATAATTGCCTGTGTGAGCTGAGTGTCACGCCATGTAGGTGCTCTGGATCTGATAATCCATCTGATAGTCCAAATCTGGGAGCGTGGTGTGGGCCTATGACGCGTAGTCCTGGTATACAGTCTGGATGATCTTTTGCTGTTCGTGGTGAAAGACTCGTTTGCCATGTGAGGATGGTATTGCTAACCCAGCGAAGTGAAGGTGTCTGCCAATGACGTTGCGGACCCTTCTCTCCTCCGTGACCTCGGTCCTTACCTTGTCAAAACCACCCGAGCAGCCTACGCGCACCGCGACCAACTCGCGCAGATCACACAAGCATGACGACGATGCAAGACGACAACTCAGCGTCCGCGATACGCTTCAAGCGCCGCAAAACCACCCACCCGAAGCGTGTCGTCGTCGAAGAAGATGCGCCTACGGTCGCGGCCTCACAATCTCCCGATGCTGGCACTCTACAGCATGCGCCCTCGTCGCTGGAAGAAGCCAACAACGACGCAGAGTCTGTCCCAAACCTAAAAGAGATACTGCGCAACCGGAAGCGCCCACGAGACCGCCTCAAGGACAGCGCGCGCAAAACAGACGCCCCCCGGATGGATCTGGTTTCCACAGACGCACCGCCGCAAGACCAGTATACAGGGCGCTTTGTTGCGCAGACAGGGCAGGTTGTGGATCGCGACGACAAGCAGATGTAAGTAGGACATGCAGCCACCCCATGCAGTTGGACATCCCTCGGGCGTGGCAAGCACAGGAGACTGATGTGCTAGGTCGGAATACGTAGAAGCCCGCATGGCTGAAAAGAACTACCGTGAATACGGCTGGCCCATACCATCCCATCTCCAGGCGTCGGTCGCAGCCATCGCGCCAGACCTGCAACACACCTTTACCTCTTCCTCCAAGACGTCTGCGCATGCGCCGACCGCCACGGAAACCCCCGCCGACAAGCAACACAGCCAGCGGCTCGCTGCCGGCCGCGGCAAACTCGAAGAAGTCGATCTCGGCCCCGAGGCCGCCGCCCGCATCGAGCAGGCGTGGAAGCGCCTCGAAACCGGTGAGCCTGAGCTGTCCGCCTCCAGAGCGCGCAGAGACAGGTACGGCTATGCGTGGCGCAAGCCGCGGGGCGGAAAGACGGACGAAGACAAGAAACGCGATCAGATGGTCGAAGCTGTGCTCAGCGAGGCAAAACGTATGTATCCCCCATGTCATGTACTTTTGCAAAACGTTTTACTAACCAGGCCTTTTGTCCCAGTTGATTACTTTGACGCGCCTGCTCCGTCCAAGCCCCCCGTTCCAAACTCCACACATGCCAATGCCGACGATGCGCTCGTCGAGCAGTTCCGGACAGAGTACTTTGAATCCATCGAGGCGCGGCACCAGCGGCATGCAGCGAGAAAGCCCGCGACGTCTGCGGCCAAGGGCGCGGCGCCCACGATTTCAGGGCCCAAAATGGGTGGGAGCAAGAGTGCGCGGGCGCGGATGCACAAGTTGCAGCAGGAGGAGTTGGCGAAGAAGAAAATGAAGCAATAGAGATATGTGAAAGGGGTGATGTATTTCCTGGGTATGAAAATGGAGAGTTGATATAGTTGTTGTTGGTTGTGGGCATGGTTACGATATTCAGTTGTTCGTTGTACGGGTATATGGGATGATTATTTACAACAACAACACCACCAACATAGACTTGGTTCACGAAAATATAAGAAAGGAGAACGATACCAATCAATCAATCAATGCCTAGAAATCAGAGTTAGTAGACAAATGGTGTATACCGTATGGCTCCTGTCCTGTCCCCCTTGAATTCTCCACTCCATGAACCCCTATAAGTTTAAAAAAAACGCCAGTTTTCCTTACCAAGACACTGTATATATCAAACCAGTTCTCCGTATGCCGCATTTCATTACTCATTACTTAAAGTTTTTTCGGCGCGGGTTTCTTTCCCTTTTGCGCAGTAGCACCAGCAGTAGCACCATTCACGGCTTTAGTCGGGGGAATCTTCTTGGGCACCTGCACCCCGCCGGCAGGCGTGATTTTAATGGGGACGCCACTGGCTGTGACGAGGGAAGTGGTTTTATCTTTGCGCTGAGCATCTTCAATGTCTTGCTTGTCAATCTTGATTTTGACGCCGTTCTTCATGGTGAGAGTGCCTGTTTTCTTGGCTTGTTCGACGTCGGCTTGGGGCACTTTGATCATGACGCCTGAGGCGGTCATTACTTCTTTCATGGGTCCGCTCGGGGCTGGTGGCGATGGTTGCTTTTGTGGCTGCTGTTGAGAAGGCTTTTTTGCTGGGCCGGTGGGCGCGCGGGCGGCTGTGCCGGATTTCGGGGCTGCGGGCTGGGGGTGTTTCTTTGCTCCAGTCGACATGTTGACTGCGCTTTGTGTCTTGCTGAGGGCGGGTGTGGCGGCGCTGGGGGTCAGCATGGTTTTTGTTGGTATGCCGTGTATGGCTGAATGGGGGCGGCTCAGGCCGTTGGGCATTCCGTTGGGCATTACGGCACCGCTTGAGATTGCGGTTTCTTTGACCAACTTGGCGAGGTTTTCTTGCGTCAGCCGTTGGACTTGGGGCATGTCTTTTGGATCGGCGGCTTGCTGTGCTCCCATTTGGGCGGCGCCTTCGATCATCTTTTCTAGTTGCTCAGGGCTGGGTAGGCCCTTCATGTCGCCGCCGCCTTGGCCTAAGAGTGCTTTCATGTGATTCTCAAAGAACTCTTTGCCGCCGGGTATGGGTAGATCGTCGGGTGAAGCACCATATGCCACGGTCAAGGCCATCATGATGGACGTTATGGGAGCAAAGATCTTGACGAATTCGTTCCAGTTGCCGCTCTTCACCTCCGTCTCAATCTGGACCGCCGGCCGGGGCACGCTCCGAATAGACTTGTTTCCATTTCCCCGGCTACTCTCGCTCCTGGCATCCATGTCCAGATGGTCTTTCCAAAAGTCCTCTGCCGGAAAACGATTGTTGCGGCTAAAGTACTCGAGCATGTAATCCTTTTCCCGCCATCGGTTTCTGAGCCACACTTCGAACGCATGTGTATTCTCGTAGGGTATGTCTGCGAGGCGGAAGCGGCGCCAGTGCATGTTTACTGATTTTGGTGGTCGGCCTTCGAAAAAGGAGGAACGGAGCGTAAAAATGTCCTGTCCGTACTGTCCTGGTGGTATGCCTTCGTATGCGATGGTGCAGTCATAGAGCCAATCAGTCGTGTCTTTGAGTTCGTTGAGACAGAACTTGAGACCCGTGCTGCGGGGAAGCAACTGGTGCTTCATGTCTTGCAGTCCATTCTTTTGCGCCCATGCCTTGCTCTTTTCACGGGTAGTCGGAGACAGGTTGGTGCCTTCTGGAAAGATGATGAGCCACATAGGATCTCCCTTCTTGTTCAGTTTGGAAAGGTGCTTCTTGAACGTCCTCTGGTCCTCTTCCCACTTCCTCGACAAGAAGATGAAATTGTAAAACTGCGCGCCCCACCCGATGATGGGTATGTTCTTCAACGACTCCTTGAGGATAATGTAGATGAAGCCGTGCATGTTGTTCGTATAGGCGATCCACCACAGGTATAGCCAGTCAGTGTAGAGTTGGTGATTTGCCATGAGGACCATACGATCAGCGAAATTGCACTGCAGAGAGCCATCTTTGCGCTTGATGAGCTGGCCGACCATGGTAGAGTCGCCAGATACACGGACAACCGTTGGGGCCCACCATTGGGTCAGGCAGGTGATGAGGATGGCGAAGCATTCTTTGGTATAGGCCATGTAGCCATCGTAGAATTGAGGGTCGATGAGTTTCAGGGGCGCCCCCAGGAACTGCGAGGCACTGATACTGCGGCGCATTAGTTGAAGTGGATCGTGAAGTGGGTAGCCCGGTATGCCTACGCTAACACGCCAGACAAGAAGGTCGAGGCCAATGTGAAAGCCCTCTCGGCCTGTGTCAACTCGCCATATCGCGGGGGCCCGGCTGGATGGGCCTCGACATTTCCCTTTGAGAATCGCAGGCCGGCGCCCAGGTTATCCTTCTTCTTCCTCTGGACAGATGCGGGAACTGGGGATTTGGCCGCTGATTGGCCCGTCAGAGCACTTGGCTTTGCGGCCGCCTTGGTCGCCAGCTTAGCGGGGGGTTTGACAGCCGGCGACTTTGTAGCGGCAGTCGGCTTCTTCGTAGCTGGCGGCATCTTTGGGGGGATCGAGAGGCACAAACATGGACGCTCAAACGTCAAACATGAAGCGTCGGGCCGCCCAGCAACCGCGCGACGTCAGTGTCAGTGCAGGCTGGGGCCAACGGCTCGAGATCAAGATGGCCGCTCCACTTGTGGCCGCCCCTGGTCCGTGGGCGCAGAGATGACGTCGGCGTGTGGCGTCGTGCAACCATGCGCCAAAGCAAGATATGGGCCCTTCTATGTCTCTTTTGTTAGGTCATTGCTAGCTGCTTGACTAACACGGCACCGCGTCCAAAGTAATAGATATCACCGGCCCTTAGGCACCGCCTGCATTTCCTTCCAGACCCATCCTTCACCCCTCTAGCTTAGCCGTAAGTGACCCTTTCTCCAACTACCGGACCCTTGCCCCCCCGTATAAGAAGACACACGGAGCCTGTCTGACGCCGCACGCGAGCAGCCTTCACGTAATTGTGTCGAACCAGGACCGGCATACATCCCTCAGACCCCTTCTGCATCCAAAGAAACATCACATCCATCGCCATGCCCGCCTCAGTCGCATCCGCGCCCGTCAAGCGCACCACCAGCAAGCCGACCGCCGCGAGGAACGCAAAGAAGTCGACAGCCGGTGCGAACAAGAAGCCCCAGACAAACGGCGCAGTCAACGGAGCCGCAAATGGCGCATCGCAACCCCAAATGTCCCCCTACACCATCATGGCCTCTCGAATCGCCAACCGCGTCGCCGAAATGGCTGAAAACATGACCTTTGTCGAACGCGAGAAGTAAGTTTTTCTCCCTTTTTCCCCTGACAATCCCTCTCCATCTCTTCCCTCTGGCTCTGGCTCTGGCTCCGACGGCGTGCCACCGTACCCAGACATGCTTGTATGCAGGGAGCGAGGCGGTGCAGATGAGGGTTTTTTTTTCCATCGCCCACCGCATCTTCTGGTCGCCCGTACGTCACACCGGACAAAAGAAGCATTGTAACTGACGGGACTCGCACGCTACAGGCCCCAGCCACAACTGCAAAACGGCACTTCGCAGGCGTCGTCCAACTCTGGCCGCAAGCCCCCGCGCAAACTCGAAATGCGCATCCCCAACAGTGGCGCTTCGCCCACAAACATCACCTTCAGCGCCCCCTTCCTCGATAACACCCTCGCCAAGCTGTTGACGCTGCAGAACCGCATGCTGACGGTTAGCAACGACATTGCTGCGTGCGAGGACGTGGATGAAAAGACCAAGCAAGAGCAGTTTGCCCAGAGCGCCGAACTGAGTCGTATCATTGCATTGATTTGCGCGGAAAAGGCTCGGCAGGGTGCTTAACTCGGTACCGCTTCTTCATCTTCTTTTTTTCTTCCCCATTGTTGACGTGACACCAGTCACATGCTCACGAGTCGTGGCGAGTTTATTTTGTTTTATTTGTGTTGTTTTTATTACCCTTTCTCTCTCTCTTTTCTGTTATCTAGGTGTACCGAGCTGGGTCGGGTATGAGTGCGAGTGGCGTTGGCGGCAAACGTATGTGTAACGACAATCAGCGAGGGGGTGGCGGTGTAGGAAAAATCGGTACCAAACCTCTGTACGAATACTATGAAATTAATCAATGGCAAGATGTCTAATACTCAAGTCGGTCTCTCCTCTTATCACTATAGGCCAGTCAGTCCCACATGGCTCCCGTATGGACGCCACGGCAAAGACCCTTGGTGGAGATAAAAAAAGCAACCATCATGTCCTCTTTTCTTTCTTTTTTCCCTTTTACAGCAATGCATGCACATGTACACCTAGGTGTAGATGTACCAACACCGCCACTCTACCAGAGATGCAGCTGCAAAGAAACCTGCACCCGAAGATGGCCATGCAGCATTCTGGTCTGGGCTCCCCCCGCCAATCCGCGGTACCACGTACGTCATGCAACGCGGAGCGCGTAAGCTCTCCACAGCCAGCATCCCTGTATAGGCACAAAACAGGTTGCTAGAGCTTGCTGCACAACAAGTGGTGGCAAAAGGGCGGGAAGCAAAGGAGCCTAGCCATCGGGCATGCTTATCGGTTAGAAAGTGGCAGTAGTGGTAGCAGTAGGGCAAATGGACTTCTCCTCTTTTCCTTTCTCTTTCTGTCTGCTGCTGCAAGTCTGGATTCCTGCAATTGAATTTCCCGACAATACACCTTACCTCAGTCCACAATTTTTCTACCCCCCCCTCCCTTCCCCTTGCTTACCTACGCGCCGTTAACGTTCTAGCAACCCTTTCCCCCTTTTAAGCTGTATTATTGCAACATATCTTGAACCGCTTGATTTTCCCAATACTTGAACCGAGTTCGAAAGACCAAACCGCTTCGATTGGGCGTTTGCAGCAATGACAAACTTCATTTCAAACATCATCTGGAACTCGGTCGAGGGCTTCGTGGATGCCGGCAAGAAGTCGGCGGGCGAATTTGGCGGAAATGCATTGATCAAGGCGGGGGATATGATTGAGAATAGTGGACGGAGCTTGGGAACAGGTGCGTTTGTTCTTTAACCCCATCCCCCATGCCATGTCATGCATATATCTACATGCGTACATATGTACGTGGGAAATGCGGTGCGGTGCTTACACGTCTTGATCCGGCAATGCTGACACCAAGGGTTCCGTGGTCCAGGTATCGAGAAAAAGGCAACGAGCTATGGGACGGCGATAACAGGGCAGACGTACAAGCCTTCGGGCAAGGCGTTGCCATCGACAGCCCGCAAGCCAGCAATGAAGCGCTCGAATTCGACGCCGGCGAGAACCAGGCCGCCAACGAGCGGGCTGCCTCTAGGCGCAAAGAAGTATCCCGGTGCCAACCAGGTCCAAGGCGCTGTTGGAGGAGCAAGGAAAACTGCTGGCGGCGTGACTGGCAATGCATCAAAAGTCGCCGGAGGAGTCGTGGGCCGCGCAAACAGCACAATCGGCAGCGCGTCGTCGATGGCCGCAAAAGGCCCGGGCAGCGTTCTAGGGGGCGGACAGAAAGCCCTGGGCGGAGCCACCAAAGCCATTGCACCGTTCCAGGGTTCAGCGGGAGCCTCGTACCCAGGTGATAAGAAGAAGAAGGTCGCCGTCAAGCCGGGACAGCCAAAGCCCTTCACACCGCCTATTGAGCACAAGAAACCAGATCCCAAGAAACCTTATCCGGGCAAACACCCTGCCGGGACAGAGTAGGACGCCCGTGCAACAACACAAGTACAAGCCGTTGCCCAGGCTCGGTGCACAGGTGGGACAGGGCCAGACGATGCAACACATATCCATTTAAGTTGGGGGGTCAAGTTAATATCGGCGTTATAGAAGAGGGGGGAGGGGGGGATGCGAGTAAGACCTAGGTACGAAAGAAAAATGAGCAGCTTACTGTAATATATTCGCCGGGAGTCGTTCTCAAGGTTGTACCAAATTTTCTTTATACGTGATTATTGCACGACATGATAGGCTTACCCTCCTTGCAGCCAACGTAATGTACGGATGCGCGGAGCCCGGCGTCCATGTCTCTGTTGGAATAAACATACGCTTGAATCTATGCGCGCGGCCATTCTCCGGGGGTGGGCGGGTGAGATTCCGTGCGTTACCATTGCCCATCGCTGTCGATCGCTCCACGTAACCCCACACCCCTACCCCAACCCGTGGACCCCTCCGGCCTATCATAAACGGCGCTATAGAAAAAAGGGACGTCTCGGCATTTGTTGAAGCACCCGGGTTGAAAGCTTGGGTTTGCTTATAGGCGCCCCCTCGGCCGGCAGCGTGCCATGCGTGTTTGTGCTTTGTATTACCCTTCCACTTCGAGTGCGCACTGCCCATCATGCCGTCGTGGTTTACTGGCAAACAGGCCGACAACAAGGCGGAAGAGGAGGAAAAGATGGACGCGTCCGCAGCAGAGAAGCAGATCGAGGCTCATGGCGAAATACCGGCTGCAGAAGACATTGACCCCGTGATTGAGAAGCGCGTACGGCGGAAACTCGATACGCATGTTGTTCCGCTGCTGTCGGTGCTTTATCTTCTGGCCTTTCTCGACAGGTCGAATATTGGGTAATACTACACGGACCGTCGATATTGCAACGTCGTTTACTGACGCCGATACAGGAATGCGCGCATCGCTGGCATGGAAAAGGATCTCCATCTCAGTAGCGACGACTATACGTGGCTCCTGACAATCTTTTACATCTCGTACATTGTCTTTGGCTTCCTCATCATCGCGTGGAAAGTCATACCCCCACACCGCTGGGCCGCCGGTTGTGTCTTTGCATGGGGTCTCATATCGACCGTGCAGGCTGGGGCCAACTCGTGGGCTGGAATGATGGTGTTGCGCTTCCTCATGGGCGTGGCAGAAATCGCCTTTGGGCCTGGCGTGCTGTTTCTGCTTTCGTTCTTCTATCTCCGGCACGAGGTCGGTCTCCGATGCGGAATGTTTCTATCGGCCGCACCGCTCGCAAACACCTTTTCGGGTGCGCTGGCGTACGGTATCACGAGTGGCCATCCTTCGCTCGCAAAGTGGCGGGTGCTGTTCTTGGTCGAGGGACTCCCGACGATTGTCATGGCTTTTGTGACATATTTCTTCCTGCCAGACAGTCCAGAGAAGGCGCGGTTTCTCACCGAGGAGGAAAAGGCAGTTGCCAAAGCTCGTGGGGTGGTACAGGTTGGCGCAGCAACTCGTCTTGGAAAGATTGAATGGAGGGAGTTGTTGGAAGCGGCAATGGATATCAAAGGGTGGATTCTCGGCGTAGGTGACCAGCCTTTGCGTGGCGACTGAACTAACGTCTTTACAGATCATGTACTTTTCCGGGAACGTAGCGTTCTCGTCCTTGTCAGTCTTCTTGCCCACGATTCTTGCCGAGATGGGCTTCTCAAACGTCAATGCCCAGGGACTGACGGCACCGCCGTTTTTCGTCTCTTTCATCACCGTAATCATAACGTGCTACATTGCCGACCGCACCCAACAGCGCGGCCTTATGATTGCTGTCCTCACAGCCATCGGAGGCGCCGGCTACGTGATGCTGGCCACGACCAAGAGCGTGGCAGCAAGATACGTCGGCGTCTTCCTGGCTGCTGCGGGCATCTTCCCAGCGATTGGCAATGTGTTGCCGTGGATCACAAACAACCAAGGAAGTGATACGCGGAGAGGCACTGGCCTTGCTCTTGCCAATCTCATTGGCCAGTGCGGACCGATCCTGGGGACTCGGCTGTACCCCAAGTCGGAGAAGCCGTACTACGTCAAGGGCCAGTCCATCTGTGCGGGGTTCATGTTTCTCTTCTGCCTGCTGGCGCTGGTGCTGAGGACTCTGCTTGTGTGGGAGAACAAGAGGCTGGATCGAAAGTACGGCACGGTGGAGAAGCAGAAGGCGGCGATGCAGGAGGCGGCGGCGGCGCGCGGGGAAACGGTGCGGCAGGTTGCGGTGGAGAACTATGGGCCGATGTTTCGATATGTGCTGTAGGTATAGATGCAGATGTAGAGGCGCCAATGGCAAGCGGAGCGGTTTTCCAACGCGTGCATGGCTGACTAGTGAGTGGTCTATCGAGTGGCTGGAAGCAGGAGAGACGGCGGTGGTGCAGATAGGCGCAGGCCCAGCGTCGAATCGGCTCTTGGGGCGCATGCTTGGTGCATGGGCGGTAGCTGGGAGAGGCAGCCGCTCCCCCCAGCCTGGCCCAAAGAGGAAAGGGCGCACGCGACTGCCATGTTCCGCAGCAGCAGCGCCACCGTCACGGGCATATATCGGCCAGAGGCGTATTTTGCCTCGCTGTCCGTGTTACGAGCAGCAGGCCGGCATATTCACACACTCGCACTGACGGCTCAGTCTGCGGTGCATCGCCCAGGCGCGCCAAATGGTTCACGCATTATTGCCTGGCACGAACGACGCCAGTGCCGGCGCCCCGAAAAAAAAGCTGGGGGCCGCTAGGGCGAAAGCTGGCTGGGCCGATGCAGCAGCGCAGCACTGGCCTCGCATAACGTCACTGCCAGACTCACGCTGAATATCTCGACTCGCCGCCCTGTCTTCGCATGCGCTGCTCTCCATCCAGCCGCCGCCGTCGCCTGCCTGTCTGCATCTCATCTCAGTGGCCCACGGCAGCATCTACCCCCCTCGCCAATCCTCTCTAGCCCCGCCACTGTCGCCATTCCCGCACGCGCCGTGTCGCAATGCCAACAAGTGCTGCTGCTGCTGCCGGGCCTGGGCCTGCCAACAACGCTGCCAATTCCGCTGGCCCTCCGTTCGCGACAGCTGCAGCCTCAGCCTCCGTCTCGCGTCCCGGCCAAGGCGCCGACTCACCTGCTGCGCCGCCGAAAAAGAAGAAGACGCATCGAGGCGGCAAGAAGCGCCGCAATCGTCGCCCGTCGTTTGCTGCCGGAGCCGACCTGCCCCAGGCCGACTCGATGGACGAACGTCCCACCCTGGCCAACGTCGCCGCCCATGGCCAGTCGCGGGGAAACAACAGCCTGTACCGCACCCACAGCAACCTCAGCAACACCAGTCTCGAGAGCGAGGCCCTGCTCGACCATCGCGAACAACCCACGATCCGAACGCGTCGCCCGAGCGTGCCTGTGACGTCCATGTACCAGCCCCGGGGGGGCCAGTCCACCGCCAACCCCCAGCGCCTGCAGACGACCAAGCAAGGAGCCTCGTACGGCCGCGCACGCCTCTCGCACACGCCCGAAGAGCTGCACCAAAGCGATGCCGACGACGACGACGACGATGCTCACGACAGAACCCCCCTGATGAGCTCTTCGCAGCGCGACATCAGGAGCGGCACAAGCTATGGCTCCAACGCGGGCAATTCACGCAGCAGAAGTGGCACGTCCCTGTCTGCCCCCAAGCACATGCCCATGCCTGAACACCGCCCCGAACTCTTCACCCAGCGCCATCACTCGGCCACCAATCTCGACGACTACGATGTTAACAACCCTCCGTCGGTGCCCACCAGCCCGACCTTTGAGCCCCATTCCGGACTGGACGATGTCATGCTCCCGACTGACCTGGACCGCATGTCGGACCGCATGTCTGACCCTGGAAGACCGACCAGCGGGCACCGCGATGTGCTGATCAACATTGATGGGGACGAGCAGGAGCCGGGCTCGCCTCCTGTTGGTGAATTCAGGCGCCGTATGACGACAACGGCACTCGAAGATGTCTGCTTTCCGCACGAAGCCATGTCTGAAATGGGACAAGAGGACTATATCAACGCGCCCTCGACTGGTGAGCCTACCAGCCGTCGGAGACGCCGCCGCTGGCCCGACCTCGACGTACTCCAGGCTTGGGCAAACCAGGAGAAGGAGCAGCGGAGTATGGAGGGCATGCGCATGCGCAAGGTTAGCGAGCCGCTCATGGTCGAGGGCCGCCTGCGTCCCAAGCGGCGTGTCTGGCACCGCGAGGCGAGCGATGCGCCCTTCCGCTTCACCTACTTCAACGAAACCTTTGACAACACGATCCACAGCCAGAGCATCAGCGAGTTGCTGCAGCCCGGACAATCTTTCAGAAATCTCTTTGTTCCCGACCCGCCCATTCTCGACGAAAACAGTAGCGACAGCTCTGATACGGAAAATGACATGCTGCACTCGGGCGCCAATGGGCACAGTTCGCGCGCAACGACGCGATCGGCTTCCAAGACGGACGGCAAAAACTCTTCTGGCGAGCAGACACGCTCCACGACACCACGGCCAGCAGAGACGCCCAAGCCCCAGGAGGACAAGCCGAAGCGCTATGGCCCGCGGCCTGCATGGTGGCTGGACGTGCTGTCGCCCACGGAGACGGAGATGAAGGTCATTTCCAAGACGTTTGGCATTCACCCGCTGACTTCGGAGGACATTCTGATGCAGGAGCAGCGCGAGAAGGTTGAACTGTTCAAGCACTACTACTTTATCAACTATCGTACTTTTGAACAGGACGAGAACAGTGACGACTACCTGGAGCCCGTCAACTTGTACGTGGTGGTGTTCCGAGAAGGCGTAATAAGCTTCCACTTCTCACTCACACCACACCCTGCCAACGTTCGGCGGCGAATCCGGCAACTGTCCGACTACCTGGTGCTGTCGCCCGACTGGATCTCGTATGCGATTATCGACGATGTCACAGACGCGTATGCACCAATGATCCAGAAGATTGAGGAAGAGGTGGACGACATTGACGAGGCGATTCTACGTCTGCACTCGAGCGACGAGGAGCAAGAGGCGGAGAAGGAGAAGAGCCACAGCTACAACAACCCGCATTACAAGGAGCCGCCCGAGGTCAAGTCACAGCAAGACACGGGGCGAGACATGCTGCGTCGGGTGGGCGAGTGCCGCAAGAAGGTCATGAGTCTGTATCGTCTGCTGGGCAACAAGGCGGATGTCATCAAGGGGTTTGCGAAGCGATGCAACGAGCAATGGGGCATCGCGCCTCGCAACGAGATTGGCATGTATCTTGGCGATATCCAGGATCACATTGTGACGATGACGGGCAACCTGAGCCACTACGAAAAGTGAGTTTGGGTGGCGGGTGCAAGAGGTAGATGCTAACCAGGGCCACAGTCTCTTATCGCGCGCGCACAGCAACTACCTTGCCCAGATCAACATTAGGATGAATGAGCGCCAAGAGAAGACGTCGGATATCCTAGGCAAGCTGACGGTGCTCGGGACGATTGTGCTGCCGATGAACGTGGTGACGGGTATCTGGGGCATGAACTGGTGAGTGACGTATCTGGTGCATGAGTGACATGGAGAAGCTGACCAGGCTAGTCTTGTGCCCGGTCAAGACGTGCAGAACCTCAACTGGTTCTGGTCGATTACGGGAGGGCTGATTACGTTTGGACTGATGTGCTACTTTATTGCAAAGCGGGTGTATGGCATTGTTTGAGCAGTGTTGGGTGCAAGAGTGCGGCGTGTAGAGATTTTGAGCAAGAACATAGTGCAAAGCTCGGCGTTGGGTATAGGGGGGGTGGTGTCGTTTGTGTGGCTCAAGACTGGACCTTTTTTCCTCTGCACCACTCGGTACACAAGAGGGTTGGATGGTGGCGGCATATACACTGCTTGTTGTTATTATTATTATTATTATTACGACGATCATCATTATCCCAATCAAGAGCATTTTCTGGTGTACATCGGCGCCTTCCGCTGTCGCGGTGAGTGCATGAGGGAAGGGTGTCGTAGGGGTTCGCGGTGGACGCATGGTTGCCTGAAGGCGTGCATGGTCGAGAAGGCAGTCTGGTGATTCCGGTGAGAGCTGACGGGGGCCCGAGGCTGATGGGTGTCTTGGGGGTGAGGTGCGGACATGGCAAAGGGGGCGAGACGCGGCCAATCGGGGAAGCTCCAGGGCAGGTGTTTTGCAGTGTCGTGATGGGCATGTTTGCCGTCTGGACTACGAGTGACCGCAGTGAAGCCGAGCGCTGTGGTGGCCATGGCCGCTTTGGGCTAGGGGCGACTGCAGGCCCTGTGCATGACCAAGCGACTCGATGACGACGGGAGACATGGTTTTGGTGTGGATGAAACCGTCTATTGTGTCGTTGCTTTCGCTGCGTGACGTCGACGGAGGCCGTCGGGCACCTTCTCGAAGGGCCCACGCGTGGCCGGGAGCCGGGCATGGATGTTGTGTATATTGGGCCGCGTCCAAACAAAAAGAAAAAAAGACCATCGTCTGATGCTTTTTTGGGATGATGCCTGGGCTGCGAATCGAATCAGCAAGCAGACGCACCAGCCCAGATATATTGTACATGTATGCGCCTAACCAGGAGCCCCCCCCCCCTCTTACGCAGGCTGGTTGGGTCGTCGCACGTTTGGGCTGCAGGCAGCGGGCGTGGTGGTGTGGCAAAGGGGCGTTGATTGGGGGTTCTCCTTGCTGCCACTGCCCTCGCTGCCCGTTGGCGGCATCGTGCAGGTCACGGCGTGTGGTGGTGATGGTGGTGGTGTCTTGGAGCCGGCCCGCCGTGGCGCAGTCACTGGCACTGGCGTCAGATGGGCAGGCCTGGGGGGGGCGCAGGCTGGCTGTCAGGCGGCGGGCGGCGGGCGGGCTTTGGGGGCTGTCGGGGGCGCGCGACAAGCACCGTCCACATGCTCGCACTTGGCCGCGCTCGCTGTGCTCAGCGCATGTTGCATGCGGGGCTATGCAGTGCGTGGAGCAATGGCGCAATGTCCGGTGAGTTTGAGAGCCCACAAAAAGAAACTTGTAGCGAATGCGACGCCGTGCAGGTACCGGTTCGCATGATGCGTTTGGTCGCTCTCCCGCCTGGCGCTCCACGGTAGGGCTGCTGGCCGCGCGGTGAGGCCAGAGGGCATTTCACTGCCCTCTGCAGCCCCGCCAACGCCCATCAACGCCCATGGGCGGGCTCGCCCGGCTGCCCATCATCACTGCTGCCACGGCTACTCGTGCGCTCGGCAAGCATTGGGTGCAGCCCAGCCAGGGCCCGGCAACCCCCCCTGGAGGCACGTTGCCTGCACATGCATCGGTTTCGGGGTGAGGCCAGCAGGCAGAGAGGCATGACGTCAGCTGTGGCAGTCAGGTCCAGCATCTGGGCAGTCGAGAAGCCAACCCTGTCTTCTGACGCGACCCGTCCTTCATGACTCTTGACGTCGCCTGCCTCGCCCTCAGCCCACTCTCCCTCTCCCTCTCCCCCCTCTCTCTCACTCACTCACTCCCACTCCCTCTCTCTTATCCTCCCCCACCCCACCTCCTGTCTGCCCACACATCCGCCCGTCCGCACAACCACTCCCGCATTGCGCTTCTTCATCCTCCGCGTGCGTGGGCTACTCCCATCTCCCCCGCCAACCACCAAGACGGCCTTGCGCCAAGTTCCCCTTGCACTGCGGCTTACCCCGCTACCGTCACCAAGACTCCCTCGCACTCATGTCCGTCATCTACAAGAAGACTGAGCGCGAGCGCGAGTGGGAGACCGGCTCCGCACGCACTGCCGGCGGTGGCTACAGCACCATCAGGCGCTACAAGGTCCCCGATCGCACCCTCGAGGAAGATGCGTACGAATCCGAGATGCGTCTGGTCCATCGCGGCCGCAACGACTTTGAAGAGCGCCGCTCCGTCAAGGACTTTGTAGTGGAGCGAAACGTCGAGCCTGCTCGCGAAGTCCGACACTATCACTACACTGAGCGCTCCCCCTCGCCCCAACGCTCCGAGTATCGCATCCAGCGCGAGTATGAGCGTGAATACGAGGTCCCAGCCTCTCCAGCACGAACTGAGATCCGGATTGCGCGGGACTACGAGCGCGACGAGGAAATCTTTCCACGCGAGCAGCCCTACGAACTGGAAAAGTACTCGAGGTCCACCGAGTATTTCCGCCCCGAGCCGCTGCCACAGGCCCCACCCCAGTCCATCTATATCCGAAACGAGGCCCCTCAGCCCATGCAGATGCAGATGCAGCCCATTATTATCCGGGAAGAGGTCCCTCAGCCCATCATCATACGTGAGCGTGCCCCGGAGCCCGTCTATGAAGAAGAGAGGCAGGTTGTCCGAGCCCCCAAGGAAGAAGAATATTACTACGAACGTCGCTACAAAGAGGTGGATCGTGGAGACCGCTACGATGAGCACCAAGGCTACTATAGTGACGATGATGTTTACATCTACAAGGAGAAAGATACGTGGGGCGAAAGTGACACCCACGTCAAACGTGACGTCGCTGCCGGTGCGCTTGCTGGAGTAGCGGCAGGCCAGATTATCAGACACCATCGCAAGAGAAAGGGCGAAGCCCCTGGAGGCGTCCTCGGCAATGCCCTCGGCTACGGCACGCTGGGTGCTGTGAGCGCCGTGGCTCTCGACCGCCTCAACAACCGTTCCCATTCCCGATCTCGATCCGTCTCTCTAGACAGGGGACGGGGACACAGACGCCACAAGTCTCGTCACCGCAGCAGGTCCAGGGCCAAGGAGATTGGTACTCTTGCTGCTATTGCTGGCGTCGGCGCTCTTGCCTACGCCGCTGGACAACGAAACAAGAAGGTCAACAAGGAGGAAACTGTCACGATTATCGAAGATCGACACCGCAGCAGATCACGTCACGGCAGATCGCACCACACCAGAGGGCGAAGACGGTCGCGGTCTGTCTCGATTGTGGAGTCTGACAGGAGTTTGTCTCGTAGTTCGAGCAAGCACATGGACCCAGAGCATCGCAACAACCGAGTGGCACAAGTCGGCCTCGCTAGTGCCATCGCTGCTGGCCTCGCTGAGCGCCGACGCAGCAAATCCCGGAAGCGTGAGGGCAAGCGCTCTCCAAGCCGGATCCGCAAGGGTGTCCCGATTGCGGCTGCTGGTGTGACTGGCGCCGCAATCACTGGACTCTATGAGAAACGCAAAGCTAAGAAGGAAGCTAGGGAATTATCGCGTTCGAAATCAAGATCGCGCTCAAGATCGAGGTCAGTCCTCTCCCGTCTTACCGGGCGCAGCCGTAGCAGGCGTAGAAGTACAGTGAGTGAACCTGTCTTAGTAGAGTACGGTGGTGATCCCATCTACACCGATCGCCCAGCGAGAAGCCGAAGCCGCAGCCGGGAACGGAACCGTTCGCGCCGCAGACGCCGACGAAGCTCTTCCTCGAGTGGCAGGAGCCGCAGCCGAAGCAAGAGTAGAGTACGAACGGTTGCGGAAACTGCTGCGGTGGCTGGCGTTGCTGGCTTGGCTGCTCATGAGGCCACCAAAAGACGAGACCGTAAGAAGGCCGAAAAGGAAGCCGAAAGACGACGTGAGTCCACCCCTCGCGCATACCGCAACTAGCATACTCAGAAGCTCGACAGGCGAGGAGGATTCGACATACTCGACTGGCACCTACAGTCCCTACGATTCCCCTTCACCCTCGACGGCCCACGCCGAGGACTCGCGCTATTTCCCAGAGACGAACTACTTTCCCCCACCCCCTAACGCCTCAGCTGATCCCAACATCCACAACCCATATCCGCCGTACAACCCAGCCGACTACCCCCCTGGACCCAACCATTCCTCGCAATACGTCAATGTACCACGTGACGAATCCCACATTGGAAATCCCTATGTGCCCCCCCAACACCAAGATCACTACTACGGTCCACCCCGTCGTATGGATGGTAATGTGAGTGCTCCAGCCCCTGATCGAGCCGGTAGTGAGCACGATAACCTTGCTTCTGAACGTGGTGCGTTTGGGTCACGCCCAGGCGGTGGTTGAGCATCGTTACTAATACATGAATAGGGCCCGTAGATCAGCCACCCAGTCCAAGCCCGGCTCCAGAAGAGGAAAAGAGCGTCAAGTTCAATCTAGAGCCGCAGGTGGAACCCGCTCGGGAGCCTTCTCCTGATCCTTCGTCCGAGAGGGATGGCAGCGATGCGGAACGTCATGAGCAGCGGCGACAGAGGCGGCACAGAGACGACGAGCCTTCGCATAACACAAGAGATTCCAGCAGGGACCGCAGGCGACGCCATCGGGATGAATCACCTGGATCTGATACATCTGAAGCCACTATCGAGCTCCCGCCACGCTTCGATGAGCACGGGCGACAGACGCCTGACGATCCCCTGGCCGATACACTGGAGAGCATTCTGTCTTCAATATTCCTATAGTTTTCATGTTTTGGTGGTTTTCTTTGAGTACACGAGTTTAATCTGTTTCATGCTGCCACGGTTGATACGGGGTATGCCCATATAATTCTTTTTCTACTACATCTCATATTTTACGAGGCACGTTCACATGAGCGTTGGATAATAGGCATGAAGTCATGATATCATGTAGATTTGGCTAGGATTTATGCTTACGAATAACGAACTCAATTACGATCTCAAGGTGGTTTTCTCCTGCTCCGTGGCGTTGTGTTCACTATTATGAAGCTAGCTGATTCGTGGTTAATGTTGATGTGCTAATGCATGACATGTCGGTGTGAGGCGAGTGAAGGAGCTCGAGGCATGCGCCTTCCCTGGTCAGAACTTTTCTACAAACATAGCAACACAGCACATTGGTAACGTTGCCGTCTTTCCTTTGTCTCGCCTATCTAAACTCCTTCACGTCTCTGTCTTTCGTCCTGCTCTTCGCACTGCTACAAGCCGCCACCATGACTACGCGACGCTACCCCTGGTTCTTACTAACCCTGCTTTCCCTCCTGGCAACAGTCGTGCTTTCTTTAGCCACATCGTCACCGTTTCCGTGCACAGGGTAAGTTGTATCATAAGCTTCACAATCTCACCCTGCTAATCATCCAGTGGCTCTATATACTTTACTGCCCACACGGTCGACAGCCTGCTGTTCCAGAGCCCCGATGTCGTTCACGATCTTTACGTCTTCAAGTGCGTCACTACTGTCGTGTTCGCAGCCGACACTGCGGGCGAGACGGCCAACGACACGCGCATACGAGAGCTGGAACGTGGTCTTGAAGATGCTTACAGATTCATGTCTGGTTTGTCGCCTGTTGTGGCAGATGGCACGAGGCCCGTTTCGGACATGGAAGAGCCGGCCCTAGGTGAGGCATCACACCAAGTACTTTGGTCAATTCTAACCTGGGTGATGTAGTTGAGAATAGCACCACGATCCCAATCGGCAGATACAACGTCTCTGCTTCGCCTCTTCTGGGTCTTTCCAACGTACAAGTCGTCTTTCTTCGTCTCCCAGACAGCACCTACTATGGGCAAGGATACAGCGCTTACCACGAAGAGTCGTTGAAGGGTTTGTACAGCGCAGATATTTCTCACATTACGACCACCGACGGCATGGCTACGTACACGGTCAGAGATTTGAAGGGCCTCATTGCCACGATTCTTCACGAGAGGCGTGCAGATACCATCCACGTACTGAATCACCTGGCGTGTCTCTCGACGGACCAGGACAATGAGCAGCTCGAACATGCTGACCGCATCGTGTCTGCCAAGATGGTCATGGACGTAATCAAAGACGAAAATATTGCGGCGGCAGTTCTGGCGTAAGTGCGTGCTCTAACATATGCGACCATGTGCTAAGAGTCGTAGACATGGCTGTGATGAAGTACGCAACCTGAACAGCAACCTCAACACGCCGGATTACATCAAGAAGGTCAATGCGTTTTTCGAGTATGCTAAGCACGATCCGAACATGGTAAGTGGCGCTCGCCAACTGGCGCTAGGCAACACCACACTAACATGCGAACAGTGTCAGAGTCTAAATGAATGTGGCAAACGACTCGAGAAGTTGGACAAGGCATCTGGGTTGTACAACGAAGGCGATTACATGTACGAATTTCTAACGTGTTTTATCAGTAAGCGGCCCACATCAGTAAGTGGCCCACCCCACCAAACCTGACGCGACGCTCTACTTAATTGCTCTACAGCAACTTAATAAAATTAAATTAAATTAAAAGATATTATTCTTTATCTAGCTTTACATGAAGTCCGAGTATGTCCTTGAACGTGGCACTTCGTGCACGTTGGCGGCGCGCGCTAACGTCGCTCGCCAGTCTGGTTCTAGTCACCCCCTATTACCACCCTTTCTGCCTCTGCAATGATCTGCTGAGCCTGTTAGACCCGGAGCACCCCACCAGAAGCGATATATTGACGCTGCCGCTTCTGCTTTTGTCGTTGGCGCTAGTTTTCTTTACGTAGCTTCTTAATTTCCTCTGTAAGTATTGTTACTATTTGCATTGCAAGCTAAGCGCTTTTAGCAAGCTGGCGTATCATAACGCTTATTGGGCTCTCTGATCTCCGGCGTAGCCGCTCTTGGAGATAGCGCACCTTCTGCTGAAGCTCTGCTACTGTTTGTGGCGTCTCTGTCTGCGCTGCTGCTGTCTGCATAGCGGCGTTATTGTCTGTAGTTGTCTGTGGTGGAGACGGTGTCCTAGCCACTGTAAGCGACGATAGGACGCGATCTGGACAAGGAGGGACAAGGCCTGTCGCCTGGAAGCCTGCCTGGATGTTCTGCTGCGTGAATACTGTTGGCCGGATCTGTTGATAGACTGTAAGGAAGTCTATCTTGTCAATGTGGTAGACGCCTTGGCGGGCGAGCTTCTCGATCTCACGTCCGTACGCCCGCTTGAGCGGCGAGAAGCAGCTTACATCAAGCGGCTGGAGAAGATGCGACGTGTGAGGCGGCATGCAGAGAGTAATAATCTTGTTCTCGGCGCAGTACTGGTCGAACTCTGGGGTAGCGTGCTGCTGTGCCCGTCTAGAATAAGAAGGCCGATAGACTCCAGCTGTACGAGCCGTTGTATGCTGGTTGAAGTGCTTTACCCACTCTACGCCAAGCTGATC